TTCACGATATTGCGCCATTCAATCGCCTGGGGAGAAAAATGACATTGATGTGCCTACAAGAAAAATCATGCCCTGTCGTGGGATAAAAGTCGGAAAATCCAGGAACCAGGACACTGATGGTTTGCCTAGAATCATTTTTACTGAGGCGGAAAGTTAACCTCTTCTTTAATCCAAATTATAAGTTGTAAGAGGTTGCCCATTGTATTCCTTCCCATGCAGTACATTGTTATAAAGGAAACATACTACAGTAAGACAATTATTGGTGGGGCTTCAGAAACCCCCCCCCCCAGCCCCCCGGCTCCGACGGGCCTGAAAAATGTGATTGCAACAGGGCTACATGTACAGATTTACACATCTATTTGCAACAGTGTGTCTTTTGTGATCGAATGTATAGGCATGCTCTACTATTTATTTTTCGTCCCGATCCGGGGTCGATAGATTCTCTCTGTCCGTTGGCAAAATCACAAAGCCTCCGAAACAGACGAAGACATGATTGACGGCCTCTTGATAGTTCTAGCCCACACGAACTTCAGAGAGTTGGATTATAAACGCCCCCATGTGGTATTTACTAAACAATTAATTCACATTTCCGCTTGTTTCTGGGTTGTTCTGCTTGTTCCTTGGTTGTACTGCTTGTTACTGGGTTGTTACTGGGTTGTTCCGCTTGTTACTGGGTTGTTCCGCTTGTTCCTCGTTTTAGCAACGTCGATAAGTTCCCCTGTGCTTTTGTCAAACACAAGACTAGTCTGGACTTTCATCTCATCAAAAAGTATTCCAACAAATCTTTCAACTGATGTGAAATCTTTAACCAGATCTGCTAGTGTTGGAAATACCCCAACCTTGCGAGTTCACTCGTATAAAATAGCGAAATTTTAGCGATGAATTCTCTTTTTGCGACTTCACCAAAACTCAACATAACAACTCAACTTGAAACATGATACCCTGCTGTTCTAACTACAAACAGTGTGAATATAAAATGCGGACCCAAGTCCTCATGGTTAAATGGCTATAATATTTTAAACACTAGATAGCTAACAATTTCAGGACTAAAACCAGTTTTTGGCCTGATGGCATTGCTATAGTCCCTTAATGTCCTTCTACTCGGTAGTTCTAAGGTATGTGTTCCTTTAAATGTTCCTCGCAGTTCATCATAGGCTGCTGCCGATTTTGAAGTTATTGAAAGACACCACCTTAGAATCATTGGGTGATACCTATGCCCTTTGTATTCCTGGAAGAAATGATCTGCTGTTGCTGCCAAAACAGCTTCTTGAAAGGGCTCATAGTATCCCCATGCTTTGTAATCAACCCAAGAATATCATGGCTCAGATCTGAATTAATTGAAACGCTATGACGTGAGATTTCTTCCTTCATCTCATTGATCTTGGATTCCATAAGTCGACATTCTAACCTATTTGCCTGAAGTGTCAGTTTCAATCGCTTTGATGAAGTGAGACTTACTGGTGCTTTTGGTTTTGCAGGAATAGCTTGCCTGTTTGCAAGTCTTTTTTTGTTCTTTGCATATCCTGTTTCTTGTTCTGTGCAATTAGTACATTTCAATTCAGATCTTAATAGAACCTGATATTAATTAGCGCGATAAAAATCCTTTGCTTGAAATGGCAAGCTGTTCAAAGTTTGCTCTTTTGATTCTTCAGGAATACAGTGCCTGATAGATCCTCCACAATAACTTTCAACATTGTGGCACATCACAAATTATGGCACTGTCTAAATTTCTGATCAAGTCAGACACAGTTACTAATCTTACAGTTCTTTTGAAATCATTGTAAATATAATGATTAACTGGGATTTGCCAATTAAATACAGAAACAGTAAAGGTAAGTTCATATTCAATTGTGATAAAAAAATTTTGGAATGATGTAGGGTGTCTGAAATTTCTTCATTTCTAATTTATCTTCTGCATAAAAAACGTGCCAATCCTTTAGGGTCAGTTTCTTTACCCTGGAGCTTAAATCTCTAAAATCTGTGTAGTAACACATTTTTTCAAGTGCGATATCTCTCACAACTGTTTCAGCAGGCCTCTTATCAGATGCACTTTTTTGAAAAGTATCCAAACTCTTCTTTGGAAGATTCTTTGTTGGAAGGACACCAAATTTTAGAAATTTTTTTGTCAGCTTTTTTCCATAGTCTGCAAAAATAATTGTTATTACTGAACATGAGTATTTAAAAAATTTCTCTGGTGCTTTCTTTTTGAGGCAAAATTATTTCACAAAATTTTTAATCCAAAACTTGATTGTATTCAAAGGAGTTTTAGGCCATATTTTATCATGGATGGACAGGGCCTCCGACGAAACTAAAAAAGTGGAGGGGGGGGCAAACTTTGATAACAAAAAGTTACCGCGTCACAACATGATGAGCTGCCTTTAAAAGGCATAATTTGCAAAAAAGTGGGGGGGGGGCAAGGCCCCTTGGCTCCCCCGTCGTCGCAGGATGGATGTGGATGGATTGGGCATCAATATTTACAGAGACAAAAACTAATCTTTACTCACGTATAGTGATGTTTTCAGTTAAGAAATGTCTCTCACAGATGTGCAACGAATCGGCCTTCAATTGTCTTTTTAAAACGTCATTAGGTTCTTCATTTATGGCAACGCAGCTGTACGGTTGAGTCTAACATTGCCTGATGAATTCTTGGAGAAACTCATCATAACCTGGCGTTGATCGATTCAGCCCAAGCGCTACGTCAGTTGGCTCCTGCGAAATAAAATGCTCTTGAAGTAACATATCGATCTGAGTAAAATCATCAGGAGCTGCAATGCGGTATAAAAGCTGTTTTGAATCAATTCTTGGCATTGATTCCATTTCTATCTTTTAGTGACAGAGTTCAACGATATAAACACTTGAAATTTCTATCATTCGTCGACATGTCAAAATTTCTATCATTCTCTGTGTTTTGTGATAACATTCACCAATTCTTGTCACCATTGCGAAGATTTTTCATCCTTCCCGACTGAAAGTTTAAACAAACCAATCTTGCCATCAGGGTTGCTTTTGCCTTGCCGTCGACTAACTCCGCAACCATTCAAACAGCAGTTTTCTCCATAGAAAGGGAATTTACTGTAACAACCTAGCAAAGTGGGTAACCGAAATTTTTGAAGTGGATATGACTTCTATGATGGTTGGTTGTCAATTTAAGCCTTGGGTAGCCTTGGGCACATTCGCGAAAATTTGTTGGTGTCACGTGATCGATGACGTAATTACTCCCCTGTCAGTAAAATATTAATGACAACATTTTTTAAATCTGAGTATACCATTCGAAAGAACATGCAAAACTGAATCACAAATCATAAAACATATTGTTTGTCTTATTGTTTCAAAATTTTAGATGTTTCAATTTTCCATGACGTCATCAAAATGGCCGCCACTGGATTTTGTAAAGAGCAATTTTTCATCGTGTGCGCTCTACTAAAACAATTCTTAGCAGCCAAATTGTTTTGTAAACATACAAGTTAGGTTTCAGTTATGCCGAGATAAGCTGCCCTCTGAATTCTTAGCCTTTGGTTGCTAAGAATTGTTTTAGTGCGACACCCTGAATCCGCCCCTGAAATGCAGGTATTCTACTAGGCCGATAAACCAAAGGGAAAAAAGTGGTACAATTGACTGGTTGCCAGTGAAGGAACGTAGAAACTGGCATCTGATGAAGCTTTCATTTTAGTACATACATGATCAGCAAAAGCCCAAGTTCATTGACACATGGCTTAAAGAAAATACCAGAAACGTAACATAAATTTTTGTGACACTTATTGCATCGTCTTGTGCTTCCAGATAGTTCCAGGAAAGATGTGGCAGAACTCCTCGATGAACTGCCGACAGGAATTAGAGAAGCTACGGCTGCAATGGAATTTTCATTACCAAGGCGCATGTAATTATGCATAGAAGCAAAGAAAAGACTTTTAGCTCAACATTGGAATGAAATTAGCTTTCAAATAATTTTAACTAGATATATAATCCTGTTTCAATACTTTTGAAAAAGCTTGCAGAGACCAGGTGTAGACTCGCTCTCTTAATAAACTGTCTTGTCCTTATTGCTGTCGCACTACGCAAGTGCATTATGATGATTATTATGACTTATTAGTGTCAAGAATAGTCAAATTATGTCAAGAAGTATCAAACATATTTAGATCAACATAGTTTTAGCGCATTTGCAGTGAATTCCAACTCACTTAGTTATCAGAACAAAGGTTTTGGCAAAACTTGGGAAAATCCACTAATGACGTTACAAAATAAGCAAACGTCAGCAAAATAAATTATTTGATACATTTATTGAAAGCTCTTGAAATGCACATTCACATAAAACCCAGATTTCGTAAATTGATTTATTTTGAATATTAAGTGGATTTATGGCTGTTTTGCCGTTATCGATGACGTCATCAATCACGTGATACTGATGCAAAATTTGTTGGATCCCATCTTTGATTCTGAATCTCCATACTCGAAAGTATACAAACCCATCGAGAGCATCTCGGTTAGGTGAGAAATCAGATTTTCACAGTCATAGCCCTGCCTATACCTTCATGAGAGATTTTCCAAATTACCATAACCAGCAACGAATCAAGCAAATTTTCCTGAGGGAAGCACTATATGCTTAAATTCTGCACTCGGGCTGGTCATCACGTCCTTACTGTTCAAAAAATAGAGGGCGTGAACTCTTTTTTATAGAGGCCAATCTCGTTGATTTCCCCACGTTAGTTTTTTTAAGACTTTTGATATGTTTTGAAGCTTTATATGTTTTTTCATTAAAAAACTTTCTGTTGCAGTTTGTTCTAGGCTTTGCTAGTATTTTATTTCGAATTACATGATTATTTCGGTTGAGTGATCTAGAGTTAATAGTTCAAGCCACATCGTATTGTCAAAAGATTGACAAAATCTGATCCTGCGGACCATTTTTCACCAAGAATTAACCAAGTAGAACGAGTTAGGCACGTCGACGAATGATAGTAATTTCCAGTGTTTATATCGTTGACCTCTGTCACTAAAAGACAGAAATGGAATCAATGCCAAGAATGGATTCAAAACAGCTGTCATACCGCATTGCAGTTCCTGATGATTTTACTCAGATTGATGTGTTACTTCAAAAGCATTTTATTTTGCAGGAGCCAACTGACGTAGCGCTTGGGCTGAATCGATCAACGCCAGGTTATGATGAGTTTCTCCAAGAAGAGATCAGGCAATGCTTGACTCAACCGTACACCTTCGTTGCCATAAATGAAGAAAATGAAATCGTCGGGGTAAGCATGAATAAAATGAGTCATAAGCCCAGTCAAAATGCAATCGATGATTGGAAGCTAGAGAATCCTGTTCGAAGCGAACTCTCCGCTCTGGAAATTTTGCAGGTCTTCTTGGCAAAATTAGAAGAAGAAGTCGACAGGCTTATCCCAGAAGATTGTCGTAAGAACATATTGAAGATTTCCATCCTGTGTGTGCACCAGAAATTTCGACGCCTTGGCATCGCGGCCAAATTGGTGGACTTATCTTTTCAAAACGCCCGAAAGCTCAAATTCTGTTGCGTTTTTGCATTGTTAACTGCAAAGGCATCCCAAAACCTTTTCAAGAATGATGGCTTTGAAGTCTTGCGAGTGATAAAGCATAAAGATTTTGTAGATGAAAACGGAAAGAGATTGTTGAACTGTAATGATGGAACCGACCAAGGACAACTAGTTTTTAAAATACTCCAGTCTTAAATAAAGCTAGAACAGCTGAAAATATGCTGAGAATTTGTATGTCCTTAAGCTTTGATTATTTTTTAAAATTTTATGGCAAAGATATTGAAAATTTATATTTATTGCATTTCCACAGCCTGACTGTTTAGAAAGTAAATATATCTAATTATGAATGTTTTTCGCTGAAGATAAGGAGTACTCTGCAGATCTGCCTTTTATAGTTTCGGATACAATCAATTTTCGGTGGTATGATCTCAAAATAAAACCTACAAATTAAATTTTTTTTACATGGCTATAGCTTTGTATTTTCGTAAAAAATTGAAACTTACAATACTCGAATAAATACTCTGCATACCCTCCTTTGTTTCTATTCTAGTGGCTTTTAACGGAAGCAAATTGATGCTTTATAACTTATGGCAAAATTAAAGGTTAGAAAGTTCAAAGTCCATCTTTTATTTGCATTTTTCTATCGTGGCCATATGCTAGAAATATTTTTTAAGAGATTTCTCTTCATCAATTATTCAACGTCCTTACTCTGAAGACGATCGTACGAAAAGTATTTTAGTATGCCATTTTTTTGCTATTTCATGCCATCTTCAAAATTTCCTTACGCAAAACTGACTTGTTTTCTCACTTACAAAAATTGTTCGCTCTCTAACAACATTCCAACTGGCGACCATTCTAATATGCTCGCAACCATGATAAAGAATAAGATTAGCATAACTTCCCAAACAATTTTAGTATAAGATTTTGGATCTGCTCCTTTTGTTTCTAAGTACATTAGTGGTTTGAGGTATCGGTCTAATACTTGTTCTCTGTTTTGTAAAGATAATTATGTCCATTTCGTTTGAAATCTTTGGAATTTTGTAACCAGAAAGGCGGTTTTCCTTGAATGTGCCCTCAGCATTGTAAGTTAGAGCTAATGCAAGATGTAATACCTCTATATCTCTACTTAAAGTGATTTCGAAAATATAATGCAATATTGTTTGGCCTTTTCTGCCAAATATGTAATGTTTTTCAGCATTTTAGCAAAAAAGTCGAAATCTAGAGCTAGATTTCATTCAGCACAAACCTCTTGCAATGTTGTAAAGTTCACAAAGTTTTCTGTAGAACTTTTAGCCTTATGCAAGCAAGCAGGTTATGTTTGGTAAAAGGCAAAGACAAACCTTAATAGAATAAAAATGGATCAATAAACAGTTTAAAGGTAATAGAGCTAATAGGAGGGGAAAACCGATCCAAAAAACTCGTTTAGCCTTATATAAAAGTCTTATGAAAAATCTTTTATAATCTCTACGATTTAAAAAAACCTCAAAAATCTCATGAAATTTAACTATATCTCTCAAATCTTTGCAAAGATCTCAAAAAATTTCAAAAAATTATCACAATTCCTTAGAGTTCCCAACGTTTTCCAAAATATTTCACCAAAACTGCCAAACTGTTATAAATTACATGCGTGCCTTGTAGTGGGACAATTGAGACTCAAGGTCGCAGATGAGTTTTTAAGTGTTACGTCTTAAAAATCTATTTCTAGAATGTTTGAATTTTGACATCACAACTTAAAAGAACACCATGAAATACTAAATATGAAAAATCAGTTACATGTTTCAAAAATCGGTCGAAATATGACGGCCATAGCCATAGGATTTAAGTTCCTTGTTTCTATTTATAGAAGCTTGTAATTGAATCATTTCGTTAGATTTTTTCATGCTGTACGTTAGTAAAGATGTACTGAAGAGAATTTACAGAAAATTTCAAAATTTTATTTTCCTCAGAGTTTAGTCTAACCATGTATCGAGTCCAAGCTAGCAAGCAGAGAGAATCCCAAATTTATGGTCCACCGAGCCGGATAATGAAATAGAGACAAATAATCGGGGAACCGATAATTTGAAAAAGACAATAAAAAAAAGAATTTTTAATCGTGCTACGATGAAGCTCCTGAATAAAATGGAAGATGCCCTCAGGAAGGAGGAAAACAGGACAAGGATGAGTTACGTTTAGAACAGATACTGGAAGATCTGAAGCGTTAGATAGTAAAATTTTCTAATTATTGTTCGAGGAAGCAGACGACGAGGAAGCTCTTGATATTGAGGAGAAAATTACGTATTACCAAATTTTCGCATCCTCAGTCAATTAGGCGAAATCTTCAGTCGAAGATTTGGAAATCTTCAGTCAAAACTGGATTTTCGGGAAAGATTGCAGAATGGCAAGAGTTCTGGGATGATTTCAAGAGTACGGTACAAGATGACAACCAACTTGCCAAGGTAGACAAATCAAAATATTTAGAAAGTTATTTAGAAGAGTGCGCACGAAGCGTTGTAACGGGATTTGCCCTTAGAGACGCAAATTATGAGTTAGCCATAGAGTTGTTGAAAGGCAGATATGCAAAGCCTAGCGTTATATGACGCGCCCACATAAATTGCCCCATCAGTTTTGCCCTAGTCTTCAATAAGTAGAGTGGACAGAGATTACGTTATCAGCACGTTCAGATCGAGACACGTTTTCATCTTCTACCGTACCGTACCGTACCGTACGCAATGGAGGCTCTATATGTAAGCAAGGAAAAGTGCTCCAGTGTTGTGTTTCTTGTTCTAATGGGAATAATTCCAGAGCTGGCAAGAAGCAACATGATTCGATTTTGACAAAACCGCATGGACTAGAACTTGGACCACCTGCTTGAAGCTTTTAGAAGGAGCTGGAGGTTCTTAAGGGCGTTTTCCCAATCAAGCAGCGATCGCAGCAAGAAAACAGAAGCCATGACCAGAATTCAAACAGGCAAGCCATGACCAGAATTCAAACAGGCAAGACTCCAACGGCTTTTGTCTTGCTTGTTGCAGAGATGCTCCGGTGAAGTGCGCATTCCGCAAAGAAAATCACGCACCTGAGAAGGGCGAGAAAGTTAAAGATCCGGACAAGCGTAAGATTATTTCGATTAAGAATGCTAGGTGTTCTAACGCAACCTAAGGCTACTGTACCTCGGCTTAACCCCACTGCATCGGCTTGTTTAGTGAACACTGTCTCTGAAGGGGGTGTGACCATGGCAAGGAGGAGAATAGAGCGTGGGTTTTGTTGATACAGAAAGCCATGAATCTTTTATCACAGCCAAGTCAGCTGGTAGACCCAGATTAAGGCCTATGAGGTGTGAAAACTGGGAATAATGGTGTTTGGGAGTAAGGAGGAACATTTCGCTACAATAGATGAACTAAGAATTTCTCAAAGTCGATATAAAGGAGAAGAGAGTGTAATAATAGAAGCTTTTGTGGTTAGGGATATCTCTGGTATTCCTCTAATTCAAATAGATGAATCGCAAAAGAATTTTTTGCACACAACACGGCTGTCATTCTCTAATATTTGCAGATCCAAAGACAGCTTGGAAGTAGATTGTCTAGTTGGATCTAATATGCTATAGCAATTCCAATTGGGGGAGACAATTTAAGGGGGCCAGATGAACCTGTGGCGGTAAAGACCAGCTTGGGCTGCATTCTACCAGGATAACCCAAAGTTGGGTAACTTGATTCTATTGACTGCAATGTGAATTTTTATATTGAGGCCAGGCCTCTTTTCATTGCAAATGAAAAACATGGCTTAGATAATCAGGTAAAAAGGCTTTGGGATCTGGACAGCCTTGGAATTCGGGAAAAGGATAAGGTCCTTTGATTTGTACCTGATGAATTTTTTGAGGTTATGCCATTTAGAATGCCGGTAAAAGCCTCTTTTAGAAAATACTTGCTTCTTTCCACTTATTTTTTAAAAACAGTCTAATTCAGAGAAGATAACAGTTACTATAAAAATAGATTTCACAAGATTAAACACCAAGAATATGAACAAGATGGGTTTCTAGTCAAGACGAACTGCTACTATTACTTGGCATCCAATAGAGTAAGCTTTCCAAAGTTGTGTTGAAGTAAACTTTCTTAGGATAAATAAGGGATGATTTCATTTGCCAAAATAGAAGACTAACGACAAAGAGTTAGCAAGGAGATAGCAACAAAAGAAAGGAAGGGAGTGAAAGAGGAAAAAACCTCTAAACATGAAGACACACCGCTTGTTAAGGAGAGTCTAGGCATGCCAGTCAGTATTGGGGAGAAGACTAAGGTTTTGGGTATAACGTAGAGCAACACAAGAGATACCTGGGAGTTTAATCTGAGGAACAGGGGTGAGGAAGTAGGTAAAACACCCCAACTTACCAAAAGAGGTATCGTAAGTTCCATGGCCTCCAATTTTGACCCCAACGGGGTTGTTAGCCCTATATCTTGTTTCAGGAGCTGTGTTTAGGTAAATTGAGCTGGGATGATCCAATTCTTAAAGATAAGCTTGCAAGATGGGAAGAATAGGTAAAGGATTTGAAACGGACTGGTACAATTTGCCTTCCTAGGTGTGTTGTTTTCAAAAACAAGCAGATTATGGTGTCAAGGGCCTCATTGGTTGGACGGGCAAGACAACTGGCCTGATGTGTTCACTCTAGAAGACTCGCCTGATGTTAAGGAAGAAAGAAAGAAGAACGCAGATTTGAAAATGAGGCAAGGAGTGACTGAGATTGTTAAGGTAGACAGGCATTGTAGTCTAGGTAAGTTGCTCCGGGTTACTGCTTATATCCAGAGAATTACAGAGAATTTAGGGCGTCACAGAACAAGGATGTAACCTAAAAGGGGTCTCTTCACTGTGATGGAAATAGAAGCCGTAGATAGAAATTGTCAGTGCAGTTAGGGGTTGCAAGTTATAATAGGCTCTTATTATTGAAAGGAAGATTAGGTGACTCGAATTTATATTACAGAAGTTAGTATCCGATACTCCTCCCCAAATATGTCGCTTTCACTGACTTTGTAATTCAAGATTGTCATGCTAGTAGAGTGCATCTCATTAAATCCCGATCAACTCTAGCTGATCTCAGAGTGAGATTTTAAAACCTCCCAAATCTCAATTAACTTCAAGAAAAATGTTGTTACTTTTGAAGTACCAAAAACCTCGTCCATTTTTAGAGAGGGAATTTGCCCCTCGGTTCTCTGCACGCCAATAGGCCTTTCTCCTATGGAATTGTCATAAACTAGTGTCGCATCAATGCATATAATAAAGGAGGTATGGCGCGGTGAGGGTTAACACAATAACTAACACTCGAATTTATCTTTCTTTTCTCCTTCTTCTTCATTTTCCACAAAAAACACATACAACTTTTTTTCCACAATAACAAACTGCAAAACGATTCCTATCCCACTAATGAGTCTTCTCTCCCTTATTCGCAAAAAATCATTTTTTTAATCGCTCTCAACTGCATTCCTTACGTCTTCCCTCCGCAACACTCTCCCATAGGCAATGGCTCTTTGAGGAAAAAAAAATGCCACATCAAACGTACTGCGATCACCTTTTGTACTGTAACTACAGCGATAAACGTTTTGAAAAAAGCATAGACAGAGCAGAATTTGGATTTTCACAAGGCCATGTCCCTAGTTTTTTCTTAGATTTTACATTTCCTTGACAGTATTGGGGGAGGAAAAGGGGTGCCACTGCAAGAAAGCAACGTAAAACTGGTTATAAAATTAAAAATGAATGATACTGCCATGAGACTCTTTAAAACAAGAGATTTCAAATATCTATTTTCCTTATTGTTGACAGTTTTTGTGAACGAAGAATGAGTGCTTTACGTTTTTGTTAAAAATCAATAGCCCACTTTACTTGCACCAAACTGGCAGTTTCAAGAGCATTGAAATCAGACAAGTTGCTTGTGTTGTTTTCTGTTTGTATTCTTGGCTGATTTGTCTTGTAATCGCTATGCGCTTTCGACAGATTGCGAAATGTGTATGCAGCCCAATCCCTAGTCGCATCAACGAATTTTCTAGGACTAATTTTAAAGAGCTCTGACAATTAAATACAGTAATGGAATCCGTGCCAAGAATGGATTCAAAACAGCTGTCATACCGCATTGCAGTTCCTGATGATTTTACTCAGATCGATATGTTACTACAAGAGCATTTTATTTCGCAGGAGCCAACTGACGTAGCGCTTGGGCTGAATCGATCAACGCCAGGTTATGTTGAGAATCTCCAAGAAGTCATCGGGCATTGCTTGACTCAACCGTACAGCTTCGTTGCCATAAATGAAGAAAATGTAATCGTCGGGGTACGCTTGAGTAAACTGCATAAACCAAGTCAAAATGCAATTGATGACAGAAAGCTAGAGAATGCTGTTCGAAGTGGATTCTCTGCTTTGGAGATTTTTGAGGTCTACTTGGCAATATTAGAAGGGGAAGTCGAGAAGCTAATCCCAGCAGATTGTCGTAAGAACATACTGAAATTTTCCATCCTGTGTGTGCACCAGAAATTTCGACGCCTTGGCATCGCAGCCAAATTGGTGGATTTATCTTGTCAAAACGCCCGAAAGCTCAAATTCTGTTGCGTTTTTGCATTGTTAACTGCAAAGGCATCCCAAAACCTTTTCAAGAAGGATGGCTTTGAAGTCTTGCGAGTGATAAAGCATAAAGATTTTGTAGATGAAAACGGAAAGAGATTGTTGAACTGTAATGATGGAACCGACCAAGGACAACTAGTTTTTAAAATACTTCAATCTTAGATAAAGATAGAACAGCTGAAAATATGCTAAATTTTAATGTCCTTAAGCTTTGATTTCAAGTGATCATACTTTTAGGCTTCAAAATTATGTATTTTTTAAAAAATTATTTTACCTTGCAGTGATGTAAAAATGAAACAAAAGAAAAGAAATTAAAAAATTCTATGTTTTATGTTATTTACAAAACGCTGTAAATGCAGTTTCAAGGCTCTGAACAGGAGGTTCTAAAGCTATTATATTGTCAAATTGATGAAAATGAGCAACGAGTCACGTGATATCAAATATGCTGAGACTGATTGAAATTATCAGTCCATGAGTATCCAAACGAAGTGAAATCTGTTTTTCTTGTGTCTTACCTTGCCGAAACTAAACACAATCGTTACTCAAAGAACCCTGAGGTAGTAATCTTCTGGTTCAACAGAGTGGTATTTGAGTGTAATTTATCCCCCTTCCTCCTAAACTGTGTTTTGAGAGATACATACATGTTGCAAACAATCTGCGAGATGTTTTATCATGCAAAAGATAAGAAGTCAAAACCACAAAGTCTGATCGACAAAGTTTAGACTGGGCCTTATCACATATTCGAGACCCGCCGTCTCTTTAGTTAGTCAATAGGTAATCTGACTATAGGTAGTCAGAGTCAATCTTCTTGCTTCCATCCCGGACTGCAGTTTTCCACACCACACGGTCAGACGCCATTGCATCCCAGTTTTCTAGGGGGATGCCTATTTCCATGGGATCCCCCTTGGCACAGTCATTGAACCTCAGTTTGAGCCATCCTCTCTGTCTTGACCCGCTACTTAGCTTACAATAGAAAATGTCTTTCGGCAGCCGCCTGTCTTCTAACCAATGTAGGTGCCCCAGCCATCTCATTCTCCTAGATTTCAAGATGTGGAACATTTAATGGCTTCCTGTGCGGGCCAGAAGCTCCTCGTTGGTCAGGCCCATAGTCAAGAGGTGGCATGGGTTGGCGATGCAATTCCTGGAACCTAAGAATTGTTTGCCACCCTGAGAAATTGGTCTTTGAGTTTTTTAGTGGGTTATTTTCGTCGTTTTGTTGGATTGTTATGGCATTTGAGTCAAGCCAACACTGACAGAAGGAATTATTTAGATCGGAATCTACTTTGTCCAATGTAGGACTTAAAATAGTGCTTGGTGCTCAAAAAATTAAAAAAATCTTCCCATGCTGAAAAAAAATTTTTAGGAAATGTTTGAATATTTTAAATCATGTCATTTTTTTCATTTTAAATTCTTTATACAGAAAATTTCTTCAGCTTAAAACTAAATACCAAATAAGAAAAAAAATACCTTAACAGCATTAATATAATTTATATACAGTTAAAGCTAAATTATGCACAGTAATCTATCTTATAGCAGCTGCTCTTCCAGGGAGTCGTGTTTTATGTTGTGTTCAGCTCGTATAATAACTTTTAAATTGCTTTTTGAATTTTTCATAAGTGTAGAGAGTTCTCTGATATTGATGGGAATGTCGTTCCAGGCCTTTAGAGCCGAATAGTGAAAGCCTTTCTTGACGTATTCAAGGTTATTTCTTGGGGTTTGTAGTTCCCTGCAGGTCTAGTTTAAGGAGCGATGACCGTCGCTTGGCTAAAATATTACTGCATCGGAGTGGGATGTTAATTTTTGCAAAGTGCATGCTCATTGACATTCTATAAAGCCAATAAACATAATGGTAAAGCAGCTTCAATCTTCCAATGAAAATCGTGTCACAGCACTGTCTTTAGTTAAAGCAATGAGACAAGACCTTAAGTAGTGATGTAAAAACTCGACTGAGAACCAATGCTTGAGATGGTTGCGGAGTTTTCTTGGTAAATGTGCTAAAAAATAGCACCTGATCGAGGTGGAGTCGATACGTGCATTATTAAAGGTAGATTTCCCTCAGCAACATTCCATGAAGACAGAGAGGGAATGCAATCCTGCATCACTGTCATTTGGAAGTAAAATTTTGACGGAAGACATAACATTTGAAAGTTTTCTAGTTTAATGGAAGTTAAGTTGTTTAATTGCTGAAGATATGTTACAGGCTTTTGGCTTGTTTGTTTCCACTAACGAGGGACAGATCAGTACTGGTAGCGGAGCCCAGATAGCAGAATTTGTCGACTACATTTAACTCCTGGTTTTCCACTTGGATTGTTGAGCTGTTGGCAGTTGAGTGATTCAAAGCAATCAGTTCTTTGTTGTGATGATAAGGGAGAGGTTTGCACAGGCGGCGCTGAATCGGTCCATAAGATGTTGCAGGCCTTCCGGACTGTGGGAGACGAGACGGCTCTCGCACAAGAACTCGGCGCATTTTCGTTTTGGCACAAAGCCTGGACGAGTTGACCATCTGACCTTGTGTGAAGGTAGTTGGTGGGATTTTTGAAGTACCAAAAATCTCGTCCATTTTTTGAGAAGGCATTTGCCTCTCGATTCTCTGCACGCCAATAGGCCTTTCTCCTATCGAATTGTCATAAACTAGTTCCGCAGCAATGCATGTTATGAAATAGGCAATGGCTCTTTGAGGAAAAAATGCCACAACGTGCGTGCTGCGATCACCTTTTGTACTGTAACTACAGCGATAAACGTTTTGAAAAAAGGCATAGACAGAGCAGAATTTGGATTTTCACAAGGCCATGTCCCTAGTTTTTTCTTAGATTTGACATTTCCTTGACAGTATTGGGGGAGGAAAAGGGGTGCCACTGCAAGAAAGCAACGTAAAACTGGTTATAAAATTACAAATGAAGGATACTGCCATAGAAACTCTTAAAAACAAGAGATTTCAAATATCTATTTTCCTTATCGTTGACAGTTTTTGTGAACGAAGAATGAGTGCTTTACGTTTTTGTTAAAAATCAATAGCCCACTTTACTTGCACCAAACTGGCAGTTTCAAGAGCATTGAAATCAGACAAGTTGCTTGAATTGTTTTCTGTTTGTATTCTCGGCTGATTTGTCTTGTAATCGCCATGCGCTTTCGACAGATTGCGAAATGTGAATGCAGCCCAATCCATAGTCGCATCAACGAATTTTCTAGTTCTTATTTTAAAGAGCTCTGACACTGAAATACAGTAATGGAATCCATTCCAAGAATATATTCAAAACAGCTGTCATACCGCATTGCAGTTCCTGATGATTTTACTCAGATCGATTTGCTACTTCAACAGCATTTTATTTCGCAGGAGCCAACGGCTGTAGCGCTTCATCTAAATCGATCAACGCCAGGTTATGTCGAGTTGCTTCAAGAAATCACCACAGAATGTTTGACTCAACCGTACAGCTTCGTTGCCATAAATGAAGAAAATGAAATTGTCGGGGTAAGCATGAATAAAATGAGTCATAAGCCCAGTCAAAATGCAATGGATGATTGGAAGCTAGAGAATCCTGTTCGAAGCGGACTCTCCCCTTTAAAAATTTTGCAGGTCTACTTGGCAAAACTTGGAGAGGACGTCGAGAAGCTAATCGCAGCAGATAGTAGTCAGAAAATATTGAAGATTTCCATCCTGTGTGTGCACCGGAAATTCCAACGTCTTGGCATCGCGGCCAAATTGGTGGACTTGTCAATTAAAAATGACCGAGTATTCAATTTCTGTTGTGTGTTTGCAGAGGCAATTGCCAAGGCCTCCCAAAACCTTTTCAAGAAGAATTGCTTTGACGTCTTTCGTTTGATAAATCATAAAGATTTTGTAGATGAAAATGGAAAGAGATTGTTGAACTGTAACGATGGAACCGACCAAGGACATTTAGTTTTTAAAATAATTCAGCCTTAGATATAACTTAAATAGTGTTTGAGCAATTAGGCTCTGGTTTTAATATACAAACTTTGTCCATCGATGATAAATCAGGGTAATAGCGTGACTCTATGCACGCCAACTAGTGACGATCTATCTAATGACATTATCAATTATGTTCATTTGTTGTTACACTACTTATTGTTAAGTAACATAATATCGTATATTCTTTTGGGATCTTTATATTAAGATAATTGTCGAAGAATGACGGATGTAACAAGTCGTGTATTTCTTACAAGTCCCTTTTAAATCCAACAAAAAGGTTCGTTATAGCAGATTTTTGGAAGTTTCTGCGTTGTAGATTAGACCTAGTTTAAAGGTCGCATTTCTGCCGCATCGAATTAAATTAAAGAGGATAGAAAAACTAGATGTCAATTTAATGCGACACAAATGCGACCTTCAAATCCATTGCCGCATTAAATAATTAAATGCGACGGTAGTTCACGAGGCTTGTCGCATAAAACGACAGTAGGGCGACTGGCTTTAAAGGTCGCTTTCTGTCGCGTCGAATTAAATTAACCAAAGGTGTGTTCCAGATATTAGCAGCAGCTTATATTATTTCCAACCAATTGCACAAGCGTGAAATACAGTGGCGGCTCGTGGGGTAAATTTTTGGTGGGGCTGATGACGTAATATTCGAAATCTAAAGCCATAGACACGGAACGCCAAAAATGATAAACAGCCTTCCCCTTTCCATTCTTTACTCTTTCAATTTCTTTACCTCTAATCAACAAGGCTGTCATCATCTTGAAAGTTTTGATTGAAAAAAAACAAGTGCCACTATTAAAGGTAATGTGTCCATATAAAAGGACTGCGTATACCCAACTTGTCAAGCCACCCATCAAAGTAACAGTTTGCGATTGGTTAGTATTCTTGCGATGCAAAACTGCTCACACGAAAAGCTAACCTCGCAGCAGGATAAATAAACAGAACGACCGTAATGACTGGGGCGATGACATGAAAAATCACATGTTTTTAAAAACCCCCGCAGAGTCGCTTGCTATAGCTGGACACATTACCTTTAAGTATTGTTACTTTAAAAGTTGGCCAAGGCAGTTAAACGGCTAAACAGTATATTTCGATTGATGATGACTGTACTGTTCCCAATTTTCGTCTTAGGTGAAGATCTTCAAATGTTCGAACTCTTTCTTTTTTCTTGATGCTCGCATCTTCCATGTTCTCAAGTTGGTTTTGGATATTTCGTCAAATATTCTCTGCTTTATCAATGTTTACTTGAAAGTCCTTTAAGATATTTTGGAGATCGGACCATTCTTTGATCGACGTGAGATCTTTGTTTTCTTCAGACACTGCTTGGGCAAACTGAACATGCCGTTCACTTGTTTTTTTAAATGCGCCAGTCACTTCACTCATTTGTCATTGTCTGCACATCTATGCGTACTTCTAACCCTGCTTCTAACCCATCAACCAATCAACTGGGGAGTAGATTGTGAAATACCTCTTCCTCGCGCCAGACCACCGTTGATCTTTAACTATAGCTATTCAAAGTGTCATATCATTTTTACAAATTCTGAGATGTTCTATAGTGGTAACCAGGGCCGGTCCCATTTGGGAGGTGTGGTGTGGGGATTGGGGGGGTGTGGGGAGGTGTAACACCCCCCGAAGAATAGGAATTTGTTTTTCAGTCGGTAAAATTGGAATTTAGTCGGTAAAATGGGGATCTTGACTGGTAAGTAATCCTTTTAAATGTTCAGACGAAAAAACTGTCCTTCATGTAATCTTTAAAAAATTCAAAAATATTAAAAAGATCTGCAGTACAATTTTTCCGTTTTATTGTTCATTGCCACATCATCTCTGACACCTTCAATCGGTTGATTTATTAACATTGCATTGTATACCCGGAATGATATATACACACAGTGTTATATCCGGGAAGCAGCAATACCGCTGCGCTGGATTTTGCAAAAACAAATTCTGCTGCAAGCAGCTCTGCGGGGGTTCGAAGAAACATGTGATTTTTCATATCATCACCCCAGCCATTACGGTCATTTTGTGTATTTACCCTGCTGCGAAGTTTGCGTTTAATGTGAGCAGTTTTGCATCGCAAGAATACTGAACAATCACAAGCCGTTATTTTGATATTACGCAGCCCTTTTATATGGACACGTTGCCTTTAAGGATACACTGATTGGGAGAAATTATATAACGAACCTGAGAATTATATGGTGGAAATTCAGGTAACTAGAAAAGTTTACTTCTGCCTTTTAGCTTTGTCTCTTGCTAAAATGTACGATGGATCCTATCATTACTAGAGCTGATTTACGTGTGTTTGTTGCTGCTCATTCACGTCGTGTTGCGGTGTTACTTATTCACAACATTTTAGCGTTTTTTCGCCGCAAGAATCCCTTTTGATTCCGTCGAGCAGCCTGCTATCGTGGCCTTTTCTTTATTCACACAAGAACACCTTTACATGGTAAAAACGCCTCGTTGATGAGATGGAATTTTTAAGGGGTTTTTTCAAACTTTGTTCAAAATTACCTTTTAGCGTACTTCGGCCTCGGATTGTTCTCAATGTGATCTTATCTTTTGTTTAAAGTGCAGATGACATTAAAATTTTATTCGCTTAAATCATCAAAGAAACATCGCTGGTAACGATGGTGAACTTAGTTTTTTCATTTGCGACTTACTTTCCCCAAAAAACGGGGTTTTCCAACACCCAATGTGTGTCACAACAAAAACGCGGTCGAACCTTCCCCTGTGACGTAAAGTGGTTGTGTATCCGTTGAATAGAACAAGGCTTCTGTATGGTTTCACTATGTGCGGGCACTACTGTTGTGTCCCCCTAAATATTTTTTCCTCCATAATTGTAATAAGTTTTATTTATATAACTCAAGCAATGCCATCAAAGGTCGGAAAGTAATTTAGAAAATTTTTTGGTTCATTATAAAATTGATAAAAATTGAAATAAAGTGAGCCGGCTATGGTCATACTTTCGCAACTCACAATGTTATCATATGACCAGCCCAGGTTAGTTTGCAAGAAAAGCTTATTCAAAAATAAACATGATGTTCAAGAACAAAATTAGAAAACTTTCACTATAAAACAGGTAAGTGCGTTACGGTAAACCATTGTGCATGGCTTTAGGGAATGAATACCCCCTTGAGAAAGATACCGTTGTGCTTGACTGCCATCCTGGAAAACCTGCCCCAACAGAAGCACGCGCTTGGTATTACTTATTAAAAATGCAGCGTAAAGATATCGAGCCATCATCTTTTTCAAGTGCACCTTTTTCCGACTGATTTTTCCCCGTACATTTCCCTCTCCTCCTGGTTTTGACACCGAAAACACCAAAACATTTTTTCGACGTGATGCTCTACCTTCAGTTCGCAAACCAAAACAAGACAAAGAACGAAGCAAGAATGAAAATGCATGGTGAGTAATATGATTCCTATTGTTTTTTTATAACTGCCTAACAACGTTCTATTGTGTAACACCTGAGATACACCGGGGGCACTCCTTGTCTCTCCTTGTCTCTCTGTGTGGGGTCCATATCACTGTTTTTAATACATAAAAATAATCCAAATATTCAATTTTGCAGTTATTTTTTAAACCATTTAAACAAATGTAAACTACTTCAATATTTCATAAAAAAGCGAAAAAGGTTTTGGAAACTCAAAAAGCAGGGGGTTGGAAAATCAAGAAATATTTAACAAGCAGGGAAATGATATTCGATGGGATAAAGATGCAAAATGCAAGTGAGAATCGATTAAAAATAAACAGAAGTCATCAAGTAACAAAACATGATATAAAAACTTTCAATTAAATCACGGATTCAAACTTTTGAAAAATCTGTTTCTGTATAACAGAAATAGCCTTGATCAAAGACCAAAAAATTAATCTTGGATCATGTTTGTTGTTGTACATAATGTACATATTGAAATTTGTGTTCCTCGTTCTTCACAGGCAAGCAGCGTAAACGGAAGCTCTGCAAAGATGGAGTTGCTTTGGCATCAACAAGGTTTTGAATCTCTCAGAATTTCTGGAATTCAAGAATCTACGTTTGTATCTGACAGACACCAAGACTGTATGCCATTGCACAGAGATACCTATTGAATAAGAACATTGTATGACTTAATATAATGGTTGATTTGAGTTTCTCTTACATTCTTTAGAATCGGCAGGATCATAACGTTGCATATATATATGTATATGGTATACTCATTTCTGCCAGATTTAATGAAAATAAAATATTAAATTTACTAATTCCAAGAATTGAAGGTGCCAAACAGAATTTGTATTTCTAGACAGATTAACTTCTTCTTCATTCGCCCATACAAGGCAATAGACTAGGCCGCTTTGATCAGGGAATGATGGCCTAAAAACAGCAGAAATGTACGGGGAATACTGAATTTATAACACTAAAAAACATAATGACAACCTATTTCACTCACCATTGACTCAAAGTAATAATTCCTCGCCAACGATCACGCAGTTGGGATTGTTGTATTCCATCTTCGTCCTCTGCCCAGTCATGAAAGCTTCGAGCCATGCCAGCTTCGCCTGGTTGCGCGTCTGAAAAAAGACTGGTTCGTTCTTGCAAGGCGAAAATAGCCCATCAGCAGCACCTAAAAGCTATTCCCCTTCACTTTCGTCAAAAGCTGACGCCCTCGAGCTTGAATAATTGCCGTGAGACATGTTCACAAACTCGCAAGTAAACTCCGCCGTATAATTTCTCGTTAGTTAGCAATGTAAATTTTCACTTTACGTCAACCCGTAAACACAACCCCTTTACGTCACTTTCTGTCAAACTCGACCCAATCCCTTGTGACAGAATTTGTAGCAGAAATCGACCTTGAAACAGCTGTAATTACGAAAGTGTTTGTTTTTCGAAAATTTTATGGTGATTTTCGTGATCAGCATACTCGATTACGTCTTGGGGGCAAATAAAAATTTTCGTGTCATACGCACTTTAATTTAGAGGATCGTGTTATTATGAAATTTTCTTAGACGAAAAGGTGTAGCTTCGTTGGGGGATTTACAAATTTGATAATCTAAACTGCACGCTGAACTGGAAAAACTCAAAACGATCTTCTTGGACAACGGCTATCCTGAAGACGTCATTTTATCTTATACTAAGGAGAAGATCGCAAGTTTTTCGGCTGTTCAAAAGTTTGGTCCGCAAAAGTGCCCAGTTTATTTGAAACTACCATGGATTGGTAACACTTCCTTGCGATTCGAGAGTCAGATTAGGCCAGCCATAACCAATTGTTTCTTTGCTGTCAATCCTCGGATTGTTTACAGCACTAGGAGAGCCCTTCCATCCATTCAAAAGGATTGCGTCCCTACCAAACAAAAAAGTTCCGTCATTTATGAATTTACGTGCCAGTGTGATTCTGGCTACGTAGGGCGCACAACCCAAAGATTGGGGGATAGGATAAAACAGCATGTTCCTTCCAACATACGAAACAAAACTGCCCCTCAAAGAGAACAGCCTCCTCGATTATGTAGGTCTAGAAACACTGTTAAAACAAGTGATTCTGCCATTGGTCAACATCTTTTAGACACCCCAGATTGTGCAAAACTCTATAACGACGACATATTTCGGATAATTGGCAGAGCCCGGTCGTCCTTCCATCTAGCAGTTTTGGAGTCAATCTACATAAAAACGAAAAAGCCGCCATTGTGTAGACAAAAGGAGTTCGTTTTCTCTCTTGGACTCCATTGGTAATTTTTTCTTTAGGCTCGCGGCACTGATTGGTCAACTATACCGGTCTTGTGCTTGCGTTTTTCTGATTGGCCTATTTCGATCCACAACTGGGTATATATTTTTCCATCGTGTTTTTTCGGAACCAATTCTGACGTTTAATGCTCTGAGGAGTGTCAGACGAAAAAGCTTTTAGTATGTTGTAAAATGTTTGCTTTTTTCAAAGCCATTTTCAAATTTGATAATGTAAAATGCACGGTCAGAAAAATTTCAACTTTGAATTTTTTCAAATTTGTTCATCTAACACAAAATACTATTCAAAACCAAATAAAATCAGTATAGATATTCTTTCCTGTTGCTACAGGACCTTTTAAACTAACTAGTTACAAAATATGCTTACTACGGCAAATTTGCTTATTTTTGTGGGTTTTGCCTCTCCCTACCCCCACCTGAAAAATAAATTCTGCCTTTGAACATACATAAAGTGGTTTTGGCTTTTGCTATGCATTACTAGAAGTACCTTCCGTTTCAAAATTTCTGCAGCGCTTCTCCCATAAATCTCTGCAGCGTTTTGAGACATCTCATGCTCTATTAGACTCACATTATGCAAAACGCGAATCTGGGGATGAATCTGGGGATGGAAAACACGCAAGACTAGGCCCACCAAAAATATCAAAAATCAATTGGCAGAAAAAAAACTTTTATCGAGTGGAATTAGAAAGCAAATTCCAGAAATAACTTATGTTCTAACTAATTATTGTCATTTCGACATATTTCAAGCAGTACAAGCAAGTTTTTGAATCTGGGGATGAATCTGGGGACGAATCTGGGGATGAATGGTACGCGGTAACTCTTTCCGATATTAAAATAAAAACTGAAGTGAATTGAATTGCATGATTTAAATGGCGGGAAAGGCGGGCATTGGAAACAAGGCTATTCTGCGAAAAGGCTGTTGTCCGAGAAGTCACGATAGATAAAAGACACCAATAAATGGTCCAGAGAGAGAGAGTGTTTGCTTGTATTAATATGACAGGGGCTCTGTCCAAAAGTTTTCATGGACACGAGTTGTAGTGAAGATGGAGTTGAGTGAGGCTAAGTATGGCCTATAATTGAAATTCTTGAAGGCCTGAGCATTAGTTCAGGTATTTTTTTAAAATTTACCTCTACGTACCGAGGAACTCAAATTAAAATTTTTAATCAGAATTACGAAATAAAAAAGCAGAAAAATGATAATTATAGGTGTTACACTTGTTATTTTTTAGAGTTTGGCTTGACATGAGTGGTATGTTAGTACAATGTTCTGTCCAGGGTAAAGTCACTCCAAAGATCTATGACAGGCTCTTAGCCCTTAGCACAGTTCAAGTTATATTTATTAATATAGATATAGTTATTTTATCAAAGGAACAAGATTTTCTGTTAGAGGAACATCTTGCTAGAATGACTATTGGTGCAAGCTGTTTAGTATGATGCATTTGTTGACATAGCAGTTGAAATAGAATTGAGTTTTGTTTTTTCTTTTACTTTTACCATGAAATTGCTGAGTCATGTTCATATTGATGTTGGGTCAATTCAAGCATCTCAGCCAGAAACCTACCAATTTCAGATTTTGGCATGCAGCACTATACTGTTCTTGTGCATGCATCAACTATACTTTGCAGTCTTGTTCTCTCCCAAGTTTTATGTTGCAATATTGATTGGAAGTAAGTTGATATAAACAATTGTTTTTTAAAAGTATGTTTGTTTATTTTACTGGTTGTCTGTCTACTGCAGCAAGCAGGAGCTATGACACTGTGTTGATTTCCTTATTTGCAACAAAAACTAGCAAGTTTTTTAACCCTAAGTCCTAAAGTCTTAATCTTTTAACCATGCATAAAATTTTTCTGCAAGCATAAATCCTTCCCTGTCTTGGATGCTCTGTGGTTTTATAGAGTAAGGAGCAAGGTTATTAGGCATATTATAACTTCTTGTGTTTTTTTAAAGCAAAGGTAACAAACAAATGTTATATCATAGCAACAGGACCCTATTTCACATAATATTCTTGCAAGTAAAGTGTCTTTGTGCCATCCAGGTAATCCCCTATAATATCACTAAGGTATTTGAAACAATAGAAATGATGTTGAAACATACAATATATCCTTTGTGTAAGCATACCACATTATGCTTTGACTTTATCTAACATGGTAAGAGTTTTGTAAAGACTTATTTGAATGAAATTTGACATTTGTTGTACATAACACACTAAAGTACTGCTTTGATGTACTCAAGATATTTGACCCTTTTACCAAAATCTCTTGATTATATATTTATTTTACATCAATATATTTTACAACTTGATCAAATACAACAATATACTTTTGAAAAACACCCCTTTTTTTGAAAATCTATGTCCCAGTTGTGTGTCAAATTTATGACCATTTCGCAGAGATTTTTAGAACTCACATGGTGTATAGGGTCATATGGAAGTGAACCTGCCGGGACCTTTTGAGACAGCAGATGCAGTTTCAAATCCATTTGAAGCAGCTAAACGCAGGAAAGATAATGATTGTCGTATCACAAAAATTTACCTTGTTCATCTTCATCTCAAAAACCACCAAACAGCAGTGCAGAAGGAAGTGTATCTTTTCAAATAGGAAACATAGCCACTAACTAGCTCCCCAACGCTGGCTTGCCAGTGGCCCTAAGGTAGGGTACATAGATTAGCCTCAGAAAAGATAAGAATTCTCTTAAAACCCCCAATGAATGATAGTAAAATTAGCCTTTGAAAGACAAGACAAAAATGTCTAGCCTCTATCTCAAATTGAATGGACACGCCCCATAGGGGTAGCGTGATAAAAAGCAGCTTGCTTTGCTCAAAAATTTTGGTAAAAAAATTCACCCGCACTCCTATGACTATCGCTAGGAAGGGGGAGCCTGAAAGAAAAAGGGGTAGGGCCTCTCCCCTTCCTAGCGATAGTCACAGGAGTGCGAGTGATTTTTTTACCAAAATTTTCACCAAAGCAGAATGGATCGATTCAGTGTTTCTGAAGGTTGAATAAACTACGCGAACGCAAAAGCTCAATTTAGAACTTTTATAAGACTATTAGTTTTACAGCTGAAGTTGCTTTGTAAAAGCTGAAATTTCAATATTAACAAAAATAAAATATTCTGATTGCATTAACGCAGTGTAATGCTGCCAAAATGTACTCGGTAGATAAGGACTTGCACCCCCCAAAAATTTTCCCGAAACCGGGCCTGGTGGCAATATCACTGATGACATCATCGTGTTATTTTTAAATTTTGTCAGATAAAGTGTAACAAATTTCAAAGTATTGGTCCAAAGTTTGGACTTTTTACAGTATGCAGTTTAAAGGCATTTGATGCAGGTAAAAGTGGCTTGACAATAACGGTTGACGACCAATAAACTTGCACACAGAAAAAAACATGTGCACAGTTTCCGCCTTTCTGCAAATCAGCGATGCCCTAGAGCAGTTTCACGTGCGTAGTTTCAAATTCCTCGCAGTGAGTGCTCTGATCGAGTTACTTTTGGATTCGCTGTACTTATGCATCTCAAATGACTTTGAAGGAAAATAATGTCTTTTCAACAGAAGGATTCGCAGTTCAATATCGAGAGTTACACAAATTGCTGAAAAACCCCCTCCCTACAGACTAGCGGCTATAACTATTTTGTCGAGAAACCGCAGTATGAGGCTCGCAATATGTTATTCTCCAATGATTTTCTATTCGAATGGTATCAATCTCGATAGCGTGGCATTTCATTCTTGTACAAACCACCATTCGATCAGACTATTGTTATGCTAAAAAACTGCAATTTCATGCGGTAATAGTGGAATCGGCAGATTTATTTATATCTCTGTTTGTCTTTTATTCGTTAGATTTCGAAAGGTTGTGGAAGATGAACGCAGTCTAATCCATAGTCGCATGAAGGAAAATTCAAGTGCTGATTTTAAAGAGCTCTGCCATTTAAATACAATGGAATCTATGCCAAGAATGGATTCAAAACAGCTGTCATACCGCATTGCAGTTCCTGATGACTTTACTCAGATCGATTTGCTACTTCAACAGCATTTTATTTCGCAGGAGCCAACTGACGTAGCGCTTGGGCTGAATCGATCAACGCCAGGTTATGTTGAGAATCTCCAAGAAGTCATCAAGCAATGCTTGACTCAACCGTACACCTTCGTTGCCATAAGTGAAGAAGATGAAATCGTCGGGGTACGCTTGAATGAACTGCATAAACCAAGTCAAAATGCAATTGATGACAGGAAGCTAGGGAATGCTGTTCGAGGCGGACTCTCTGCTTGGGAAATTTTGCAGGCCTACTTGGCAAAACTAGAAGAGGATGTTGACAGGCTTATCCCAGAAGATTGTCGTAAGAACATACTGAAATTTTCCATTCTGTGTGTGCACCAGAAATTTCGACGCCTTGGCATCGCGGCCAAATTGGTGGATTTATCTTTACAAAACGCCCGAATGTTCGATTTCTGTTGCGTTTTTGCAGTGTTAACTGCAAAGGCAACTCAAAACCTTTTCAAGAAGGATTGCTTTGAAGTCTTGCGAGTGATAAAGCATAAAGATTTTGTAGATGAAAACGGAAAGATATTATTGAACTGTAACGATGGAACCGACCAAGGACTGCTAGTATTTAAAAGAATTCAGGCTAGAAAATAGTGTTTTGATTCAGCATTGAAACAGAATTCAGCATGGTTATGGTTGCAGTATAAACATTGATCAACAGTCTGGCTAAAAAAGAAAATCAAATTATTGGGTTATGAAACGATGTGTTGGTTTGTTGAGAAGAACATTTACTTATAAATTATGCAAAGAGGAAGGGCTGACGTCGCTAGCTTGACCTCTCTCGAGATTGGGAATGTTCGAAATAACACATTATCCACAAAACCCGACAATTCTTAGGTTATCAACTATTTAAAACAACTGAACAGATTTTCAAGTTACTGAACAACGGAGGTTTCAAGCTTTGGTGATCTCATCTTAATGAAAATGCGCTACTACCTGCTATCTCAACTGATTTATTTGATAATAACTGAAGGTGGTAAATAGAAGTATGCATATCTCAAAGTGAAAGGAAAGGTCAGAAAATGAATAATGATTAAAAAAATCGAATGTTTTTACAGGATAGCCTATCAGTTCCAGATGTTATCACTGGGGTCCTGATACTATATCATATAGCATAAAGCATATATTTAATAGTAACAGATCTGCGAAAAATAAATTAAATGAGTAAAATCCAGTCCAATCCAAAGATAAAAAAGATAAAAATAGCGTCACATCATGAAATGATTTTTTAATGGTCTTAAACGTCTAAAAACAAGACTCGATTCAATCTTTCTGGCAATTAGTGGCAAGTTGTTCAATTCATTTTCTGCCAGATAATAAAACCTTTTCGATCAAATTCTGTTTCACTTAAGACAACTTAACAAGATGTTGGTCATTTCTGGTATTTTTCCCATGAGCATTTATGACGAAATAATCTTTCATTGCTCTGCAGATAGGCTTAGGTATCAAACACCAAAATACAGACAAACTTCACCAAATTCCTGCTCTGATACTAGGCACATGCAAGCTGACTGATGCAAGCCCGTTTGATCTTATTATATCAAGGCTTCTACGCTCACGACTTTCAATTCTTTTCTTGTATCTTGTAGACCATCCGAGGTACAACGAACCACAATATCCAAGCACAGGCTTTATCATGGTGCGATAACTCTTTTCAGCGCTCGCAGTGTCAATGGAGCTTCTGATTCCGCTAGGTAGATTTAGCCTTCAAGTAGCCTTTTTATAAATCTTGAAGCTTCAAAAGTATCATCAAAACTGCTTTCTAGATGTCACATTACTTTTACTTATGCAAAAAACTTAATTTTGTTCGTAAAAAATTTCTTATCGAAACGTCTTGCAAGAAACAACACCAGCAAATTACTTGGAAAAACTCGTAACACATATAATTAATGTCTCCTGTAAACCTGGGGTCATGCCTGATATTTCGAAAATTGTGAAGGTGATCCCCGTTTTTAAGATAAACCCTAAGAGAAGATAACAGACCAACCTCAGACCTTTCCTGCTTTGAAAATATTAAAGAGCTCAATCTACTTAAGCAAATTCTTTCTTTTCTGAAAAAGAAACATCTCCTGCATGATTTTCGTTCCGGTCTTCCTTCAAGTCACACAACTTTGCATACATTGCTAGTTTTGCTTGAGTCTGTCAATAAAATCCTTGACCAAAAAAATCAATGCATTGGCGTTGTCCTTGACATACCTTAGGCCTTTACAGTTTGAACAGGGAGTGGGGTGTAATATCTATCAAGTGCTTCTTTCATTGTTCTATTAAATTACCTATAATCATGCTGATATGTTTTGTTAAGTTTTGAAGATTGCACTTGCTGAATATAGGCCGTGTTTATTTCCGCGTTTATTCCCTGGAACAAGAAGGTTTTACGCCCAGTTTCCGTCCTTTTTTGGGATGACTAACTTTTGTGATCTTTGCGAGTATTTATTTTGTCATTGATCCTAGTGAAGTAATGTTTAAATGCTTTTGGCGCTATGCCGTTTCAGCATTTAAAAACTTCTATTGCACAGGGCCGTCGAGAGACGGGCCGGGCCCCAGGGCTGGGACTGTCATGGGGCCCCACCGTCGAAGGTTGCAAAAACCTTTTTTGGGTTACGCCCTTAGCAATGCAGTTAGATGAACTGTAAAAGGCATGAATTTTGAAACAACGCCCCCAGAAACACTTGAATTTGTATTTTAAGGTCTTTAACAGAACATGTAATTAGTGGCTATATAAAACAAATCATTAAAACAAATCAGTTTAAAAATCAGAGTTAATTTAATGTTTAAAACATTGCTTTTCTTGCTTTCCTCATGGCGAAATCCTTAATCTTTTCCCACAATCTTTTCCAGCTCTCGTTCGCTCCCCGACCATCAGGAGAAGCCAATTTTGATTTTGAACCATTATTAATAGTGTGCCCAGACAGCCTGCATGGCAAACAATAGAGTGCAGCCTTTGTAGGACTGAGAACAAGCCAGCTTCGTCTTACTACCTCCCCATTTTGCTGCTTCACATCTAGGACCGTTGTTGGAAATTTGTGGCCTTCGCAATCTTTGGGAAACTCTGGAGGATGAGGCAAATTACCAGTTCTAACAACCTTTTTTAACTCCTTGATCGTTGGAAATTCGGTTAATGTGCCGACATCAAAACAAGATGATCCACTATGAACAGTATCTTGATTTAATGACGAATCAGTAGTGCTTTCTCTACTTTCTGTGGTGTCATGGTCTACCGAAGCAGCCAAGCCGTTTGTGTCTTCTTCTTCAGCAATGCTTTGAACAGAGCTTTCGCCAGGTTTATTTAAAGTTGAATCACCTTCCTTGTCTCTTTTGTAAGTACCTACCTCAAACAATGTGCGAGAGGCTTTCTTTGCTTATTTTTCTCGTATCTTTTTTTCCTGCCTTTTCTGAGCACCAGACTTGTCGGTTCGTGATCCCGCTTAGTGATTTTGATAAAGACTTTTATAGCGTTTGGATTTGTCTTGGCTCTTCGCATGTGCTTTTTCTCTGGTGTACGCCGTGAATGGAAGATTTACTTTTACGTTTATAGGAAGTCCACACAAGGAATAACTAAAACATTTGACCTAAAAGTAGATATATGTAAGTGCAATCGAATTTTTCGGCTTCGGGAGAAGTATATTATGATCGTATCGTCAATGTTTTAATTATAAACCATAACAAGAAAAGGCCCTCATCATAGACCAGCTTGTTGATCCCATGTTGAAAGATTAAATTTCGAATATCAATCGGGTCATGGGCCCGCGCTGCCAATGCTGCTAATTGAAAACTCATAGCCAAAAATACATACCTTATTTTCTACGGGCCCCTCATGGTCCCGGGCCCCCTGGTAACTACCCTGCTTACCCCCCCCCCCCCCCCCTCTCGACAGTCCTGATTGCACATAGTCTGTTTCGAACATGATTTATCCGTGGAAACTTGACACCACTGTTTCTATTTCCATTAGTGATACGCCTTGCTTTTTTTAGAAAGGTCTCAAATCTTTGTTTCTTCAATTGGAACATGCCAACAAGGCAAAGACATTTGAACAGTAGAGCATGACAGGTATGATCATCACTTTATAGATGACTTCTGCTGTGTGTGGACTGATGTTTCGTGGCACTCGTTGTAAAAGCTTGATTCTTGATGAAATCTTTTTTAATGTTTTCTCAAAATGATCATTGAATGAAGGTTTTTATCCAGTATCACCCCTAAATATTCATAGCTTTTAGACTCAGTGATGCTTTGTCCTTTCATCTTGATCTCTAGTGGCGTTGATTTGGATGTTCTCTGACCTGTTCCGAATAGGACACATTCGGTCTTTGTTGTTTTCAAATTAGTGACTAACTTGTTTTTGGTGAGCCATTGAGCAACTTGGTCAATGTCGGTATTTAATTGAATCTCGATCTCATTAAATTCTTTTTGTGCACAGTAAATGACTGCATCATCAGCGTTTAAGATGATTTCACAATGGTTTAGTTGAAAGTATATATCATTAATAAGCAAGGTGAACAATAACGGTCTCAAAATGGATCCTTGAGGAACTCAGATTGAGTTGCAGACTTGACTCAATCAAATTGAACCAATTGTGTTCTGTCAAACAAGTAGTTTTCAAATCATTTAAGTTCTTTATGATTGATTCCATATAGGGGTATGCTTTCTTGAGGTCTACAAAAGCTGCACCCGTTAATAATCCTCTATCCATGCCTTGTCTGATACAGTAAAAGAAGAGTGCCTTGCTTTAGAAATGCAATTTATTGTACAAGCACTTCAGAATAGGTTGATTTTGGCCAGTGGAATTTGTGGAGCAATGCACCACCATCAATCACGCAAACATGATTTGCAGTTGGAGTAGTTGCATTCTGGGTGTTGCTTCTAAATAGTCGTGTGTATATTTTTGCACTTACTTAGGCTAGCCCTTACTTTTCACGCCGTCCTAGCAGGATTAGTGCACAAGATTCGTGACTAATCCTGTCTGTTCTTTAGCTTACCCGGGCGCATATTGCTGTTAGGATACAGGCCACACTAAGTTATTCGAATGCTACGACCATGAAGACAGATCTGAAGAATCAAGCAAGCTTTTAGAGCCACTGTAGGGCTCAACACATACATCAATATATCGCTATAATTTCTACCATGTACCGTTTCGCAAGTATCATTGCTAAATCTACCTTCGGTGCAAGCGTACATTAAAGTAAGTCGTTTACATTTTTATTGTTGCCTTGTATTGGTACGTTTTATCTACTCATTTCGCCAGCCTTTAACCGGTAGTTTTTTGTCTACTCATGTCACGTTTTTTGTCTAGTTTTTTGTTTGTTGCCATTTCATACCGTTACTTTATCTTATGCATTGAGTTTCGTTGCTATTATCATGTCCTTATTATTCGTAATAGATTGAATATAATTGATTCTAATTTATGTTGCAATTTAGTTTATGTTTTCATGTGGCACTATATATAGGTAAAATTTCTATTATATACACATTTCTAGCCATTCTTTGCCACATTTATCATACTCTTACGCGACCGATGAAGGTCCGTTTTTTTTACATGCTATTTTATCACATGCTATTTTAGTTAGTCTATTGCGAATCGTATATTTATTTTGTATTGCAGCTCGAACCTATGAATATCTATGATTATCTCTGATCGCATCTTCCATGTTCTCAAGTTGGTTTCGGATATTTCGTCAAACATTCTCTGCTTCATCAATGTTTACTTGAAAGTCCTCTGAAATGTTTTGGAGATCGGACCATTCTTTGATCGACGTAAGATTTTTGTTGTCTCTACTAGGCTCAGTATGAACATGCCGTTCACTTGTTTTTCTAAATGCGTCAGTCACTTCACTCATTTGTCATTGTCTGCACATCTATGCGTACATCTAACCCATAACTGGGGAGTAGATTGTGAAATGCTTCTTCCTCGCGTCAGACCACCGTTGATCTTTAACTGTAGCTATTCAAAGTGCCATATCGTTTTTACAAACTTTGAGATGTTCGATAGTTCTAACGTCACTGATGACATCATCGTGTTATTTTTAAACTTTGTCGGATAAAGCGTGACAAATTATTGGTACACGGGTAAAGCGTGACAAAGTATTGCTACAAAGTTTGGACCCTTTACAATATGCAGTTTAAAGGCATTTCACACAGGTAAAAGTGGCTAGACAACAACGGTTGACCAATCAACGTGCAAAAAACATGTGAACAGTTTCCGCCTTTCTGCAAATCAGCGATACCCTAGAGTGGTTTCACGTGCATAGTTTCAAATTCCTCGCAGTGAGTGCTCTGATCGAGTTACTTTTGGATTCGCTGTACTTATGCATCTCAAATGCCTTTAAAGGAAAATAATGTCTTTTCAACAGAAGGATTCACAGTTCAATATCGAAAGTCACACAAATTGCTGAAAACCCCCTCCCTCCTGACTAGCGGCTATAACTATTTTGTCGAGAAACCGCAGTATGAGGCTCGCAATATGTTATTCTCCAATGATTTTCTATTCGAATGGTATCAATCTCGATAGCGTGGCATTTCATTCTTGTGCAAACCACCATTCGACCAGACTATTGTTATGCTAAAAAGCTGCAATTTCATGCGGTGATGGTGGAATCGGCAGATTTATTTATATCTCTGTTTGTCTTTTATTCGTTAGATTTCGAAAGGTTGTGGAAGATGAACGCAGTCTAATCCATAGTCGCATGAAGGAAAATTTAAGTGCTGATTTTAAAGAGCTCTGACACTTAAGTACAGTAATGGCATCCATGCCAAAAATGGATTCAAAACAGCTGTCATACCGCATTGCAGTTCCTGATGATTTTACTCAGATCGATATGTTACTTCAAGAGCATTTTTTTCCTAATGAGCCAACGAATGTAGCGCTGGGTTTAAAACTAACACCGAGTCGTGTTGAGCGAATCCGAGAAATCATCAGGCAATGCTTGACTCAACCGTACAGCTTCGTTGCCATAAATGAAGAAAATGAAATCGTTGGTTTACGCTTGAATGAACTGCATAAACCAAGTCAAAATGCAATTGATGAATGGAAGCTAGGGAATGCTGTTCGAAGCGGACTCTCTGCTTGGGAAATTTTGCAGGTCTACTTGGCAAAACTAGAAGAGGATGTTGACAGGCTTATCCCAGAAGATTGTCGTAAGAACATACTGAAATTTTTCATCCTGTGTGTGCACCAGAAATTTCGACGCCTTGGCATCGCGGCCAAATTGGTGGATTTATCTTGTGAAAACGCCCGAAAGCTCAAATTCTGTTGCGTTTTTGCATTGCTAACTGCAAAGGCAACTCAAAACCTTTTCAAGAAGGATGGCTTTGAAGTCTTGCGAGTGATAAAGCATAAAGATTTTGTAGATGAAAACGGAAAGAGATTGTTGAACTGTAACGATGGAACCGACCAAGGACTGCTAGTATTTAAAAGATTTCAGCCTAGAAAATAGTGTTTTGATTCAGCATTGAAACAGAATTCAGTGTGGTTATGGTTGCAGTATAAACATTGATCAACAGTCTGGCTAAAGAAGGAAATCAAATTATTGGGTTATGAAACGATGTGTTGGTTCATTGAGAAGAACATTTACTTTAAAATTATACAAAGATGAAGGGCTGACGTCGCTAGCTTGACCTCTCTCGAGATTGGGAATGTTCGAAATAACACATTATCCACAAAAGCAGATAATTCTTAGGTTATCAACTATTTAAATCAACCAAACAGATTTTCAAGTTACTGAACAACGGAGGTTTCAAGCTTTGGTGATCTCATCTTAATGAAAATGCGCTACTACCTGCTATCTCAACTGATTTATTTGGTAATAACTGAAGGTGGTAAATAGAAGTATGCATATCTCAAAGTGAAAGGAAAGGTCAGAAAATGAATAATAATAGAAATAATCGAATGTTTTATCAGGATAGCCTATCAGTACCAGATGTTATCACTAGGGTCCTGATACTATATCATAAAGCATAAAGCATATATTTAATAGTAACAGATCTGCGAAAAATAAATTAAATGAGTAAAATCCAGTCCAATCCAAAGATAAAAAAAGATAAAAATTGCATCACATCATGAAATGATTTTGGACATGAAATGATTTTGGAATGATCTAAAACCGTCTAAAAACAGGACTCGATTCAATCTTTCTGGCACTTAGTGGCAAGTTGTTCAATTCATTTTCTGCCAGATAATAAAACCTTTTCGATCAAATTCTGTTTCACTTAAGACAACTTAACAAGATGTTGGTCATTTCTGGTATTTTTCCCATGAGCATTTATGACGAAATAATCTTTCATTGCTCTGCAGATAGGCTTAGGTATCAAACACCAAAATACAGACAAACTTCACCAAATTCCTGCTCTGATACTAGGCACATGCAAGCTGACTGATGCAAGCCCGTTTGATCTTATTATATCAAGGCTTCTACGCTCACGACTTTCAATTCTTTTCTTGTATCTTGTAGACCATCTGAGGTACAACGAACCACAATATCCAGGCACAGGCATTATCATGGTGCGATAAATCTTTTCGGCACTGAAGCTCTTGAAATGCGCATTCACGTAAAACCTAGATTTGCTAAATTTTACAATTTATTTTAAATATATGGCGGATTTATGACTGTTTTTGCAGTTGTCGATGACGTCATCAATCACGTGATACTGAGGCAAAATTTTATTGGTCCCATCTTGGATTCTGAATCTCCATACTTAAATGTAGATAAAACCATCGAGATCATTTCGGTTAGGTGAGAAATCAATTTTCACAGCCATAGCCCTGCCTACTTCTGCATGATCTTATTTTCGGTTTTCGTCCAAGTCACACAACTCATACATTGCTAGATTTGCTTGAGTCTGTCAATAAAGGCCTTGGCCAAAACAAACAATGCATCGGCATTGTCCCTTGACATACCTAAGGCCTTAATACATAAGATCATTGTTAACAAGATATTTATTATGCATGTCATTGATTTGCGACAGTTGACATAGCTACTGCCAAGACTGTCTACCAAGACTGTTTCAAGCATAAATGAAGCCTGGCTTTATTGCAAAAGTTGACAGAAATAAAAATTATTACGTATTTCCCAGGGCCGGTGAAACCGGGGGGCCGGGAGGGGGGCATGGCCCCTACTTTTCTGCAAAGCTAAAGAAAAATTGTAGGCAAAAGTGGAAATAAATGTAGTATGATTCTGTAAGTAACTTTGCCTAGTATTCTCTTAAAGGTGTCCTTAGCTTTACTTTGGTTGCTATGTCTTTACCATAGAAGACATACATAAAATTGAATATGGGAATTAGATCGAAGAAATCGGTCTTTGTCTAAGTTTTACAACAAGTAACAGCTTGTCTTAGCAAATAGATCGAGAAACCTAGTCCAGAATAACTTGGTGTCAGTACAAATTGACGGAGTTTCGTTTTTTTCATTGCCTAAACTTGGCACACAAGGTCTATTTGTTTACGAAAACTTTCTCAGAAACTTTACAAAAAGAGAGAAATCAGCTGTTGAAGGAAAAGAAACAACTGGAGAGAACTTATATGAGTAATAAAGTATGGGCAGATTTGTTCTTTAAGAGTATCATCAAGAAAACTTCAGAGTTTGATCGGTTGGAAAATCCATTCCTACTAAGAAAGAAAAAATATCGACGCAATTATAAATTCCATTTAAACTCATTTTGACAAACCCAGTTTGAAGGTTTTTCAAATTTTTGTTAAAGCATTTCAATTCCGAAAAAGTTAAGATCAGATGTTACAAAATTGCTTGACTTTTTATTTTTAGTTGATAGTTTTTCTGTTGATATTTCAACGTTAATGTTTTTTATCAACCCGTGTTTTATTTCTTTTTCTCCCCCATCTTATTTCGGGTACTTTTAAAATCTAAAAAAGGTTTCATTACGAGCTATATGACAGTGGTTATTCTAAAACTTTGCAACTTTTCTATTTGAAGTCAACATCACAATAGACGCGACTATGCAACATCTTCAGTCAAAATTCATTTTAGATACAGTTTCTGGCCATCCTAAGACACTATAATTCTGAAATCTTTCTTGCCACCAACCATGGTGGCGGCCTTTCCTAAGCCCTTTCAAGACTTTGATATTTTGGCCCCTCCACTTTCAAATACTTTTCGCTGGCCCTGATTTCCTGAAAGGATACTTTGCCTACTAGCCTTAGCCTCTATAAGTTTTTCATAATAACTTAGTTTTGCGTGACTTCCTTCCAAAAAGGTTCCCTCTCGCTTTCCTTATTTTTCAAAAAAAATTGAGAATATCTTCAAAAAGCATTTTTGATTTGATTTGCATTTTTTAATTTGAAGTTTTTGTTGTGTTTAGTTTTTAACGTCATCCACAGGTGGTAATTATTTGTTGATTTTTAGAGACATTACAAAAATAATGTACTTACTTATCTTAGAAGCAAGTCCAAAGAAAAGCAGCTTTTCTATCAACCTGCATCTTCATTGGCTTTTGATCAAATCCAAATTCTGACTAGTCTTGATGAATCACTCTACTTTTCAAGCCTTAAGCCCAATTTCTTATAGAAATAATTGATTCTATCAGGTTTCTGCGTCAAAATTTCTGCTTGAAAAGTTTGGCAACTTGATAATAGGTTTCGGAAAATTGTCGAATTTCCATGAAAATTTTAATACAGGAAAGAACCTGTAAATCTGCATTACAGAACTTTTGGCTAAAGACTTTATTTTCTATGAGCAAAGGGTTTTAATTTAGTGAATGAGATAACATGCTGTTAACAGTGTTGAAAGTATTCACAGACTAACGCAGTTTGATTAACGCAGAGGTAATAATATGAACAACTAACCGAATACAGCAATGCTCTTTTATATGTTTATTGTAATTTTCTAGAAGTTTCTATGAAAGTATCGTTCCAGAAGGTTCGAGAAAGCGGAAGTACTTATTATTGCAAAAAATAGAATTGAACTAATACTATGAATATACTAGAATGATATGAGGGATTAAACTAGAATGTTCTACAGTATCTTGACAGTCTAGTAAGAGTGTATATTTCCAATACTCCTCCTCACTTGCTGCCGGACTGTTCAATCGTTTCTTTGACTCCAATCATCCCTCATAGTTTCATAAGTTGATTACTGCTCAAACCTTTTGCCAGTACATCAGCTATCATGTCTTCGGATTTACAATACTGTAATTCTATTTTACCAGATGCCACATGCTCACGAATATAGTGATGTCGATGTCTTTTGCACGTCCATGGAACTGTGCATTTTTCGCCAAACATATAGCGGATTGGTTGTCTTCATATATCACAGTTGATTTGACTCCAGTTTCCTTCAAGTTGGAAAGAGGTTGTTGCAGCCATATGGCTTCTTGAACTGCACTTGCTAGAGCTATGTACTCAGCTTCAGCAGTTGAAAGTGCAACGCAGGTCTGCGTTTTGCTTCTCCAGCTGACTGCTGCTCCACTAATTTTGAAGATATATCCCGAGGTTGATTTGCGGTCATCTAAATCTCCGGCCCAATCTGCATCTGAATAATCTGTGCACTTGTCTTCATTTTCTTGACAGTAGAGTAATCCAAGGTTAAGCGTACCATTCAAATACCTTAGGATTCGTTTGACAGCTGTCCAATGCTGCTTCGTTGGTTTAGCACAGAATCTTGCAACGTTACTTACAGCATATCAGGTCGTGTTCTTGCTGAAAGATATTGTAAGCTTCCAATTGCAGATTGATATATCTCTTGGTTGAATAGGTCACTTCCTTCAGTAGCTTTTGCCAATTTCAACCCAGTTTCAACTGGTGAAGCAACAGGCTTCGATTGTTTCATTTGAAACTTCTTCAGTAGATCCTTTGATTACGATTCTTGACTAATCGATATCTCACCAGTTTCTTTCTTCTGAGCAATCTTTACGCCAAGAAAATAATGTAGTTCACCGATGTCTTAAACATTACACTTCTCTGCAATTAGTTTCTTGAATTCTTTCATGCGTTTTTCTGTCTTTCCAGCCAAAATAATGTCATCAACGTAAACAACAATTAAGAAGACTTCTCCTCCTGAAGCTGTATAGATGCACGGATCACTTTTAGCTTGTTTGAATTCCATTCTCTTCAGGTGCTTGTCTATTTCTTCATTCCAACATCTAGGTGGCAGTAAACCCTTGTGCAACGAGTCACGCTTCGTATCGTTCGATTCTTCCATCAGCGTCAAGTTTTCGCTTAAACACCCATTTACTGCCAATGGCATTTTTTTCCATGAGGTAATTCGAAAAGATCCCAGACTTCGTTCTGTTTTAATGATTCCATTTCACTTTCCATTGCCTTCTCCCATGCCTTTTTCTCAAGACTTGACAGAGCTTCGGCTGTCGACATAGGCTCACACAACTCGCTATCAGCAATGTAGGCTCCTACTCCATGGTAATCCCGTGGTTTTCTTGTTTTGGCTGATCTTCGCACTTTTACTTCAGTTGTCTCGTACATATTTCAGTTGCCTTCTTCTTTGATGCATTCTAACTCAACAGTTAGTTGACCTTCTCTACTTGCTGTTGTTTCAATGCTCTCCTTCTCTTTTGTTGACTTTGATTCTTTGAATAATTCATCTCTGCTATAAAATACTTTTGAGTTCTTTTCATTGTATAAGCGATAACCCTTTGTTTCTGCGCCATATCCAAGGAATATACATTTTCTTGCTTTCGAATCAAGCTTACTCCTCTCATCATTTGGCACGTGGGCATATGCTTCACACCTGTTGGGGCCCAGACCCTCCTTGGTATCTGAAGACCCCACACAGTTATTATTATTACATTCGGTATTGTAATACGTGCCGAGATACTGTGTTATACGTGTAGGGTTCTAATTATAATGTTGATTTAATATTTGATTTAAAGCAGTGGTAAATAACATGTTTTGATTCTCAATACCCTATAAGGACAAACGTATGGAAAATATCAACCGACAAGTCTCAGTCAACGTGACTATGTATGTTGTAACTCGAAATAAGTTAGTTAGTTGTTAGGAGTTGGTTGAAGTAGAGTTGAAGTAAGGATTGTGATTGGCGGAAATGTGAAATAAAATACTGATGGATTTGATACAAAATAGTTACACAAAATGGTGATTTTTCTCTGAATCTTCATCTAACACTTCGTCTATCATTAAATATTAAGATAGGGGCACCGCTAGAAATAGTGGTCCCAACAACACCCAAAAACCTCGAGATGCTGAACACTAGGTTTCTCGCCAGTCCATGCTTCATATGGTGTCACACCCACCACAGCTTTCGCTATCGAGGTTTAATCGGGTAACAGTTTGAGAGGTTAACATTTTTTCAAAATTCTCAAAATAGGAACCATTATCGACATTAGAAGATTAATATTAAAAGCATATTTGTGATTAAACCCATTTTCTGTAATTGTTGCGTTTCGGTCCTTTTTTCTTCCAAGAATGAGCCTACGTCGAATCCACTGTGGATGCCTTCTTGCCAATAGTAGAAGATGGTGCTATGGAGACTTTTTAGCGGATAGTTGTGGAAACATAATTATATTTTTCATTTTTAGCCTACACCGTCGGTTTACATCTAGATTCACGGCCAATGTTTCAAGAATTGTCTCTTGCAATGTTCGAAAAGTAATTTTCTGTTTGGAGCTGTCATGGCCTAATTTCTTTTCAGGAAGACTGGGTTTGGGATCTTGAAAGCCGAAATTGAGAGGACTGCCGAGAGAGGGGGACAATGGAGGAAAATTGCCCCAGGGCCTCGACGTCTAGTGAGCCACATAAAGTAATGAATTCTATTTTATGAATTCAATTAATCAATCTTGGCAAAAGAAAAGTATGTCTAAAATTAGTAAAACGTTTTATACGATTGCAAGAAACGACTGCAAGAAATATTCTGAAATGTATTCTTAAACTAACCTGAAGGCCGTTGTCGCAAAAAATTTCCGGGGCCTCGTCTTTCGGTTTTGCCCCAGGACTTCCGAAACCTCTCGGCGGCCCAGCAGATGGGGCCTACCAAACTGATGAGCGATGATGAGCAAATAAAATTGTGATGCTGAGGTTGATACTTATGAAGATTTCTTAAAATTTAACGATTAAATGTGCTATTTTGAAAAGCAAGTACGGTAGACAGAAGAGACATGAAGTGGCTGTATCTACCTTTCATTTATGTTTGATCGCACAGCTTTGTTAACGGTTCTCTGGACTGCAATTTTCACCATTTTCTAACGTTGCTATAGAATTTGCGCGGGTCAGCAGTCCTCTCTCTCCTGATTGATACACAAGAACATTTTTGTGAATGCAAGAAAATCTATAGAAACTTGATCAGACTTTTTGAACACATTGTTTTCAAAATTTTATTACTGATCAAGCAGACGTATTGGTAAAAGGATAAACTCCAATGTTGAATTTTGAGCAGAAAAAAACAGAGTTGCGATATCTTTATAACAGCCTATATCAGTATCTTTTGGTTTAATTTCACAAAACTAAACGAGACAAAATGACCAGGCATTATGGCAAAATCTCTAGTTACTATAATTCACGGAGATGGTATAAATATTATTTATCTACTTTCATGTCTTCGAGTTTCTGAACAACATCTCCCTTTTTACTTTCAACTTTCTTATTTCCCTTGGCCTTCCCTTTCTTTTTTGGCTCTTCGTCAATCGGCGCTGGTTTGACGAACTTAATGAAGTCCATATTGTTCGGCATAAATGGCTGAAGAGCCTTCGGGATTTTTATCCCGTCCTCTGTTTGAAAGTTTTCCAATATACAACAAATTGTGCGCGTTGAGGCACACATCGTTGCATTCAGCATGTGACAAATTTCGGCCTACGGAATACAAAACGCATTTAATAGGTGTTGAATTGACTCAAGAAAACATTTCATTTCATTTCAACATTCCAAACATTTCAAGTTTAATAGGGGACGGCACGTTCAACTAATTTGACCTGTTGAAGAACATCTCAAAATTTATTTTGCGAAAAATTGCAACATGATACGAAAAAGTGAAAAATTATGCATCATAGTAAAAAATAATCTTTCCGATAATCTTCAAAGTATAAAATATTGCAATATTCACATCCATTTGCAAATCGAAGCAGCAACATGGAATAAAGATGACCTTTGGCTTGAACGGAGCAGAAATACTTCTTTAATACGGAACAAAATTTGTAATGAGTCCGAGTTCAGATTTTTTCAACTTGTATAGGAATGGTCATTTTTCGTTTCGCCTCACCTTTTCGTTCATTTTTCTCACTTGACCAAATCGCACCATTAATCGCCTTGCTTGGTAATCTGTGCAGTTAGAACAAGAACATAGTTCTCGGAAAGCACCACTTCCTGGAAACCAGGCCTCTAGATCCAGCTTCTTCGCTGCTGCATTGTTAAGCGCACCTAGGAATTGTACAGTATTATACTTGTAACTCTGAAACCAAGACACTCTTACCAGTTTGAAAGAATAGTTATCTTTTCTATTTATCCGTCACTTTTTGATATCTATTAGAGCATAACCGTGTTTACTGAAAAACTCCAGGCAGTTTAAAGTTCGTTACTTAACGAAAGTACATGTAACATCATTCGATATAAACAAATGAAGAACCTTGGTTCTTCGATACTAATATAACCTAGGGTAATTACTTGGAAAAGAGGATTGCATATTCCACAGAGATTATGCAGTTTCTATGATTTATACCTGACACAATGTTGACTATTCTGTAAGGAATTTCAAGCTCTTGATAAAATTCCTCTGCATTTTTACACATGTGTTCCATCATTTTCCAGGATTCACCATCATGAGGAGAGCAAATAACAAATTGCTCAACCTACAAAGCAAAAAGACGAATAGCTCAAAAACAACACACTTGTCTAAAAACAGCGATGCTCGTGACGCTGTGCCAGGATCCATGAGTAGCAAAGATTCTTTTAAGCTTATTTAGTCAAGAGTATATCTATAAGAATGTAAAACAAAGAATGAAATTGCAGAATAAAATTAATAATTCTGTCATATAGTATTGTATTGTTTGCTACCTAGCTTCCAAAGATAGTGTTAGGACACTGGAAAGCTATGCTTATCGAGCAGTGTCCTGGCATTTCCTCTCGATATGACCATACCTTGTGATTCCTACGCCTGGAATTACAGGGAGCTGGCGACTCTCCTCACTCTCAAGGAAAGCTTGGTCATGTCAGGGACTCGAACCACGGACTCTTGGGTCTGCAGTCACAGACCCTAACGACTGAGTCATCCTCGCACCATGTAGCAATGACTCAAAAACTTGCAAGGATGTTTTTCTGTTGGCATCTGTTATCATTTATGTTTCAACTGCATATCTTATGTGTCTAAAGCCTTTTTCTATCTTAAAGCATTACCTTCTCAAACTGATGAACTCTGAAAATTCCAGTTGTATCTCTACCATGTGATCCAACTTCCTGGCGAAAGCAAGTCGATATCCCACAGTACTTCACTGGCAAATTTTTAGGATCCAACCACTCATCTCGGTGGAACGCTGCGATAGGCTGCTCACTGGTTGCAATAAGGTATTTCTCTTCAACTGTTGCATCTTCTTCTTTTTCACTACCTTTCCCAACTACCTAAAATGTTGATGACACTTCGATTATGCATCGACTACAGTCACAGAGTTCATCAATACGCATTGGCTGGCTAAGAAAAGCAGTTAATTGGAGGAATTTGACTTCAAGTTAAAGTCAAATATGCCACAGACCGCTATTTAAAACGAAAAGGTTATATCAATGAAACATCTTCATTAAACACACAGATCATAAAACAGGGTTCGCATATAAGGGTAAAATAGGAAAGTTTGATTACTGACAATACCAGTGACAAATATTTCAAAGGCTTCTAGTGGAAGTTTGGCTGAATTAAAAATAGCCTGACTACAACAAAATCTTACAGGAAGTAATGATACTTTGGAAATATGAGTACAAAATAAAATTCAATGATAATTTTACCAGTACCTTGTAAAGTTCCTCATCAAATTGACTTAGTTGGGCGACCTCTTGCATCACTTCTTTTCGCATGAAGAAAGGGGTATACAAAGGAATGTATCCATTGGAAACAAGCTTCCGTGTTGCCAGCCCGACCAAAGCTTGCTGCAATAGTACTCCAGGACCCTACAATATGTAAGTAAGAAAGAAACACGAATTAAATAGTCTAAAAAACAGATATTCAGAATAACAAAATACTGATAAGAGCCAAGATGCCATGTAATTCTCTAATATATTCTTCAAACATCATCAATGCTACCTTGCAATGCAACAAGGCTAAAGTTGACAATCCTTTGACAATAAATTTTTCCCATTGACACTGATTTTCAACCATCTCTGGTACATTTGTTACCATATACTATTCAACACTGACAACATGAATTTATAGAAAGACCTTTTTCTTGGATCGTAAATTCATGATTCTGCCATGTAGGTAAAATATTCCATCATGGCAATAAAAGGCATGTCATTTTCTCAATATCATTCTCTCAAATTATTGATAACATTGATCTGAGAGATTATTGCCAGTGCTTGAAACTTTGTTCAAAATTCACTACAAGAACTGATCTGAAGTTGCTGTTGAAGAAAAAAACTAGTGGGTCGATTTGAATTTCTTTCAAGGGAGCAAAAACTTGGAATATTCTCTGCCAAACTAAACAGGCAAACTGATGCACTTGCAGTCAGGATTTTTATCTATCAGGGACACCGGAACGACCAAGGGGCAAGGGGGGGCTTGAGTAAATGTGCATTTGAATAAAATAATTCCCAGCTACCAACAATTCTTTCTCAACTATCATTTGGTTTCGATCTTCTGTAGGTTTCTTAAAAATCGGCTAAATTTTGGCATAAGAAATTTCTTCACAAGTTTTTAGAAAAATCGTCATAAATAAAGCCCTACATGAAGGTAAAAGATTCCGTCATGGCAATAAAAGTCATGTAATTCTCTCAATATTATTCACAAGTTTTTAGAAAAATCGTCATAAATAAAGCCCTACAGTCAGGATTTTATATGAATATCATAGATTTCCTACAAAAGACCGGCGTCGAGGGCACTTTAATTACGAGGACATTTTAATTACACATTTTAGATTTAGAAAACAAATATTTGTATGTAAGGTTTTAGTTTTTTGTAAAAGGACTCTTTATTAATCAGCATTTTTGAATGCGTCTCTACCCTAAAATAAATGAATTATTATCATTAATTATTACGTCAGTGGAATCCCATGAATCTGTAATCTTATCTTCGTGAGCCTACCCAATAGCAGCAATGTTGAGGATAAAGGTAGCAAGGAACGGAACTTGACACTCTAGCTCATCATGCTGTTGGCTCTTGAAAATGTTCCTCTCCTAACAGACCTGCCTGTATGCTGGGTTGTATTACTCTACAGGAATGAAATTATGGAATACAAAAAACGAATAACAGCTAAAAATTATGTTTTTTGGAAAGCTGATGTATTATGACTGCCCATTGAATTAAAACAGACTTTCTAAAAAACTTCTTTTAACTTTAACTTTTAAATCATTTTCCTTAACCATTTTTCTTGACACTTATAAATTGAGACTGTGGGAATCAAAATTTGGATACCTTCAGAAAATATCCTCGTCCACCTGAAACGACTGATCCTCTTTCGTAATCAACACCATCAATCATAACAAGAAGGTCAACATGAGAGTATTTCTTTCTTGTTTCACAATCACCTACTATCTTCTCAATGCCGTTTTCATCCTACAAAAAAATGATGGATATTAACACAGTGATCAAGTTATAAAAAGTTGCAGTCAATGAAATTTAAACTAAAATGTATTGGTTGAGACTTGAAATCACTAGTTGAAATAAGATTTTATTTAAACTGGTTCTTCTAGCCTGAAAATTGTCATCATTTAGGGAAATGAGTTATTGTTACCATGATTAACAGGTTGTGGAAACGACTGGATAACAAAAGAGATGTTTAAAAGAAAAATAACATAGAATATGCCGATAATGCATTTTTATCATTTTTCACAGGAACGCTCAATCCCTATCACCGTTTTTATTTGGGGAAAAACCACAGTAATATGGAACAAAAATGGAACAAAAAAACTTGAAGGTCACAACAAGAAAGCAGTTGATTGAAAGAGTCAAGTTATACACAATAAGCAGTGCTTACAAAGTTAATCCTTAACATTACTTTTAGGATTAAAATGATGTCAATAAACATAATCAAATGACCATCTTGTTACCTCATTGTTGCTGATAACACATGTCTCATGCAGGAGATTTCCGATTTCGAATAAGGTCTTATTTCTTTCTTTCTCGCAGTCATGTAAATCTTGGTCAGTTTTTGTTATTGCTTCATCAATAAGAACTCTGATTTTCTTAATCTGATTTACAGTCAGTCCCTGCAATTTGGGTGTTTTTACATTAAAGATAAGAAAATCAAAGATAGGTGTTTTCATATAAGGAGATACAGGTATATAACAATTCAAAGGCAGATTCTGATGGACTTATATTTGGGAGGACTTCATTCCAGGAGTCACTATAACTGGAATGCAGATCATGTCAGAGGAAAAAGGACAATTGGTTTTTTAAGCCAGATAAAAACAACATAAAAAATGGATAAAAAGATGGGTCATGTTCCCGAGACATTTGCAATCAAGCTGTAACCATTGTCAAAAGATTGGTATCTTTAGAAAAGTCAGCATTACAAACTAAAAGTCAGAAATGAACCAAAGAGAATTTAGGAATAGAATTTGTTGTTGTTGTTCTATGTTTCAGAAATGGCATGCATTTGTGTTGAAGGGAAAATTGTGCTTTTATGTTCAATTACTATATTCAGGGGCTAGGCTTACATTCAGAGGTGAGATTATATCCAAGGAATGGGGGGGGGCGTATATTTGGGGTCTGTATTTGGGGGGACTATATTCCAAGGTTCTGATTTCATTGTCTATCACAATCCTTACAAACCTTTAATATATCTGCAGTTAGGGTAGCCAGATTGTCAGAAATATCTTTGGTTAGTGCATTGTCATCTCCAACAGGCTCTTTGCTCTGCACAAAAATAAGAAAATAAGAAATCAACATTAGAAGTAAACAATGAGATATCTCCAAGAGATAGATCCAGTCAAACTCTTATTCAACAACATATCACTGCGACTTTCATTTATGGTAAGGAGATCAGTTAGGCAGTTCCTTGTGCAGCACTGACAAGAAGTATAGCACTTAATCACAGGCGTTATATCAAAATATGCCTTCTGCTTCCCAATTTTGAAAGCCTCTGTTTAAGCTGACTTCAAGTTACTGAATGAAAAGACTTTGTTCAAATGTTTAAGAAATATCACATAATGCATGAAAGTTCAGCTAGAGTATAGAAAACTGATAGCTTCTTATCTAGTATTTTGCATAGTTTTGTTTGCAATGCTTGCCTTACTAACTATGGTTACAATTGAGTCAAAGGAATCACATAACCATGAAACTAATCAGATTGAGTCATAGAAAATACCACAATAGATGAGAGGTCACAACTCATCAATGACAGTTTTATGAAATTAACAGCCGATTTGTTTTAAGAGGGTTGAACTCAAAAACCATAAAATACGATGCTACATATCATAATATCAGTTCTATAATATTAAGATGTTCTTTAGTATCAGAAACAGTTTACCATAAAAAATGTCAGTAAAAAGATACAGAAAGTTGATCTAAATTATACATACAATTACTTAACTACATAAAGATCTGATCTGTAATAAAAAGAATGCAAACCTTCATTTTGCTACCAATAGTTTTGCTACAAAGATTCTTTAACTTGTTCCAATTGTCTGCATCAAAGCGTACTAGAAATTCATTGAAATGACATCAATATGACACTGAACCATTCCATTCCTTTCCTTATTCATAGATAACATCAACTTAAACTTGTGTTAAAATATGCAAAGGTTTAAAAAACCTTTGTAAAAAGCCTGCTGTGGAATTTGCAATAGTTACAGAAATTGTCATTATGAAATGCTGAAAATTAATTTTAGAAATTACATAGTGGCAAAACTACTACCACTTCTAAGACTTTTCTATAGTAGTGTATTTGAGAAAAATGCTACATATGACCTATATTATTGTAAATGAAATATTTATAATGTATATAACCCTAAAAGACAGTAAATCCAAAGCGAGCTTTATAGCAATTTTTAGACACCTGGAGCACATCATCGCTTGCACAAAATATTTGGGTAAACATTCCCCAGTCAATTAGCAAAAATATATTGTGCCCTTAAAAGCAAAGGATAGAGGCTAAGGTAAGAAATTTACTACCTACAATCATTCCAAATACTTAATAAATCATACACAATTTAAACAATATATTTTTTAATCTTATGCTTACTGCACCAAAAAATTGCCTAGACTTTTGTGATTTTGCTCCAAAAACATGCATGAAAGTTTTAAATGACCAACTATGCATCCCAAAAGATTTCCTTCTAAAACTGATGAAAAAATCCTTCAAAAACAAATGTTATTTAAACACTGTATAAGAGAATCACCAACTTAAAGGTAATGTGTCCAGCTAAAGCAAGCGACTCTGCGGGGGTTTTTAGAAACATGTGATTTTTCATGTCATCGCCCCAGCCATTACGGTTGTTTTGTTTAGCTTTTCATGTGAGCAGTTTTGCATCGCAAGAATACTAACCAATCACAAACCGTTATTTTGATGGGTGGCTTGACAAGTTGGATATACGCAGTTCTTTTATATGGACACATTACCTTTAAGGCAGAAATTATTACTTTACTCAATAATACTCTGAATCAAAATTGACATCCTTATATTAATGTGTATGTGAAAGCGAGAACTAATGTGTGCATGAACACAAATTGAATGTGAAGTGTGCATTAGTCAGAAAGTGTGCATTTCAAGTGTGTACATCCTTAAGCTGTTGACTAGTATTTTCAGTGGTAATTTTTTTTGTTCTCCAACACCACTAGTGTCTGCAGAGGCAGAGATATCAGGTGCACACTTCACAGACTCAGACTTTACATACTAAAAACCCCTTGATGCCCTGTAGTTAATCATTTGTTATTACCAGTGCATGCTCAATTTCTTTCACAAGGCCCAGAATTTTCTTAAAGAGACACCAACACAAAACTTCGATCCCCGAAAATTGCAAAAAGATTTTGGTCATATGAAGAGGGGACAAAAGTTCTACCAAAAAAGGGTTTTACATGCTTTGCATCACATACATGTTGCAAGAAACAAACGAGAGAAACCAGTATGATTGAATTTACTGGTAACCTAGTACTTTTACGGTTCGATAGTCATCAACAAATAATTGATTGATCATGTGATATCCGAAAATAATTGTGAAAGCTCTCGGTCGGTAGGGATTTCTAGGCACAAGGCAAGCTTCTGCCTAGCGGTAATGGCTGCACATGTCCATGGAATTAAAAAGGTTGATATAATCAAGAAAGAATCAAATCAGTCAAAAATAAAGTTTCGAACTGCTCCCAACCGACCTCTTCTAGGCCTACTAGGTATTAGATGCTAAACTTTCCCATTATAAAATGAATATAATGGTATTCAAACCCATGTATGATAGAATTATACTACTTGCTAGCCCTCACTGGCGAAAGCTTGTCCAGAATAAGAAATTGTTTCCTCTTTCATTCGTTCTGCACCATATTTGTTCAAAATTGGTTTGTTTTCACTTTTCAGCGAGAGTGACAACAATCACATGCTCATTTAAATCTTCCGATATTGGCCTCCAGACGGCCGGTCCTTGCAGGCACTCATACCCTTGCTCACTTCAATTTTCTTCCCCTAAATTAGACCCCCTTTCTTTATTCCAGACAACATTGAGCCTTTTTGCGATAGTCATTGCCATTCACATAACAAACTAGAATGACAGAAAATGTTTTTAGTGATGCTGATTTTTTTGCGTTGATGCCTCTTTAAATCCTATTAGTGGGGTTTCAAAATTTCCACAAACTTTCCTTTGCTCTGTTCTCATGTCTTTGACAAAACACAAAGGCTAGAATCCAAAGTAGCAACAGTAAGCTACTATGGTTGGTGACACAACAAAATTTTGCAACTATGGCATTCTGAGGATAGCCAGAAGATGGGTCTGGGATATCTAGAACCTTTTGGGAACCATTGATCCTAGGAACAATGTAAAAACATTCTATCATAATTAGGCTCCATAGTTCTATTTGGTTTGATTATGATATGAAGATAGGAAACCTTTCAAGCACAAGAAATTGAACATGGTTTGAATGGAGGCAGGAATTAAAAAAAAGGTTTATGGATAAGGCTCAGTTGTCTTCCAAAGCCCTTGAAGTAAATTGATATATAGGTCTCGAAAAATGCTTCACCTGATTTCATGATTCTTCAAAAATATCAAAAATATAGGTTCCAAACTTGCTTAACTTGGTAGGGGTGGGGCTTCCCCCAGTGTATGTTCATAAAACAGAGTGTTTTTTCCAAATTTATTACTACAGATTTAGATTGACAAAAGTCACCAACTCTTATTTCTTATCCTGTCAATTTGCTCGAGGCACAATGATTTTACCAAGTGTGAAGTGATAAATTCTAAAAAATATCTCCGGAGTGCAGCTGCCATTATATAGTACACTGGAGTAAACAGAATGATTATTTCAATCCAGAAGCCTTGTTAGCTCGATCATGAAGTAGTGTTGTGCCCTCACTCACCAATATGGACTAAATAACTTTTTGTACAGCAAATTGTGTCAGAGATTTTTCGCAAAATGACTTAGTTCTTCTTTTGGTAAATATGACCTAGAAATTCATGGAAAACACTTCTAATAGTGTTCGGAACGTTTTTTCAAGCTTTCAAGTGAAAAATTGGAATGCATGCAATGTTATCACTTATCAGGGTTCATTTCCTCAAATCAAAGATAGAATTGGCCTTGGTTGGTGGGGTTAGTTGTCACGACTTATTTTTAAACCCCGGTTTGGAAAAGAAATAAATTTTAAGAAATAAAATTAAATTTTAAGAAAAAAGCCCATACATTTTCTCCATTTGCCATCAAGCTCTGTTACTTTATCTACCATTCCTACATCTTTAAATCTTTTTCGTTGGTTCTCTCGCATTGCATCTGGATCACCTCCTTTGTCCGGCCTAAACAGATCTAGATCGAGTACCATGTTTACCGCAGATGTGAAAACCTTTTTTATGTTAGTCTTGTTTATGCGAAATGAAGTGAGACTCAGTTGTAGGCTGCCTTTTATAAGGAGCTTGGCATGTATCATCGGCAGACAGAACTGCTCTGTGGATGCAGACTATGACCTTGCAGGGCAACGTAGAGTGGAAGACCCTTACAACGTGTCTTATTGAATCAGCCTCACCTTCGATTCGCCAAGATCAGGGAGGTTTCGCGTATGACGTCACGGGATCAGAGAAATTTTGTTGTGTTGTTACTTCCAGATAGGGGTTCATACTTAATTTTGAGGTGAGCAATGATAAAACGGTTTTGTACAGCGATTAACAGTCAAAGTATGTAGTGATATTTATAGTCTTGCCTGAAATTTTACGGGAAGTTCCCCCTACTTCTTTACATAGGACTACACCTACCCCTGCCTCCAGGTGTACCCTATTCACATTTATGATTGTGTAGAAAAAGAAATTGTTACCATCGACCAGTAAAAGAGACGAAAGACCCTTGGGCTTTGAGAGCTAGGAAGCTTTTTTACGCCGAAAAATTGAAGAGACTAACAACAACATGAAATTTTCAATTCTATGATTCATTTTTGGCAAATGTGAAGATAAAATTGACCTGTAAGGATAATTCTTTAAAGCTCAAAATGCTAGAAAGGCAATTTTTACATCAAATATCTACTTTCCCTTTATAAAAATGCAGTTCGTCTGTTTTTGCTTTGGTTACCCCCGTCACCATTTCTTATTGAAGGGGCACACCATTTTGTGATAATGATCCTTTGAAACATAATTGAAAGGTTTGGATTCTAGATACCAATGCCACAAATAACTTCACCTTGGTAAAGACCCGACCCTACTGATAACCTTTGTTACAAAAGACTGGTCGTAATTGGCAACCAATAAAAATATTTGTTGTACAACTATTTGTTTCGCTTTATTAAACCCAAACTCCCGCGAATGTACTATTGTGTTCTTTTGTGCAATGCTCACTTAGGCTTGCTGTAAACAGACATGGATGTAAAAAGTGGCACATGGAGAAGAAGTCTGGAAATGCCGTTCGGTTTGATTCTTATCGTGTTCTTTGCTATTACGGCCATTGATGGACAATGCCCTGGTGTTGGTCTAACTGGATATCGAGTACACGAATACGTCAAAGCTGCCACTACAAATGAAACATCACCAGGTTTTTATCAGTTATTTTAAAATTCGTTCATCTTTAGAACTTTTCTTACTCTGGGATTATTGCAAAATATTGGAGGATTTTAGGCCACGATCGTGGTTCCTCCTGAGATTGTATTTTAAACATTTGTGAAATGCATGGGTACTTCATTACAAATTTTGCTACCTTGAGCAAATTATTATGAAATATCTTGTGACAGCAACGCCACATTTTAGAAACGTTGTTTAATTCTCGCCAGCATTATGATCGAATTTTACGCAAGAAATGGTATTTTTCAACAAGGCGAAAGTATAATTGCCATTAGATAAACAGTCGACCACCGAGGCTTGTTTGAATGTTTTTATGAACACAAGGTGGCTATCAACCGTGGAAACGACACTCGTGAGAATCAAATCTACGTGCAATTCAAGAATAGTAAATAAATTACCACATAGGGAGGAGCAAAAAACTTATCCAAGAGCACATTTTATTTCAAGTATGCTGTGTTTTCCTTACAAATAGCTTTCAAAATATCGCCATTGTTTACATATACAACATACATTACATTGCAGTGTTCTAGGTAAAATATTTCTCGGAATTTTAATCAAACACTGTGTGCGTCACATGATACGTAGATAATTTTGATACAAAAATTTATAGTTATTCAATAGAGTTCGCAAATTCATGACTTGAAACTGATGCCGAGACAGATTTGTGGTGGCATATAGAGTGTACATTTTTAAAATATCTTATGCATTTAGTGAGGTAATATCGAACACCATTGTATATATCAATTAAGATAAAGCTACCTAAAAGCAGTGGCGGACTGGCAGGGATGCTAGGTTGCGATCACAACCCGGGCCTTCTTAACTTCATAATAACCGGGCCCTCGGTAGATAAATTCGAGAAAATAACTCGGTTAATTTCAAAGATATCTATGTTCAATAGAATACAAGTCACAGAAATGAAGATAAAGTGAACATTTCAGTATTGCTTACCAGGAGCGTTGTTGCTAGGCGGGACACAAGGAAATTTCTCGGTGGCCCCCCTTTCGAGTGAGTTTGTAAAACCCAGGAAAATATCTGATATGAACAAAATCTTTGGTGAGAAAGCGCCGCACTTACATTTATACTCAAGTTCACAGTTCAGAATTTGAGGAGGTCAACATTTACAAACAGGCGACTGTGAAAGAGATGCGTGGAATATGAACAGGGCTTCCGAGAGGGGGACAAGGAGGGGCAAACTGTCCCAGGGCCTCGAGGTCTAGGGGTCCTCTTAAAGCAAGGAATTCCAGATTAAGAACTGAATTTTAACGAAACGCAACAAAGTATGCCTAAAAATTTGTAAAACGAGGTAAACGACTGTACAAAGCATTCTGAATCGTGTTTCAAGTTAATTTAAAGGGCGTGGCCGAAAAAATTTTCTTTAAACAAATTTTCTTTCGAAAAAATTGAAAAAATGCTTTAAATATATGTCTTCTTTTGCATTTTTGTAAGTATCAACTGTTCACTATAGCATTGAATTTGTTCCTCTTTTTTGCAGTCTTAAAGTATCTATGGTTAGAACAAAGGGGCTACACCCCAACAAATGTAGGAGATGAACCTTTCAAAATGATAAAAATTGGGATCTTTTTAATATTTCATAGGTGCATGGTTTCCAGGTACATATCATTTTTGGTGACTTGGGTTTGTGATTGGAGATATCATACACAAGAGTGGGCCCCCTCATGATAATTTTCTCCCGGCCCTTTCCTAGAAGCCACAACGCCCCTGTTGCTTACATTATACGTAGTACGGGCCCCTTTTCTGTATATAGCAACCCGAGAGATTTGCTGCCAGTCCGCCTCTGCCTAAAAGCACCAAAAAGGGTGTCTGGCAAACATATATCTGGAGAATTTGCCTCTAGGCTTCCATTTCTGTTCTTCCCCTCATATAATTTTCCTCACGCAACGACCCTTTGAGAAAATGAACTTTATTCAAAATGGGATTCGGAAACAAATGGTTTGTTAAATTGGGCTGAAAGTTTAAACGATCGTTCTACTTTGGAACGATCTGCCCTCTTCCTTCTTCAAAGACTCTAAGACAAAATAAAAAAAACTTTATTTTTCCTCCCACTCTCCTCTCTTCTTAACCCTTCTTCCTTTCCCTTGTTAGGGTGCTTGAAAAGAGCTTGTACATCACATTTCCGACAAAAAACAAGCATAAAGGATTTTGTACACCATCAATCATTCCAAGCTATATTTGAACATAATTTTATTATGTCTTGCCCTTTTTATTGCTGTGTTCGGGAAATAGTTAGGGTATTGCGTCTCTGAAATATGTTTCTTATCTCTATTAAGTCTATAGAGAGTTTATTTAACTATTGGTGAATTAGTCAAAGTAAAAACCAGGCCGGTGGATGCGTTATCTGGTTAAAAGAAACAGTTGTCAGGAACTGCTACGGCCACGAGCCCACAGGGCTACAATATGCCACGACCATTTTGAGAAGTTCAATAGGCCAAGCTGTATGGAAGGTATTGAGGTATTGTAGTATGTTTCAACCCCCGATTTGAATATATGAGACAGTTAATAAAAATCTTTATTACCTGTAACCATGAATAACTGAAGACAAAGAAGTTACAGTCTGCAGTTATTTGAAGAACGCAAACATTCAAGCAACATTTCATTCGTAAATTATAATATAACATAGAAAACAATATTACAAAGGAACGTAGAGTCGCAAATGGTATTACGGGACAAAAATAAACACATGTAGACTGTATTTGATATAACAATGAAGTTTAGCCATTTTGTTTTAGGAAACTTAAAACACTGACCCCGCAATGGTTATCCGTTGTCAAAATAGAGGATAAATACACAATGAACTAGAGGTGTAGCATGCCAACCGGTAACTGTGGGTAGCTTCTTTTCCTTGAAATGTTTCGCTAGAAACCTCAAAATCCGATCTCGGGGTTAAGCCTCAAAAGAAAATTCTCAAGGTAATAAATATTACCAGTAAACCATTCTCGTAGGAGAATTCAGAATATTTATCATCACCATAAACTCATCATTACTCTTTCTTATCGCGTTCTGTTCTTGTATCTTCATTTCCTAGGAAAACGATAAAAAAAATCTACTGACAAGTTTCGTGCTGTCTTGATCTTAAAGGGAATAGTTACTGGATATAATATCTGAATGCCACATGTCTTCAGTGAAAAAGGACTTTACTCAGAATTACTTGACAAATCCACTTAAATGAGTAATATCAAGATAGAATTCGGAAAAGCGGAAAATATGCTTCTTGTCAGGAAGTCTTTGGCCCGCTGAATTTTATCAGTCATGACTCAAATTATGGCCCAAAAAAGCTCAATTATTCAAAATACAATGCATGTCATATAAGTGCCGTCGGAACGAAATTCATATTGGGGGGGGGGGGGGTATTCCTTCTCATTCAGTACACTGTCATTATTGGGGGGCTGGAGCCCCCCAGCCCCCCAGTTCCAACGGGCCTGGATATTATTGAAAACAGTTAAAAATTCATCCAAAGCGGAGCAGGCTAGTCGATCGAGTTAATAAAATTCGTTTGGGTCATAGACAGCAGTGGTAGCACCAAGGGCATTTCTATTCTGGGACAAGAAGTTCGATAGCCACACCCCTTTCAACATCGAACTTAGTTGATTGTGAACCAACCTCGTCTATAAGCCGCCCTTGTTCATTAGCCTCACAAAATGAGGGCTGGAGAAAAATATAACCCTCCCCTGAATATATAAAACATTCCCATTTTTGAAAAATCATTATAGATTACATTTGAAATCCTCTCACAGTCACAGAAATTTAATTTTAAAAATTTCATAAGGTCTGGTTGAAATTTTAACTTGAAATTAACGGGACTCTATTCCAACGCATTCCGACTGCCATTTAAATTCCCATTGCATGGAATATAGAATAGAGCTATTGCTACGTATTCAGTCGGCAACGTAAGAAAAATTCTCAAAGTGTTCCTGCGATAGACTAACGGGATACAGTGCCTTTAATATGACATATCCTATACCTTTGCTCCATACAAATAAAATACACAAGCCAACCTCATTTGTAAATCACTCCATGATTAAATACATGAGCCGCAGCAAAAGCTGCTCTACATAAATCGTAGATTATAATAAAGAAAATACGTCTGCATAAACAATCATCACGATTGATAAAAGAATATTTCACAGTCTACGGCGATAGCTGCAAACCCAATTCTTTGATAAGCCTTTGATATGCATACAGTCTTCACGCAAACCATGGTTACTTTTTATGACTCGTGTTAGTAATCAGGCGACTCTACTGATGTATGGTGTAGAAGCAGGTATGTGCAAAGTGACCAAAGGCCTTCTGGTTTTACCCCCATTTTTTAAAAAAAAGTAGGTTTGGGAATAGTACTTGATATTTTAATTTTTCTTGAATTTAATACTGCAATTTTGAAATATTTTCTTAAATAGCAGCTATTATCGATAGAAAAATGACACGCAAGAGGGTGGTGCCGTGACATAACCAGTTGCAAGAAGCTCTTCTGTCTATGTTAATCTCAAATCAACTAGAAATAGCAAAATTCGAGAAAGCAATTCACTATGCTGTTTGTATGCATACAAATGCCTCAAAGTTTTGTAACCAGTGCGTGCTATGGTTCGTTAAATTGAATTGCTTGTAGCCTCAGTTTGGAAATTGTCAATGAATGGCCAAAACTGTAATAACACTAAAGATAAATTTCAAAATCAAGCAAACTCGAATTATCAGGCAGTTAAACTACAATACCAGGTCTTCTAAGAACATGCCTGTCACATCCTGCAAATTGTAAGAAAAGTATTCTGATGACATTTTCTTGAAGAGAATTTAAGAATGGATTTTTTTCTTAGACAACATAATGCAATTTTGTTCTAAAGTCATCAAAAAATATGATTTTCTTTGCCCAAATTTCTACGAAAACACTCTCAAATGTTTCCATAAATTTCTTAATTTCTTATGAATTCGAAAATGAAAAAGACAAAAGAGCCTAGGAGCCTTCAAGAGCTCAACTTGTCTTGATTCGCATTCTGGTGAAGTTTGCAACTGCTAAACCCTTTTGTGAGGAAGCTAGCACTACAGGGGCAACGGATGACAATCGTTTCCTGCCCTTGTATTGAGGCAAAGGGGAAGTTACGCCCTTTTTAAGGAGTATAATTTTTTATAACCTGCACCACTTGGATAGGTTACATTTCTCAAAAATGACCATCCTTCCTCTACCCAATTGCTATAACTATCAATAAGGAGTGTGGTAGAGTGAGTGTGTCCAACGACATCTCAGGTAACAGTGACCTTAAGTAATGCTAGCATATAATCTTTATCGCATACTCGGAAGTTTTTTTCTGCCTTATACTCTTGGCGAGGATACGATTGCCCTGCCTTTTATCCTGCGGGAATCCTTGACCTTCTGAATTTGTAGTTTCTGCAAACTTTTCACTTAAACTAAGTCAGTTATCAAGGGGGCTAGAGTTATTGGCAGATTATAGGCATCGCTTCAGGCAAAAACTGGCTAAGGCATTCTGCATTCACTTTCCTACATTACGACCTCATTCATAGTTATAAATAAAAAGTCATTTGGATTAGTAACGCGCCTCATTTCACACACATCACCATGAACTCACATTATGGTTACACAATCACATTCCCACGTTGGATAAATGTTGACTTGACGTACGTGATTAAAATATATTTTCAAGTAGGGCATAAATTTCGTAGGAATTTTTCGGACTCGGTTAACCGAAAAACTTCATTGCTTAGAATTATTTCCTAAAGTTGTTTATCCATTGGCATTACTGTACCGGAGTGTATGAAATCTACAGTCCATGCCTTGAATTTACCAATTAGTGGATTTTGGGTAGAAAATTAGCCTATTTGACAAGCTCTTTAACGTTTCCAAGGACCAATACGAAATTCATTAAAATATTGTAGCATAATCTCCAGGAAAAGTATAACCTAATGACACATACTTCGCATTTTCATATTTGAAGTCAATACTGAATGTAAGTAAGTTTCAAAAACTCATGCTTCTCTTCTCTAGGAGGCATTCACGCCATTTTCCAGCGGCATTCGCTCTAGCTTCTAGCAACATACAACTTCACCTTACATATATCTCATAACATGTAAGCCAGTCCCCTCCAACATTTATTTATTTATTTTGTCTCTTTGACGTCCTTTCTATGGGACTTCAGCGGCAGTGTCGCGAGTGTCAAGGCTTTCTTTTATAAAACCCTTCGGAAATATTTTTCTGGAAAATTTATAAATATATAAGTTAGAAAAAATAAATAATGAGAAAACAGGAAGGCAAAATACATCAGAGAAAAGAATCAAGCAAGAGGGCTCCGCGGATCACTCGAATTTTACACGAAACGTTGCTCTGATCTGACATTTTCGTAAGGCCCGAGTTGAATAGCTTATAAAAACATTAGAAAGACTTTTTGAATTCTACCGACTTAGAGAGGTTTGATGTTTCTCTTAACTCCAGCTCACTTCAGCTCTGCCTATGTAAAGATATTTATATCATAGATTGAATGCAATGGGAACGAGTAAACTGACGAAGATCTTGATAAGTATTGACAGCTACACATACCGAGTCAAGCATTGTTAACACTTTCATGACTTCCTTATCTATTTTGTCGTACGTAGGCAGGTAATCCACTTGTTTTGATTACAATCACTTATAATGATGTCATTCAGTGGGCTTAGGAAAAATAAAGTTTGGTATATTATAGCAAGAATTTTTTTGTTTCCCAACGAAACCATCTACGAGGGGGTGGGGGCAATTGTTCACTCGGCCATTCCCTGTCAGTGTCTATTTCGTTTTAAAACGTTTTAAAACTAATTGTTGACGCTTTAAAATGAACTTCTTTGGTAATTAAAGGTTGAAGGAATGCAACAAGCGTTTGTAAGTTTCGCCAAGTGGGTACCTCGCTTATGTAGCGGCGGAAACACTTGGATCCACACAAACATGTCTTAACAGCCGTTGCATTTACAGGGTATATTTTCTAACCGCAATAAAACCTGTTCGGCTATCTGCGCAAAATAGGTGTTTCTAGGGGAAAATGTGAGGTTTGAGCAAGGAAAAAGAAGTTAGATTTAATTTCCTCTATTCTTTTGACAGATGTTTTCTACAATAACAGACACGCGTTTCAATAATTTGAATGCTTTACAGCGAGTTTTTATGGAATTTATGCGCTTCCTTCGTACAATAATATATATTGCATTTTACCAATACCCGCTAGAGCTTACTCTAGATAAGGCTGTACTGGCTAGATTGAGTATTGGGGGCTTATACTATTAGGCGAGTTTTTGAGTCATTTTTGCAATGAACGGGACTTTTCTTAAATCAAATGGTGATAGGGGAAGCTGATTTAGAATTTCAACTGACACTTGAGACGTTTATTGCATCTGATTTCCAGTTCTTGGTTTCTGGGTATGCTCTTCTTTCATTTCATTTCATTTTCAATTATTTAAGCATGGTACCCCTTGCTGGTTTACAAGGGGCGATGCATCTAAACTAAAAAAAACTAATATAAAATAGAAAAAATAAATAAGAAAAATAGATCAAAACACGATAAGAAACGCTAGTCAACCACTTCTAACCCACCCTACCCTTGCAATTTTTGATACTCTCTTACATTATTTAAATTCTATTTCCCTTGATGTGTCAAATTTACAATATAAACATAAATATATACAATAGTTAAAAATCTATGATATTGAAACTAAGTATGGTATTAAAACAATAGAAGCAAAACAAACAATTTCTAGAGCAAAGTTTTAAATTTTCTAAGAGATGTTGTCTTCTTATCTTTGGAATCTAGGTTATTCTAAAGTTTAGCACCCCTAAACGAAAATGAATTCTACGCAATGTTTGTGTTTTTCTTCGAAAGTTTCAAGTCAGTGTCTGTATTACGTAGCTTCCAAGCTGCACTTTGACAATTCTTTGTGGACATATCGCTCATATGACATCTTTGTTATCAACCTTGGTGATTTAGAGAAAAGCTAAACTGCTTTCTTGTGCCATTTTTCCATGCAGCTGGCGGTGAACTCAAAGCCTTAAACTTTCACTTAGGATACTATAAACGTGCTTATAGTTTTGCTATATTAGCTCCTAAACCTAAAGGAATCTCAAAAGAGTTATTGCATTATTCATAGGTTTTTCGCTATTTCTAGGCTGCCTCGACTCTGCAAACAAGACTTATCAAGTGACTCTAAAGAACCCACGCACAGTCACCAATGTTGGGGTTAATTCTGGTAATTTACTACTGACGGATGTTAGATATTCTTACAATTCAAGCACGTGGCTTCGATACAATGGAAAGGTTACGAAACAGGACGTCAATACAATTTCCTTTGACCCACCAATATTTTTACTGCACCTTGTAGTAAGTCTAGGCCCATTTTCTGGTCCTATCCGATGTCTAAACGTAACGTTATCGGCGTGTGTCCAAGATATTGCACCGGAGGTATCTTTTCAATCAACTTCAGATGCGAGATTTCACGATGAAATAACTCTTCGATGCACCATAAAAGGACAACCATTTGCTAGAATCGTTTGGCATACTCTGTATGGATTTACATTTCACACTAAGAATGTTGAAAATCAATACGATATTCGTGGAGATTTTCATAATAGCACCTTGCGAATCACGAAAGTCAGACTGTCTGAGGATGGGTTTACATGCAGAGTCGGCTCTCCGCCATGCTTGAGAGTCATTTGTTCAGCTAATTATCCTGGCTCTACAAGAACAAATTCCATTGCAAGGAACTTGGATGTTTTTCCAGCCTCTCCTGAAAACATTCAAATAACAAGAATCTGGCCTCGCTCTGTGCTGACAACATGGAAGAAACCGAAGGCGGATTACATCACGAACTATACTTTCTTCGGAATCGCGTTAACAAGCAATCGAGGTCCAAGAAGAGACAACATTCCTGTCACCAATTTACAAGCGACAGAATATAGCAACGTTTTAAATAATCTAGCGCCATGCACCTACTACGCTATCCAAGTTTCATCTGTAAACTATCTAGGAGAAAGTTCTTGGACTCAAGGGAATTTCACAACTCCGGCGGGTTTGGTTGGAGTAACATTGAGTATTCATAATGTTTCATCCTCCTCCGTATCAACGACCTGGAGCATACAGGAACAGTTAGGAAATGGATGTGAGGTCAACAACGCTACGAAGTTTCTTATTAGGTACAAATGCCTAAATGGACTATCCGACTTGAGTTTATGCAGCTCATTATTTCAGACAAATGCAAGTAACAATCTGAGGAGCAAACTAGTGGGCATGCTAAATCCTGCAACAACGTATCAAATATCTGTAACAGCACTAACAACTCAAGCAGATTACAATGTCACTTCTGGGGCTATCGAGTTTGTTACAAATGATTCGTTACCCGTTGGCACACCAAACAATCTACATATAACGCATATTAACAGTACTGCCGTAATAATTTCATGGGAGGATATACAGTCTAAACATAAGCACGGAAAAATCATTCACTTCAAAGCCGAAGCTGTACGGTCCGGTCAAAACGTTGCTATTTTAGCTATAAATTTCACAGCAGAAACAACCAACAGTACAGTAATTACTGGTTTAAATCCGTGCTCAAGCTATACCTTTAGGTTAAGTGGTTGCAACAGTGTCGGTTGTGGACCAAATGCACAATTGTCATTTAGAACACTAGATAAGCCAATTAATTCCACGCTTACTTTGGATCTGCACTTAAACGAGTCAAATCCGCTGAATATTTTTCTCACAGCTACAGCTGTTGGCAGTACGGAACCTGAGATTTGTGTTACAGGCTTTACTGTGCAATACAGAAAAATGTACGGAGGTAAGAAGATGTGCCGTTAATTTTTTTCTACTTAAATTGGATTCAAATACATGGGTCTACCTTTTATATATTTCTTTTTTATGCAAGTTGAAATATTCGACAAGACGAAAGAAATTAAGCTTAAACTTTCAGTAAAATTTGATAACGCGCTAAGCCGTTTTAGCCACGTTTTTTTAAGACCTTGGGTTTTAATTTCACGGAACTAGAGCTCCTTTGAACTGTTAACATACTAAAGACGATTTCCAAAGTAATTGACAATCGGCTTATAACGTTAATTTGATGATGTTTTGTTGCAATTTTCAGGAAACCTGACTGAAACGAAGCGATCGCCATTCAACAGGTCAGTATCAATATTTGATTTGGAGCCTGTCTCTGTTTATTTGGTCAGATCAAGATTAGTCGGCTACTCAAGCATCGGTACTTGGACTGAGTTTTCACGAGTGGCGACCAACGAAGGTAAACCGAGTGCTGTGCGGGATCTGAAACTAATCCCGCAACCTGCTGGTTTCGGAAATGTCACGTGGAAAGCTCCGTCCAGACCAAACGGGATGATAACACATTACGTGGTTAAGTTTCACGGAACAAGACACTACAACTCGAGTTTCATTCACGTTGAAAGCAAAAGCGCGGGTAATCTGACCAATAAAGAATTAAGCGGACTGTTTCCAGCAACTTATTATAGGATAACGGTATATGCGACCAATGCTAAATACAAAGGCGTCGTTAGTTCCATTGCTTACGAAAGTGAGGCTATGCCGCCTTTGCGACCATCAGAAGTTAAACTTGATGAGAGTACAATTATCCACAGTCAAGTCCGGGCAACTGCTAAACACGTTAATGCTGATAACGGACCGATCTCGGGATATCAGGTTATTGTACTGCGAGGAATTGGTAACTTGAATGTGACTGGTGGTCCTAATAAACTACCTGGATATTATCAGGCATTGGCGCTCAACCTGAGCTACTATATAACACTTAAGCTTTCAGTGTTCAATGGCTCTAAGTCCTTTCTTATTGGGGACGGTAAATCAGAATCAGGACTTTTTAATGCACCACTGAGCAGGAGCGCCAACTATACAGTGTTCATAAGGGCTGTTACAATTTGGCAAGGCAGAACTCTATATAGTCGAGCATCGGCAACTGCTTTATACCGGTATCCAGTCAGAAGCAGGCCATTGGCAATAACTGCAAGCCGAAAAATGACGTCATTTGGAATTCAACTTATCCAGCTTCAGTCTAACGTAAAGTACGTACGTATTATCGTGCAGAAGTTGGATTCAGGGAAGGCAATCACTTCAATACCACACCCCAACCAATACCCCGAATCTAATATAACAGTATATACCATATCTAAGAAAATGAAGTTATCTCTTCCTTACGTGGCAGCTGAGCTGAGTAGTGCAGTTTTCGTCAAGCTCAAAACTTTTTTCATCGGTGTTGGCAACCGCACAAGTAGAACGATTACTAGAAAACGAAGAAACGTTTTAAATTCGACCTCATTTTGGAATGGTCCTTTAGATCCAGGATCATCGTACAGCGTATTTTTCAGGGTTTATCATAGCGATTTAGTGTATTACTCCAGTGCTTGGAGTGACCCTTTCGTTACACTGCCAGCTGAACCGGTCGCTGCAGCTCCGCGAGTTTCAACTGTTGGTCTTATCATTGGCGTTGTTTTATGTGTTTTGGCAATACCATGCTTTATAATACTGGGAATTCTGTTGTGGAAAAGATACAAGAAAGTGTTTGAAGCTAAATGTCACTTTAGTAATATGGAGCTTGTGACTAACAACAGCACAGATAATAATGGCACGGCAAACCACTCGTTCTCTGATGATGTTTTTGATCCTGAGATCAACACAGTCCAATCGAGTGACTTCGTTTTACAGTATCCCCTTGATATGTCCCATCCACCAATTCCTACAGCGGATTACATTGACTACGTGGATGCAATGAAAGACAAAGATTATGCTTTCGAAGATGAATTCCAAGAACTGAGCGACGGACCATCAGGAAGCAAACGCACCGCAAAGAAACAGTGTAACGCAGACTTAAACAGAGATACAGATTTTGTGCCTTTTGACAACTCTAGGGTCATTCTCGAGCATGCAAAGAAAGGAAACACTGATTACATAAATGCTGCCTATATTGATGGTTTGAACGTAAAAAATGCATACATTGCAACACAAGCACCATTAACAGATACTATGAAGGACTTTTGGGCGATGGTCTGGCAACAGAAAGTACGTACAATTGTTATGTTGACTCACATTCTTGATGAAGATAAAACTAACTCACCGTGTTACTGGCCTTCAAAGCAGAAACTTTCTCTGGGCGACATTGCAGTTGAAAGCAAGGATACGGTGTTTGACGACTGCTCCACTGTACGGGCGTTCATGGTCGCTGCGAAGAAGATGACACCTAGACTTGTGCGTCACTTCCAGTTTAACAAATGGCCGGAGAGGGGTGTTCCTAATTCAGTGAACAATCTTCTTGCTTTCCGTGATTTGGTTAACAACTGGCACAAAGGGAAGAACAGTCCGATGGTTATACATTGCAGGTATGTTTAAACATTACAATATATCATTATTATTTTACATATCTTTATTAGTACACACATTACAGATATTACACACACACACACACTACTATATTATTATATCACATTACAATATATCGAAATCCAAGTCACAAACCTTCACATTTTTAACCCATTTCTCTTTTCTCCAAAACTAAAATTCGTGACGTCGCTAACAACCTATCTAGCGATAACTTTGAATCTGCTTAACTGTCCATTTGGCTGTCATACAAATGTCATTTTGTGGTTCAAAAGAAAAGGGTGTTACAATAGCTGAAATCGAAACAAAGTTCCATTATTAGAAAAAGGAGCATGAACTGTTTCTTCTGTCCGTATTATCAAGTTCTTGTCCACAGCAAAGTACAAGGAATTGTGAGATGTAATTAAAACCAAATCAGTTTTGGAGTTCATTTGCACTGAGAGCTTGAAAATTTGCTTTTGATTTTTTCAGCAACGGATGTGGTAGAACAGGCACCTACATTGCTCTCGATGCACTTCTAAAGAACTTCAGGACATCAAAAACTGTTGATGTCTTCAACTATGTGAATTATCTCAGATCTCGAAGAACAGGCATGGTGGAAACAGACAGGCAGTATGAGTTCATTTACAAGGCGATACTCGAGGTGTTCATGAAACATGATATGAATACGGAGATGACAAAAAGAAATGCAAAGGAGCTTCACCGCAGCCTCATTATGATGGATCCTCTGATTGGCTGCAGTGGATTTGGGAAGATCTTCAAAGTCTTGCATCGTGGCTTGAAGACTGAATCGTCTATCATAAAGCACTTTGAAGGTTCCAAAGCAATAAATGACTACAAAAACAGGTACATAACGTTGCTGTCAGTGCATGTGTTTCACATTTTATCAATCATTAAAGATAAACACAACCTGGAATAGACGTTTTTTTCAAAGTAATATCAACCAACTGACTACCTTGCCAGTAAGCTTGTGCCCAATTATTGTTCTGTTGATCCTTTCGTGATGATGTTTGCACAAGAGTTTGCATTTCACTTAGCCTTTTTATATAACCACATCTACAGCGAGATGAATAAAGAATACCTGGATTCACTACTGTGAAAATGACCTACCTAACAATCTTGTTGACTTCGGTGACTATTGCAGTTGTTGCTCAATATGCACTTATTTGTTCGCATTGTTGTTGAAAAGTCGTATTTACCAATTAAAAATCCCTTTGATAAAATGAAATCCTTTTGGTCAAAGAGAGGACGTAAAAGCAATTAAGTTGTAGTTCTCAACATTAAATGAAAAGCTAAAACTTTCCTGCACTGTATAAGCTGCCTTTGAGTGACATTACTCTTTCGAAAAGGAAACGTCAAACAATACAAACGTTTTAAAAAACCACGTAATTCAGTATTTACATACGGTTTCGCGGTTTTTGCTTGTGAGAAATCTTTAGTACAAAGACTGCACATGCGTAGAACTTCCCTAATACCCTTTTTTCAATAAAGCATTTAGTTAGTAAATTTGTGTCATTGCGAAGCAATGTCACGTTGTCATTGGAACTTATCCGGTGATCTTTCACTGGTACTTTTTAAAAAGGAGGCTCGGCCTGCAGAGCAGATTCCGTTCATCACGATTTTAAGCTCAAATGATAAAGGAGTTTTCTTTCGTAGGTATTCCTTTAAAGTACCTCATGACAGTTTCAGAGTGAGGCTACCAGTTTTTGGGAGTGCAAAATCCAATTCATCCGATTACATCAATGCAACATTAGTTGCATTGAGTGACAGCTCCAGATTCATAACAACACAAGCACCATTCGGAATAACGATCAACGACTTCTGGACCATGGTACATTTCAGCCGCGCTGATGTGATTATCTCGTTGAATGATCTTGAGGAGGGCAAAGCCGTTTTTACTCAGTTTTGGCCTACCGGCGAGGTGGAATCGGCTGTGTATGGGAATTTTCGTGTGGTGCTGGAGCTGGAGACGACACCATTCCCATGCGTTATCCGGCGGGATTTTACACTATCGGAGCTTGGGCACCCTGATGTAACAAAAGAAGTCACGCAGTTCCATATGTTAGGTTGGCAGGATCATGACACACCTACAAGTCGCATTGCTGTTCTAGAGTTATGCAAGCATATAGTTAGTGAGTATATGTCTGATGAGAAACCGCCAGTGATAGTTCAATGCAGTGACGGGTTCGGAAGAAGCGGTACCTTTTGTGCTTGTACCGAGGCCGTTAAAGGGATGATGAATAACGGCGTTGTCGATATTCAAAGTATTGTACGTAAATTCAAAGAAAGGAACACTGCTTATGTCGAGAACGTGGCCCAATTCAAATTCATATTTGACATTGCGTTGGATTATGTGGCAAGACGTGGATGAGAAAGTTCTTGATGCTATTTGAATAAAGACAATGTAAACAGAAAATGACTATGCGAGTAAATTCTTAAAAATAAGAAGAATAACGAGAAAACTAATTGAAAAAGCATTAAGAATAAAGCACAGTCAAACTTGTTCAAAACAATTACGTATAGATTATGAGAAATTGACAATATCCAGAGGTGATTATCTTAAAGAAAATAACTAATCTTGGGCTGTGCCTTTACTTTTAGTTTGAAATCAAATCAGATTCTAACACTTAGTCAAGTTCTTCAGAATTTAGAAAAGTCTTCGTCCTTCATTCACCTAATGAACCAAAACTTCTGAAAATTTCCTCAGATCCCTCAACCTCTTTTGAAAACTTTCTTCAAATCGATAGAAAGACAAGGCAAGATTGTACGTATAATTTTCAAAAACCTTTTTAGTGATCTCCCAGCAGTAGAAACACTATAGTTTTCTAGACATCAACTGTATGTCTCGTCACATATTTGCAGCAGTTTGTAAAGACCCTTGCGCAACCGGCATGCTTAGCGGCAGTTGTCCTGACAAATTGATTGTTTTTGTATTTTCATGCAGTTCGATATTATGCCGGTTTTGAAAATAAAGTCGCAAAGCATGTCGGTTGCCCAAAAGCCTTTAAGGTGTGCGGTTCAGGAAGGTGATCTAAGTTCTTGTGGAAACTATTAATGACGATTATATCCTATTACAAAACCAAGGTATAACCAGAAAACAAGGCGTTGGCAGCAAATCGTTGCTTGAAATTTCTAGATTTCATAGCAAAAAATGCCAAAATCAGCGATGAATGATTTTGTTCCCAAATTTCCATATTTTTTCCCAGATTGCCCTTTCGTCTTCCCATAGTTAAACCTTTCGTCATGTAATTTAACCCGAAATTTCGATAGGTGAAAGTCTTTTCGCAAAGTATTTTTCATTTTTCAAGTAACAGTAACTACAATATTGAAAAACAGTATAGCATTGCAATAGCTGATAGCAATAGATGACTTTACAGCGGTCAAACTGCTTACAAACGGTCAAACTAATTGAGAAGGAAGACGGGCGACCCCAAAATATTTGACACTTTAACTTAAAATAAAGAAAATTGCTGCCTGTTCAGTATAATTTTGAGAATTTGATAATATCTTTGCTTATTCTAAGTTTCATAAACTTCTAGATTGGCAGTAACTTAAGCAAGTGATAAAGATATAGCTATAATAATATATTGAAAATACTTAGCATTTTGCAGCATTGGTAGCATGCGTTCTTGGTTTCCTTACTTCATTTATATGTGTGGCTTAAACTATGTTTATATAAATAAATATTGTTTCAATTGTAGAAAGAATATATGCTAATTTTGTTAATTTATAAGAAATGTGTTATATTGTTTTGCTGTGCAAAATTTAGCAATGATACAAAAGTTTTTGCAAACTTTTCCAGCTTATTTTGTATCTCTTACTCTCGGCTACCCGAATCAATAGAATTAACTTTGATTAAAGTGATAGCGCGACCAACGGACATAACACAATAACAGACGATTCCATCGACACACAAGTCATTTCATCAAAACATATCTCCCTGTAAATCAAAATCATACATAAATAACATCCAGGCAACGAACACCTCCCTGCAACAGAACAACTCTGGTTCTATAGTTGCGCAAACAGAGATCTATCGGTTGATAAATTTTTTAGAACAGCCAAAAATGGTCTATAACTTCACACCAGTTACCAGTTTCAGTCAATTCTCGATCTATTTTCAGTTCAGACCTATAGAAAAGGCTTAACTGTCCCCTTTTCCCACAAACAATGTTGGAAACACAACTCGTATCGAACGACACAAGATCGAGTGTGTGACCTTGATAATTAAGAAATGAAATTACTTTGCGAGTCTTAGATATTTTAACATGTTTTGGGGATTATGGAATTGGAACTACACACCTTTGGCATGTTGAATAGTTAACTTTATCAAACTTTCAGATCTTAGAACATCAGCTTTGATGATGAAAATATAACCAAAAACGAATATTTTTTTACACATAATACAGTTATAGGAAAATGAAAATCCTATGATAAATCAGATTCATTTAGATTTACCTTCTTTAGAATTGAGCAATGCAACTTGCAACAAAATTCCAGATTTCCCTTGACATTTCAAAACTCAAAATCCTAGAGACTAAAATCTGCTTAAAAAAGCAAGCAGAAACAATGTGAAAACAGTTAATACTATGAAAACATTGAAATTGCTCTAAAATGATGTTATAAGAATGTGTTACATTGTTACTGAATAAAACTAGAGATAAGCCAGGAAATAATTGTTAGATCAACACTTTTTAACTATAAAAATACCATAATTACAAAAATTTTCATTTTTAACTGTAAGTGTAAGTTTAAGGGCATTAAAATTTTTCTCAGAGCAGCATGTGAATGTTTATATGCAAGCATTATTACTGTTTTTGAAATTAGTTCTTTCAAATCCAAGCTTCAAAAGAATGCTGATAAAAAATTGTCATATATCAAGATTTCTGTACAATTTTACCAAATTGTCAATATTTGTCAAATTTTCACCAATTATTTAGCAATTTATCAATAGTTAAAACAGAAACTAAAATGTTACCTATCATTTGCCCTATATCTTCACTTCAGCTGTAAAAACTCTCATTAGTTGGTCTGCTGCCATTCCTGGTGTAATAATCTCATTCATAACTTGATTTTCAATCACTGAGACACTTTCCTTTACTTTTGGATGTGACCTAAAACGATCCATTATATTGTCTCTAATATGATTCCACATCCAGACTTTATATTGATTTCTCCTATTCAATTCAAGTTCACCAGCATTCACCATTATCTGGTGATAATCTTGCATAATTTCCCATGCCTTGTCTAAACCAGTTTGCGTCAAGGCAGAAACCCTTCGCACCTGGAACATAGGAAATAAAGATATTAAAATATGTAGAAGACAGGCTGCCAAGAGATAAAAATCAACAAATGATCAGCAAAATGATGATAACTTATCCTGCAGTGCTTTTTTACTATGACCTTCACCAGTTCAAAAGCTAGAACTAATATAAATGGGAAAAACAAAACACTTTATCCTATTTATTATATTAGTTTTTGGTTTTTCATTAAAGTGAGATTTGGACATTATCTTTCAATCATTGTCACAAAAAGGCTATTCTTAGTAACATACAGAGAAATTTTTTTCATAAAATCTTTAAGTTAAATCTAGTTCTGTAAATGTTTCAAAATATTGCAAATCCCTGTACTAGCTGTGGTCACTAATGGTATGGGGTCTATGTCTACATAACCAGAAAACAATTTCTGTAAAAAACTTGAAATCACAATAAAAAGTTTCAGATTTGATTGCATTTTCGATTAAAAGATTCCAGCTTTTTAGGTTGGCAGGCTGGAAAAAGATCAATGAAATGATCATGAAATATCAACTAACATCAAAGTATATCCTTTTTTAGTCACCTGTTTAGCAAATAGTCCTTTTTATATCGAGCTCGCTGAGTTTCTAGCATGCTAGAGCTACCTCACAAATGAATATGCAACATGCTTAGTTACAGCAACACTTGTACAGGAATATTGCAAAATCTCCAGAAAAAATTGTATACTTACAAATATCAAAGTAGAACAGGTATCACATGTATACATACATACATACATACATAAGATCGTAGAATCCTTCAGATAGTAGACAGCACAGAATACTTCTCAATACTTGCAGTTTTCTGCCTTGATGTCCTGATATTAAAAATTGCAGGACCATATTATGCTTATTATATTGAAAATGCTTCTTTCAATATACTTACTAGAGGATTCCACAGTGGATGATGTCTGTGAAGAAGTTTAAGTGCACTTGTATACTCTGCCTGAATTTTTCTTGCAGGAGCTTCAAAGTCTCCATCTGCTTTGTTGACTAGAATGAGGTCAGCAACTTCAACTATTCCTTTCTTGATACCTTGCAGCTCATCACCTCCTGCTGGTGGAATTATCAATACAAACATGTCAACCATATCTTTCACAGCATATTCTGACTGTCCAACTCCCATAGTTTCGACAAGAATAATATTGTAGCCAGCCCCTTCACAGAGGACAATCGCTTCATTAGTACTTCTTGTAACACCACCTAGAATTGGAAATGATATAATGTGAAATTAAGTATTTACAAGAAGAAATTGGACATCGCATCCACAGTAGAAACATTGATTTGTTCTGGAATGACCAAAACATGATTGTCAAGTCACTCTTATTGGATCAACAGCTTTATACCAGACAAACTCAATTTGACACTGATCAGGAACTGCTTTACAATTTTTTCAAAGCATTTTTTTTGCAATGTGGCTGCAAAAAACAAGAGATTTTTGAAAATTGCTTTTCATGCATGGCTATCATTTAGCTCCACAAAATTAACCTTGAGTTCAAAAGTTCACAACTTGGTGATAGCTAAATGTGGCTAGAGATAATGTTTGGAGAAACTGGTTAAATCGGTTTCAAATCCAGACAAAGCAATCTAATAGCAAATATAACTCAATAACCACTTTTGGCTAACTCGAAACTGTTAGCCTGCGAGCAAACTTTACTTTCCATTGCGAAGGAGAGCCAGGACAGAAAGTAGAGGAGCCTCAAATAATTTGCAAGTTTGGATGATGCATTAATTTTCCAGGACTTTACAATGTTCTATTGATATAAAAGTACAGATACCAAAAGCACCTTTTATAAATTTGCTGTTCCTTGCTGAAAGCTTTTCAACACTAACAGGCCACCAAAGGGGAACTAATCATTTTCTAAAACATTTTAAGTTTCAAGCCATGTTTACATCTCCAGGCCTATAGAAATTTCATGGTTGACATTTTTTTAATTATTTGGCACACATTAAGAGCTTTGAAACATCAACAATGTCTTGTGAAAATTACATGGAAATAGCTGCCATACTTTTTTAACAAGAAGAATTTAAAAAAGTCTTTCCAAATTTGTTACATGCAATGTCATTGAAATTTTGAAGTTTGTCCCAATACTTTTTAAACGTAAGTGTACTTGGGACCTATGATTTGGTCAAACTGCACTCAGACATTAGAAATAGTAAAAATAATGAGATATTCAAAAGAAACTTAAGAATAATTTCGGATTTGCCAGTCATGACCAGCAAGGAGAACTGTAATTGCCATTTTTGTTAACAATAATGTTTGAACTAGGGTACTTTTAATCACATAGTTGTAAGATTTTATTTTGTTTTGAATTTTTGAAATGTAAAAGTGATATTCTGTTTGTATATTGAGTGTCCCTAATTAGCAAGCATGCTAAATTTATTTGACACAGAAATAAAAGTTAATGATGATGATGATTATGATGATTATGATGATGATTATGATGATGATGATGATGGTTTCTCTAGGTACAATCCAGGTTGGAAAACTTGTGTGCTTTTGCTGATGTGTCTTTGCAACCGAAGGCACATTATCAGCTGCTACCTGCGAGGGGAAGCATTTGAGTTGTGAGCAATGATGCATTATATATACACAGCTATAGTATAAAATAGTAAATGACTTATGTAATTGATATTTTTGTTCAAAAGGTCTGAGGTGCAAGCACAAGAAGTCCAGCAAAGCTGCAAGCATATGCAAGTTTTCCAGCCTTGGGTACAATCAACTTTTCTTGAGGTCAGATAAAATTGAGGCCTGAAGTAATAACCTTTCAATTATGCTTTGTAACAAACTGTTTGTACAGTTACATGTTTTTGCTTAATTCTTGCATAATTATCAACAAGGGCAACTAAATCAATAGCCTGAGCAAAGCTAAATTACAGGATAACCTTACCAAGTGTTCCCGAAGATGGTGATGGTCTTATATATGCATTTGGATCTCTTGACAGCTCTGTCATTCTGGTTCTATCTCCAAGCAGCGATCCTCCAGTTTTTGCTGATGATGGATCAACTGCTAGAACAGCAACTTTATGGTTCAATGAGGTCAAATACTTTCCAAGGTTTTCAATCAAAGTACTCTTGCCTGCACCAGGAGGCCCAGTAAGTCCTATTCTGAAGGACGCCTTTTGCTTGACGTTTGCATGTGTAGTTCCTCCTCGCAAACGCTTTAAAGTTCTACTTAACAGATTCTCAGATATAAGTCTCTTTTCTAGTTTTGTTGATTCAACAAGTGTTATTGCATGGGCCAAAGCAGAGCGTTTTCCACTAATGATGTCGTTGTATATTGTATCTACACTTGCATTGGAGTATCGAATAAAACGCTTTTGGAAAGCAATGTTTTGGGCTCCAAGATTGCAAAAACTGCTGCACATCCTGAAACTTGCTCGCTGGTTCAGCATACTTAAAATTTTGATGAAAATCTACCACATAAAATCTGGTTCCCTTTAACCTTTCATTGATGAAAAAGACGCACCTTGGTTTATGGTATGACCCTACAGGTATCTGTTTCTCCTCTTTTCCGTAAACGGTAATTCGGATAAAAAATTAAGTTTTACGTAAGCTTTTATCTTTAAATTGGAATCTTCTGACCGTATTATTGCCTGTAAAATCTTCCAACCGAACCTGTCCAACTTCAACAGGGGTTGTTGGTGCTGTTAATGATTCAATTCAATTCAATACATTCTTTTGATTACAGGTTATGTAATTACTAAATTACTTACAATTGAAAAGCTTGCATATGTAATTACACTGAATTTCGAAATATTACAACATTAAGACAAATTTCAAGATGAAGATTTAACTCAGTTCCGAAAGAAGGTATAAAATTCAAAAATAAAAGAAAGGAGAAGAAAAATGATAAAAGAAAGTAATGGGAGGGGGGGGGGGGCAGTAATGGAAAAGGAAAAACGAATAATGCCAAAGATCAATAAAGTATGTGCTCATTAATTTAGGAATCATCAAGTCTTTTCGAGAACTATTTTCGAACTAGTGTCAGTTTTGAATCCACTTTTTCAAGGCTTTGATAAAATTATGTTTAGTTTTGGATTGTTTTATTTCCAGAGGAATATCATTCCAGAATTTAATTCCTTGATTTATTATGGACATTTTTTACAAATTTTTTTCTTACTGTAGGCTGTGATAAAAAGCCAGACGTTGCTTGTCTTTTTTGTACAGATATTGTGTACAGATGAAACTGGCTTAAAATAATCCCAAAGAGTTGTGTCATTTTTGTTCTGCGTAACATCAAATATAAGTTTTGCCAAGCTTGCCATTTGTTTGTTATCCTCTGGAACCGTTGAATGTACAAGATCCAAACACGCCCCCTTGATACACCAGCGATATATCATATTTTTTTCCCGACACATATGTGGTTTTCAGGTTATTAGTTCGTTAATCAGTCAAGCCGAAAGGTGCGCGTGAATTCATCAAATGAAAAAATTGAAATGATGTGCCTCTTTGAATTGTCCTCAAGAATTTCTGCTATACAAGTAACTTGTTAAAATGGTAAGAACTGTCTGAATTTTAAACCCAAAAATTTACTCGGACCAAACATATCTAAGATCTAAAGTGAGGAGATTTTTACCATCTGGGGGTCTGCAAACTTGCCCTCAAATAAAGGATGGTTCACCTAACTTTTCTGCAAATGGGACCTGGAAAACCCCCCCGAGAGTAACATCCAGCAACGTACCTGACCGTCATGGCAAGACACACTAAATTTTGAACGGTTAAACAGTCTATTTACCTTACGTCCTACAAAACCTTTTGCTGTTAAACTTCAGCTTTTTGTTAAACAAGTTATTTTGAATGATTTTGTAAACACAACAGCAAGGATATCTCTAATTGATGTCCACGTGAGTAGTAGCCTGAGATCAGGCTCTCGGGGTGGAGGAGGATCCGAGCCTGATCTAATCTCAGGCTACATGAGTAGCGTTTAAGAGGTTGCCTGCAGTGCAGCACTTCCAATCATACTTCTTTTTTCAAGACAGCACCTTCTCCCCCTCACCTTTAAGATGACCTCAGAGATTTCGAAAATACAGTTTCTGCAAACCACAGTTTTTCTAATTTCTAAATGTTTTTTCATACTACTTTAACAAAGATTGTGTAGTTTATCAGTCACTGGCAATTTCAAATTTTCAACAAACAGTCACCTTGCTTTTTGGTTCAAGGAAATTGTAGTTTTAGAATACTGGTCTCTTTGGTGGACCAGATATTCTTATATTCTGAATGAAAAAGTTAGCAAAATTTGACTGATATTCCCCTACCTTCACATATCCTTAGCTTAGCCTAAAAAATGTTTTGCATTATGTGATACAAACTGTTTGTAGTGTAGCTTTCCACAAGAGTGAGTCTTTAACTCACCACTGAATCCCAAAAATTTATTATTCTATCTTGCTATTAGTGTGCAAGAACCCCTCCCCATGCATGCCAATTTGCTGACACACCATAATAAATAGGTAAATGCAGTTGTCCATCATTAGCAATTTCAATTTCTCTCACAGAGCATGTGACAAAAAGATAAACAAGCAAAGTTTTGATATTAAATTTTATGGAAATTTTCAGTTCATGTGATCAAGACCTTGGCCTTTCCTTCTTTCCCTTGAAGAGTGCCAATAGAGACACATTTGCTACTTTGACAACTTTAAATCGTACACCGGGAATATCACCAACAGCATGTCCAGATCGTCCAAAACCAGAGACAAGAACTTCATCATTTTCCTCAATGTAGTTCAAGCAACCATCATTTGGCACAAATGCTGTAATTTTTTTTCCGTTTTTGATGAGCTGGACACGAACACATTTACGGATAGCAGAGTTAGGCTGTTTTGCCTCTACACCACTAAAAAGAAACAATATTTTTCAATTAGCCATAATGTCATCTATAAAATAATTTAAAAACAATAATGGCTTTTCTGACAAAATTGCAAGTTCTGAAATTGACATGGTAACATCAAGTGTTCACACAGACAAGAACTACTGGTATATAGAAGAACTACTGGTATATAAAAGAACCACTGGTATATAAAAGAACTACTGGTATATAAGAACTACTGCTACACAAAACCCTTCTATAAGCATTATTGTTCAATCTTAATTATTGACATGTTTCCTGTAACAAATTTTAGGTGAAATCACTTTATGAAATAAAGCATTCATTAGACCCAGTTATATCATAATTTTTACTTGACTCAAATTATTCTGGCATGTATAACAGCTTTCTATAAATGTTCTTTGGATTTATTTTTATCTCAGTTGTGCATGTGAGGATTTTCACAATCCAGGGATGCTATATTGTGTTGAGTTTTAACTTTGATCAATTAGCAAATAGGTTTTTTTGACTCCATTGCAGAAACATAGCACTCTGAAGCAATTTTCTTTTGGGACACTCTATAAACATTAGATTATGGCCGAAAGTTAGCAGAAAAAAAAATATGATTGCTATTCTTATTTTCAAGCACCAGCAACAGCTTATCTCTCACTTAGTTAAAGAGTCCACAAGAGAAAACAAACTCTTTCAGTCAGTCTACACAAGTCTTAGGCATTTTGGTTGTTGCAAAAACCTTGTGACCATTCTCTCTTGCAACATATTCTGCTTGGTCTTTGCCAGAACATGCTGTTTCATTATATCCACTTATTGCTTACAAATGCATCAATATCCATATCCTTTTTGATTGGTAGAAACGTAATTGTTTTGAATGAACAAAAGCATGACCCTGGCACTATAGACCACACAAGGCCTCACATGAAAAACAGTTGGTTATGGTCTGATTTATCTTACTTTTAAATTTTGATGAAATATTGCCAATACGCAGCACTTCTCCTGACTAAACTTTTTTGCCAGTCAAAAAATGAGCATAAAATTTTGATCACTTTCTTATCAATAAATAGAGTTGAATTTTAGCCACAGCAAAAATTATGTGGTTAATCCTTTTGCTTATAAAACTTCACAGCAACTTGCTCAGAGATAGTACTCTATGATGGCTCTACATTCTGATTGGTTATTTGTGCAATAAACAAAAAATGGTGCATGATTTTTGTGGCAATGAAAAGAGATTCTGAGAACAACGGGGGACAGATTACCTTCAACGCTTGAATACAGCCCATATAACATAATAATGACTGTTTGTTACAAGGTGGCCAGTAAGACATTTGACTCGTCCTACTGGTGAATAAAGGAACAGTTTGGTCTATGAGTGTCTTAGCACAAACCACTTCATAGTGGAGAACCACTAATGGATGTGACTCTGACCTCAACTTTAAGTGCAATCACAACAGAAATATATACATATAAAATGAATCACTGTGAAAATGCGAGAATTGCTTGCTACCATAACTTGTTCCAGAAAAGTTTAAAGTCTTTCTAGCCAGGTTTTTGCCTTCAATCTTGTAAATGCAGGCAGCACAATGAGTAATTACACATCTAGACTTATAATATATCCGATAGACTCCATAATTAAAGAGGTACCCAAATCTTGGTGACAACATTACTTCACATGAAAGAGAATTTAAAAAAAAAATGAACAAGTCTTCAAAAAAATGACTTCAGATAATTTATGTGAATAATCTAAATTACAACTTACACTTTTTCAAGAACAATTCCCTTTGCATGTGAAGCACCTCCAAAGGGGTTGGCTTTCAAGGCTGTTCCTAAATGTGCCTTTTTGTAGTCTTTATCATGCCAACGCTGTTCACGCCTGTGATTGCGGAGTTTGCGAGCGGTTCTCAATCCACGTGGCTTTCCTAAAATTTTGAAAATATAAACAAATATTTCGACATGCAAACAGTATAGAAACACCTTAAAACTGCATTATCTGGGTGGATGTAACAACTTTAATTGTAAAATCAAATAAAGTTTTTTTATTATGACTCTTGCAATGGTAATCAGTGTAAAAACTGTAGTTACATTATAATTGACATTCAGGCATTAATTTTATGATCTTGTCATGATCCTGATAAGAAATCTTGTTTGGCTTTACTGAGCCAATAATAATTAAACAAAAAAAGTGTGCCACAGATTTATGCCAGCCTATGACTGCAGGTTGCCAAAAGACATGGGGTGGTTGCACTAACCAAACATTTTGTTGTAAACATTTTTTATTACAAAGAAAGATTTAATTTTGAAGAAGGCCAGTATTGTTAGAATCTGTGGTAAACCATGAGGCAATTCTAGTTTGGCTCAACCTCAGCACTCCCAAATTGCACCTTATTCAAACTCAGCTTGTTTACACTGACAAACAAATTTGATGTATCTGTTCCCTATTTGAATGAAAAGATTGTAGGTTTCATATTAGAGTTGGAGAAGTTTTGAAATGCTAAAATAAATATATACATTATCCAATGTCATATAAGCTACACATATTTGTAATAAGAAACTAAGGTCCAATGCTGGTAGGCAGTTTCTAAAATTTTCTGGCCATTTGCTATCAAAAGTTTCTAACATGATTCTTAAATTTCTTAGGTGATGAATTTTTTAAACATGCTTCAAGGTAAAGTAAATAGTTCACTCACATTCAGAGATAAACAAAGTGATCAGGAATTTTGTTTTCCTAGAATGACTAACTTTGTTGAAATCTGTAAACAGTTAAGCTCATTGAACTTCATCAATGACAACTTGAAGTCAAAACAAACTTTTAAATGGAAACTTCTTGAGTGTGCAATTTACTGAGAATGAAATGCAAACTGCATCTCTAGTGTAGTGATGCAATATACAGTGATGTTCAATGACAAGACTGTTTCAAATGTCAACTCGGGAAATTAAAACTCCAAATTATAAAAGTGTCTTAGCTTCTTTCAATTTGGGTAGGGTTGTTTCTTAACTGTCGAAAAATTGCCCTGTTTCTTATAACCTGCTTCTTATAAAAAAACGAGTGTACTTGTAATAACTGTACAGTTTCTACATGTGATATATACGAGACTTGGTGGCCAGTTCATCTGCTTTATGGCATTTATGCAGGCCTACTGGTGAATAAAGTCACATTTGATCTATGAGGCCTTAGCACAAACCATCGAAGAGTGGAAAGAACCACTAATGGATGTGACTCAGACCTCAAAAACAGGTAGAAATTCACTACGAAAGGTTATCAAGCTATAACTCAAGTTCTACAGATTAATACTCTTATAACTGCAATTCCTTGCATTTCCTTAAAATAGATTTAAGCAAAATGTGCACGTGCAAAGGCGCTCGTGCCTAGGCCGTGCGATTGAGTCGGTATTGCGAACATTATTAGTTAAAAACTCAAGAATATTTCGATTAACAGGAGAATAAACTACCTTTATACCTTTCAAAACGTTAATAGTGTCTTTGAAACATTATTTGAAAGTTAGAACAACGCGGGAAATGGAAAAACACAGGAATCTGGGCTGACATTAACTTACCCATTTTGGACGTAGAAAGATAGAACTTAGAAAGGAACAACGAGGCAGCGAGGAGACCATAGAATGATTTCTCCCATCATGCACTGGCGACTCTCGTCTCCATGAAGAGATTGCTTGCAAATGGTGGCAGATAAAGATGAAATTTCTCACGGTCATGTAGTGGTTCTGACGTTTAATGTCCTTATTCTCGAAGCATTTAATCTAAATTAAGCAGACAATACATCTGCAATTGTAGTTGCCACTAGCTTGAAGATGAAGAGGCAGAATATCTTGAATTGCAGCTTCTCAAACTGGTATGCATTGTTTAGACGATGCTCTATCGACAGTAGGATAATAAAACTTCCAGTAGAATTCATTGAATATCTGCTTGCAGATGGAGTTGTTTTACCCAGTTCGGATGAAGATCAATTGATTGAGACAGCACAAAACATGGACCTTGATGATGAAGAGAGCTCTGACTCTTGGAGTGATGATGAAGAATATGAAATTTCTGTTCCAAAATTTTGCAATCTGGAAAAGGACATTAAAAATGCGATTACAGCTTTAGGAGGTGCCGTTTTCCCTAAACTTAACTGGAGTGCTCCAAGAGATGCATCGTGGATAAGCCCGGATGGGACATTGAAATGTAGATCGTTCCAAGATATATGTCTTTTGTTGAAAAGCTCAGACTTTATTGCTTATGACCTCACAAAAGCATTTGAATGCTGTGAGGATTCGACTGTCAGCCAGTCAAAAGACAAATTCGAACTTATCTTAAGAAGGTGGATTGAAATATCGCCAGCTATGGAATTCAGATGCTTTGTCAAAAGAAACCAGTTAATTGCTATATCACAAAGGGATTACACAAATTTCTATGATTTTGTTGTTGTATCAAAGGAACAAATTCACAAAGATATCACTAATTTCTTTAAAACAAAAATAAAGTCCAAATTTATGGATGATGATTATGTATTTGATGTATACAGATATAGGGAAGGATGTGTGCAACTTATTGATATAAATCCATTCTCAAAAGTCACTGATGGATTGCTGTTCTCTTGGCAAGAGATAAATGACATATCCTTAAATCATTCAGACAGTAATTCTGAAACACAGGGTGAAATGAGAGTTATCATAAGCAAAGAAAATATTCAGCCAAGTCCATATTTGTCTTACAGCATGCCAAGAGATATTGATGACATTGCCTCAGGAGGGGATACAAACAAACTAGTAGAGTTCTTAAAAGAGAGAAATTCATGAACTTGAAAGGCTAGAATAAAACTTTATTATATGCTACAAACAGTTAACTCTGTAGTCTTATTGAATTGCTTTAACAAAGTTTTTAGTTGTCACTAAAATTACCTGATTAACAGTGCTTTTTATCAAGTCAATATCCTAGCAATAGCACAAACATATACATCTACCTGCTCATTCTTATTGCACCCACAGTGCAACTATCTATAAGAGATACTAAAAGAAAATTATACAAAATGTTCTGGTTGTGGTAAAGCTCTTTGTCAAGTGTGCAATGTCATAAGTAACTGTGATAGTTTTAAGTACCGGTAAGTAATATAGGATTGAATTATTTGTCAAGGCCCCTTTTTTAATGAGAAAATATCATTAATTTTCATATTTTACTTGTGTTTGACATGTTTTACAGCATTGAATGGGACTTTTTGCAGTTCGTAAATAGAGGCCCTATCCCAGTGTTTTCCTTAGAACCCCAGCTGTCTCTGTTATGCCACTGGGTAAACTCAGTCACGCTTCTGGGTAAACCTCTACATCAGGACTGAGAATCTTGTCCCAAAAAGAAAAATTTTGAGACAGAAAAGTTTGGGATACAAAGAGAAAATTAAGTTGCAGGCACCTAAAATATCCAAAAGACCAGAACTTCAGTTTGAGATGTATGAAAGTTCAAGATAGAGGGTATTCAAGATACAGAGACTTGAATTTATTGCTATTCTCTATTTTTCAAATGTATACTTTTACAATGAAAGATTCTTTATTGTAATAATCAATTATGTCAAGTTCAATAAACATTTCCAGGCTTATGATCTTTAGATCCTATTGTAACCTTTCCATCAACAATTTTTACATTTATTCCAAGCTTCTCTATATCTTCGGTGTTTGCCAATCCTTGTCTCTCTAATTGCAAAATCACGTTCTGATTTTCTGGATTGTTTTCGCACAGGTTTCTGATAGCAAATACTGCCCATTGAGCAATGTCTGATTACTCACTAAGGAAAAACTGTTAGAAAAATGTGTTCCAGCAGAGCACTAAAGCCACTTTGATGTCAGCACAATAAACCCTGAAAATGCTGTTTTATTAGGCAATCAATGTTATATTCATAACAGGATAAGCATCATTTATTGTTGTCATAATATATTCTTAAAAATAGTATAAAATAGCTCTGTCCTGAGCTGAAATAAAAAATTAATGAAGATACAAAATCAATCATTTGCTTTAAATCACATTCATCCTTATTCTAAAGAATACTTATATACACTCTGATGGCATCATTTTATTTCCTAAAAAACACACCAGTTGTCCCATACTTCAATGGAACAGCTCTAGAAAAGTGAAGTTTGTTCATCCGACAATCTTATAAAAGTAGGAGCATGAAAATTGTGCTTTGTAGTAAAACCTTATATACAGTAAAACCTCAAATATTTAACTTGCTATTATTTACTGCAGCCAATTATTTCTTATACAGGCACCACGGAGCGTTGAGAAAAGTGGGGGGGGGGTCTAAAAAAGTGGGAGCTAAAACCGAAAAGAAAGTGGCTTGACTGGTGATTCATTGGTAATTTTTTGGCATTTTTGGTAAAAGGTTTGGGGGGCTATAGCCCCCTTCTCTGCAGTGCATGTTGTAGAACTGTCAGGATTAGGATGGAACCAGGGCACATGGTGATTAAGACAAACTTAAAAGGATACAAGGATTTTCATCATCAATCTTGCAACTATCGAGAACATTATGAATGCCATCCAATGCTCTGACCTGCAACAATAGAAAACAGAGTAAACAATGAAATAAAAGATTTTACATTTTATTGTTACCCTAAAATTCCCTGTTGAGAAAGTTTATTTCGAAAACCACAGATTGCAACAGTACACATAGGTTAATATTAGCATACTTATTACTCTGATTCGTCTTTATAAACATGCAGAGCCAGGACTAGCACTATGGGAAACATTTGGGGACCGGGCAGTACAACTGAGATCAGTAAATCACTGCCACCATCGGCGAATTGAGCCAATCGCAGCTTCACTGAAAAATGAGATTTAAAGCCATTTTTACAGAAAATATATCATGCTCATCTTGTCAGCGAATGTTGAATCTTACATACTCCCCATTACAGCCTCCCCATTACAGCCTCCCCCTTACAGCCTCCCCCTTTCAGCCCACCCCCTTACAGTACAGACTCCTCTAGAAAAATTCAGTTTTAATGGCCCTGCATACTGCCATTACGAAGAACTAATATTTTCCATAATAATCTACATCTCTTATAATACCTTGCATACCTGATCTTGATTAGCCTTATTCTTAAAGCATAAATTCCCAATCAAGCGAACAATGTCTCTTTTTACACCAAATGTCCCATCTCTGTGTGGTTCTTTGCTATTACGAGTGTCTGTCTTGAATTTTGATAGATGCTTTAGATAGGCTGAAATCAAAGAGGTAAGTTGTAAGAAAACAAAGGAAATGTACAAACGGAAGAAAATTGGCGTTAAACTAAATGTTAAACATGCTAGCAAACTATAAACCATTAAAAAACAGAAAAATGCTCAAGCGAATTCTGTTTTTGTTGTGCAAAAGTGAATAACTGCTGGATGATTTTCTGTCAATGCTTTGAATAAATTGCAACATATTTAAACAAAGCTTTGTTCAAAAATAAATACAGCTTAATGTGTATATGAAACCAAACTAAACCCTAATCAATTCCTGGCAACATGTATAACACAGACTATAAGAAATAATAAAGATATGCGTTTCAATTGCTAGATTTTATGAGCTTCTGCAAAACTACTATTTATTTTGATACGTGTAGATAAGGAACACCGCAACGCGCCGTAAACAAGCAACAATAAACAAACGTAAATCAACTATGACTACTCTTTTGTCCCGGCATACAGGGCTTCATCAGAGCAATAGAGATGAAGCCCCGTATGCTGGGGCGAAATATTATCCATAGTTAATTTACGTTTGTTTATTGTTATTTGTTTTCGACACGTTGCGGTGTTCCTTACTTGCTTTTGATGGCTGACAATGGCAGTTTAATGTACCATGCAGCCCCCGTACCCATTTATCCTGAATGTTTTATATAAGTCCGACTACAATAATGTCACGCACATGCATTCTTCATTCAGTTAGTATCGATTTTTAATTTAAATTTCTATAGAGCCCATGACACAGCTCGGCATCATTAGCATAGACACAAGTGTGACCTAAACGGTAGTCAGTATGATATGTTCTCAGATTAGCCATAGCAATTCAAATTTTATTTCAGAGAATGAACAAAACTTACAAATGGCACAGTCAACAAGCCCTTCATCTGTACAAGTATCAATGTACTTCGGATGACTTGTTGCATCACAAAGGATTTGCAGAAGAAGCAGAACCAATTCAACCAGCTGAAGTAAAGAAAAAAAAATTGCAAATATGATCAATCGATTTGATAATATATTTAAACTTGGAACAAGCAAACAATTTTTGGACTTCTTATTTCCATTGCTGCCCGGAAAATATGGACTTCTTCTTAAGGCGTATAACTTAAGAGTGTCTCTGCATACATTTTTTTCTTTCTTAAGTGAAAGGTTAACAAAAGAACATGAAAAGTACACTATAGTGCAAAAACGTAAAAGACGGGCCGGTTTCCAATAATGAGAAACAACCTTTCCTGTAGATAATGCATGCACTTGAGTTAACATATCAGTATCAGTTGTCCGTCTAAAGGTTTGCATTATGAGCACACATTATTCCATGTATTGCACTTTCACCAGCACTCCATATTAGTTTCTGTAATGTAATTGAGCGGCACAAAAAACTGACAGTCCTCAAGAGTATGAAATACTCGGATGATAATCTTTATCCAGAAACAGATCAAAAATAACCTGAGTGCAAGGAATGAAAGATATCAAATGCAATGCGTTCCAAGTACTTTTGGCAGACATTTTAAAGTGCAAAAGGTTCATGTAATGAAATTCTACTTTTATTGAAGAGTCCTATATGTGTATCATTCATCTTTGATGAAATTATCTTATCAATATCGTGTTGCCCGAGTAAAATTTATCAATTCAAAATATCTTAATAAGTGGGAGCATGATAGTAGAATGAATTTTTAAACAACTGGCTTTACAATTTTTGTATTGCTGTAAAAACAAGTGGAGTTTGAGTCTCCGTTGGATTTTTATATCCTGACATTAAATTACGATTGCTATATTCGTATGAAGTCTCGAAGTTCGCTATCTACTGGTATGGTCTGTTATCTACTGTGTGATTAAGTATGGACACGATCTATAGTATCTAGAGCAGAAGGTTCTAAGTTGCGACTCAGTGTTTCTCACGCTTTGTTGTGATTGTCAGGGAACTGAACAGTCAAATTCATTCGATTGTCAATTTCAAACATGGCATCAAATAGATTTCAGCCAATTGGAACAGGTATGCCAGTTATAAAAGTTGATTCTTAGCTATCACGTTGTTGTACATCAGCGTCATACAATAAATTTGTCCAACATTTAAATTTACAAAGCCATTGAAAGACTAGATTGTTTCATCTTCAGAAAATTTCCTACCACAGGATTACCTGGAAGGAATGGAAACAATCTACGACTTTGAAAATCTATTATTTCTTTGACAACATATACAATCACTGCCAAAATCACTTGGAACATCAAACACTTTGCATTGAGCTTTTCTATTTTTAATTTGTTTTCCCGAATACTACTACTTCCGCCCCTCTTCCCCCCACCAAAAAAACAATGTTGAAAGTATAGAAAAATATAAAAAATCCATAAGAAAAAGCATACTCCATAACCCCTTTTTCTACAGTAAATCAACATTGTTCTTACGGGGACAGGAGGTGGCTGAAATTGCCTTTGAAAACTTTCGTTAGCGTTCCAAGACTTTGGGCAGTGATTGTAGCTACTTATAGATTTTACATTACCGAAACTATCAAAAAAGTGATCAAGCATTTGAATAACTCACTTGCTCAAAGGTTTCCATTTGGGATTCTTTTCCAAATACAATGACATTCAAATACCCTTTGAACTGCTTTGCCATAAAGGCGATAGTATGCTGCGGGACAGCGTTTGTACCATCTGGACAAAGAACGGATAATCAAAATGTGTTGATATATTTTGATGCTAAGAAGAGTTGTGATATTCGGGTAAAGTATCCCATTCGATGGACAATAAAGGGAATCTGCTGAAGGCAGTGAGCATTGATTTCATCATTAGGTATATCATCCTTACATTATGCCAGTTTAATCCACCAAAGTGTCCAGTTTATCTGAAACTACCATGGATCAGCAACATTCCCTTGCGATTTGAAAGTTATATTAAACAGGCCATTACATGAGTATCCTTGGCTGTTAATCCATATATTTTTACAGAACAAGGAAAGCCTTTCTATCCATTCAAAAGGATTGCGTTCCTACCACCCAAAAGAGTTTTGTCTTTATGAGGTTATGCGCTAGTTTGATTATCCCTTAAATGAGTTTATGTGCCAGTGTGATTCTTGTTACGTATGATGCCAAACCTCGGAGGAGTGTCAAACAAGAAGCTTTAAATGTCTTTAAGTGTTTGATTTTTTAAAGCCATTTTAAAAATAATTGCACACATAAAAGCAAAACTCACCAGAGATGCAAGCGTGAAGTAAATCAAGAAGGACCAATCTAAAATAAAAACAGAAATACAACGTATATTACTTTGAGATTCCTTTGATTTGAGATAATTTTTGCTTTGGATTTGTTCATTCTCAGCAACCAAAAGGAAGATTGAAACAAACTGACTCAAAACCTTTCCTTAAATACATCTACAACAATAGATCTCTATTTAAAATTGAAAAAAAATTCTACGATAGAATAGTTTAGTAGCTTAAAAACTTGTTGAAAAAAGAGTTTGTTGCATCGTTTTCGATAAGCACTAGAGATTGACTAAAGTGCTAGGCTACAATAAACATCACAAATCAATATTGATCATTAACTGAAAAAAAGAAGAACTGAGAAAATGCTTGATAAAGCCACGAAATTAGATAAAGCAGAACAATCTACCTTTGCTTATGTTGACCTGCTAGTTGATCGTATAAATCGGGGAATCCTTTTGAAGAAACAGCATGCTGTAAAATCAGTAGCCTAGCAGCAAAGATTTGCAATTCAAATAACACAGTACAGACTAATAACATAGTAAAGACCACATAGTCACAAAATAAATTCATATGGAACTGATGTCCAGACATGAACAAGGAGATTTCCTCTATACAACTGAGCATTTACTCCCGAATTTGAAAAATTGTTAGCTTCATGTTGCTACTCAAGACTGTTCAGCCCTTAAGGTTGATTTTTTCTTACTACGTTCTAAAAATAACTTTTATGGCAAGGAAATTTAACCAGGATCAACAGCTTATTGTTCTTAATTTTGCCTTTATATTATTGAGAACTACAGCTATAAACATCACTGCTTTAACCTAACACTGTTTGTTCAGAGTTTATATGACCTTATAACTTTTATTAAGGACTGAAAATTGGCTCGCTCTTCTTAAGATTCTTAAGTTTTTACAGAGAAACACTTAAAAATATTGTTACTGCATGAGTGTCAGTCTATGGGAAACTTGCTCGAACATTTTGGAACAATTTGCAGCTCTGTAAAACTTCTCTCAAAGCAGCCACCACAATGATGCCAAATTTCAATATTTGCTAGTAAAAGGTTTTTGGGCAAAAAGACAGATATTTTTAGGCAAGGATGCACCAATAAGAAAAGTTCATTTTGAAAAAATTGAAGTCTGAATTAAATAAAGAGAATTATTTCAATTTTTTCCAAAAAAAAGAATGAAATTACATGTCTGATACAGCATTAGGTATAGTTAGTTCTATTTGAGGAGAAAACTTTCAATTACTTTCAAATTTTATATTTTCCTGGTTTCGATTCAAGAGAGGAAGTAAACACAGTATGAAAATTTGCAGTTTGAGTTTCTCAAGAGACTGAAACATCTTTGGGATCATTTGTATTTGCCATCAATTTAAAAAAACTGAGTTAAAATTGAAAGGAAGAATGATGAGAGTCTGAAGGTTTTTATTACAATTTTATTCCCTTCTTTGGTATTGTTTACTTTAAAAAGGCTGCTTAAATGCAAATCATAAAAATAGCCTCTGGCTCCTGTCCATGAAGCAGAATTCAACTGAGAAATAACAAAAGAGCTCACCCCCATTCAGTGTCAAAGTTCTGGCTAAAGTCAATTATCTGAGCCAGCAGGAGAGAAAACTCCTTGGTTCCATAAACCTCTGGACTGAAACAAAAACTGACATAAACAATTCTGCATTGATTTTACTGTGAATGAAAAATTGCAAACTACTGTTAGGAGGTATGATGTTTCCTTTTTGTTAAATATGTTGTTTCAAGACCTGGCATCCTGGCATTATCAACAAGAAAAACAATTCCCTGTCTGTTTTCAAGAACAATAAATCACAAAGATATATAATGCTTGTTCAGATAAGCAGAAAATTTTTGAAGTTTAAAAATGAGCAGTCAGAAAATAGTTTTTAGTTTTCCTTCTCAAGATTAAATATTGAATTAGCTGGGTTTTACAGGAGACACTTCCTCTGTTTTACCTTTCAAGAATGCAATTATAAATCACCATACAAAGAATATTCTTGTGAGGAGCAGATATTCTTTCCATGAATAATCTAAAAGAGGAGTGGTGTAATTAAGAAAGACAGTACATAATAAAAACTCAATAATCTGGCAAGCCTTGATCTAATCAAAAAACCTTATCATAAAACCTCAGAAAATAAGAAATGTTAAAGATCTTCCTTGTAATTTTATTGCAGGCAATTCAAATTTAAACCTCTAGTATGAATATTCATTTATATCATATAGCAACCTGCATAGTTCAAATTTATTAACCGGAACATCAAAAATTTACAAATTTATCAACAGGATGAGCTGAAAAACCCAACATATTTCTAAAAAATTTAGCAACCTTGTTAAGTCAGGAAATATTCTGTTCCATACATGTACTTGACAAGTGCTATTTGCAGCTACAAGATTTCCAATGAACTGGAGTGAAACTGTCTTCGTCACTTCAAGAAGAAAGCTCCATCATAATAAAAAGAAACAATAATCTTATATGGGCAAAATATACAGTAGAAGAGAATATTGGCTTATAAATTGAAGGTAACAAACAAGGGAGGACCAACAGGGACAGAATTTGCTTTAACCAAGACTTTTATCAAAAAGAAGGCTTATAAACAAGTATAAAGTCACTGGCTACATTATTATCAATTGACCATACCACCCAAGTATTGAAAGACATTTCGACTTATCTTTTTGAACTTTAGAATCTGCCTAGTATTACTTAAAACTTGATGAACCAACTCACTTGAAAATGCTAAGGAAAGGCCTTGATCTTCAAGATGGGAATCAAGTTGAAGAATCCCTAGAGCTGTTTCCAGTACATCTGGCTGTTTCCTATAAAAATTCAACAAAATGCTGGTATCTAAAATGAATATGTTTTATTGGCATAAATTCAAAATTTTCATATTATGCAGTTGCTAAATTTGAAAAAATCTGATAATGGAACTGATTTTTTGCATAATTGCAATTAATTGCAACCTGTGGTTTGTGATTGGAGATGTCATACAAAAAAGCAAGCTTCCTTATAACCATTTTCTCCTGGCCCTTTTTTAAGAGCCACAACATCCCTGCTTTTAACTAAATGAAAATTCAAATAGTTGTAGCAAGTTACATGAAAGTTCTAAGCTGACTGTTAAAAAAATAATAGAAAATTTATCAAGGTGATGTTTGGGATGACAAGCCCCTTCATCAAGCATGGCAAGCCCTTTCATCAGGCATATAGCTTCACATCCACCTAATTTAAACAGTGAAATTTTGCCCCTAAATACATAATATGGTTATAAAAAGGCGTGCATCTCCAAATTAATTTTCTGTAGGAGACTTTGGGCTTTTCACCCACCAATATCCTGTTGAGTCTGTTTTTTTGTTTGAAAATGAAAATGATGTATGCTCAAGTGTATTGCTATGTGGTGGTTTTGATAGCCAGAACAAAGAAAATCAAAACAAAAGTCCTCATTTCAACCCTTTTCCATGCTCTGGTTTATTTAAGGCCAATCTAAGAATGGCATTTTGATTGTTGGGGGCCTATTATAGGTTTGTGGTTTCACGGCCTGGACCTTATTTTTATGGGCGGATTTGGAAATGGTTTTTCTGCGGATTGCGTCTTCAGCAAAATGTGCATCTTGCGTCTTTTGGTGTAAATTTGTTACCGTTTATGGCTTCTACAAAGCAGTTGCAGCTTCCAGCTGAGATAACAGTCTCAGCAGGGCTCTTCACTTTTCACAAAAGGGTATTGAAAAGAGCTCTAGGTCCAATTGGAGTAATGTGAGAATGGACAAGCTACACTCAACAATTACACTCTACAAATGTTGAATGGTATTCAGTGAAATTTCGAGAGCATTTTAACAGGGCTAAATGCACAACCTTAACATGTACAAGCTTCAAAAATTGGTATGGATGATTCCATCTCATATGAACTGTCATAGCCACAAACACTCCCCTGCTCCAGGGCCCACAAAATGGGGGCCTAAAGAATCTTTTGGTAGTTTAATATGGTATCATAGGGTTTTCTTGCACAAGTTTCTTATCAGTGCACAAATACACAACTTGTGCAAGCTTGAAAAATTGAAATAGATGAAATGATATTTAAAACATTAAAAGGGAAGGGATTTTATTATCCAAGAAGGACAAAGAGCAGGAAAAGGCTATTGTACCAAGGAGCTTTTTGCTAGAAACAATTTCATCATTGATGTCAATGTGCCATACTCTTTTTTTAAGAAATGCTGGGCCAAGACGTGATGAAAATAACAGTTATTTAGCTCCATTTTCATTCACAACTCCCAGCCTTCCTAGTTAGTCCCAATATCAAGATTTTGTCCAAACCACTCAATGTGAATGTTCCAATCTGAAGAAAACTCTTTTTCTGTGCAATCGTTAGAGTAACAAAGGTAACCAACTATTACACTCAAAGGTTGCCTAATTTTAAACAACTTGAAAGAAAAACATTAAATAACTTACAAAATCAGTAGCTGGTTTTTCTCACAATTTACACAGGCATTTCTGAAGCATTCCATTGGCCATTGGATTGAATGAATCACATCAACTGATAAAATATTCCTTTCTTTAGAGTCCTTCAGTTTTTCAAAAGCTGTATTCAAATGGGCAACAGCATTTTGTACAACATCTTGCTTGAAGGATGCCCTAAAAATGATTGCACATTAAACCAAGATAACAAACTACATCATGATTGGATTCTAACTGGATTAAAGAATACCTTCACAGAAGGCTTTGCAAGGAGACCATGCACCTCTCTACATGCCTAAAAAATTCCAGGAGCTTGATCGATGGAGCATTTAGTATGTTTATGCCGTCTAAAAGCTAACTGCGATGTTAAACAAAATTTTGGTAATGATGATATTTGATGTTGCTCAATCGAGCACCTGGAAAGTTGAAGGTGCTTAGTTTGTCAAATGCCTGCTTCTTGCTTCTCACAAGGCTTGCTTCACAGCTATACCATCCTAAGGCTGCATTCAGATTCAAAATTATACATGCTTTTTAAATACAAATAATGATTTTGAATGAAGATTTGCTGTTCTTAAGTAAACAATTAAGAAGCTCACAAACTCATATGTAATACATTTGGTAGCCTGAGTGCATCCTAGAGAAAAATTGAAAACTGGAACAACAAATCCACAAAATCTTCAACACAGAGGCCACAAAATTGAATACAATATTAGATACATATTGGAAAGATGTGCATCAGTTCAGCTTAGGTCAGTTTTATTTTAAATTCCACTGGCTACATACACTTGTTGCAAATTAGAAAGAATCCAAGCTTAAAAGTATAAACAATGTTAGAGGAAGTTAACTAATATAAAAACATAACAGAGTAGCAGAGTATAGAGGAGAAACAGTCTAGTATTATTTGAAGGAGGAAACTTTCTCAGTAGTTTATAAACTAATCAACGAGAAAGCACCCCCTAGTAAATTAGATTTTAAGTGAGCTTAATTCGGATTGATAAACATTAATAATTATCGGATTGATAAACACTAAACAAAATGATATACCTGAAAATATCATCCCTCAGTGAAGCTGCTAGCAACTTAAAATCCATTGTATTTTTCAGATTTCCGTACGCCTGATAATTTCTGTGGATCTTGCATTTTTCCAGAATAATCAGTAGTTTTGCTTGAATTGATCAGACTTTAGTTATAATACACACAGACAGACCGAACTACATGTTTCATTTTCCGCCATGTTGAATTTTGAAAATGGTGCATGTTACAACCTCGTTGTCAGGTCACACAGATTTACATTGCAAATTTTTCAATGACAAAGCATTTATTTCTATTAAATTTTCTTCTCCTCTCATTATTTTTAATGGCTACCACATTGCTCTGCGCATTTTTATAGCAAAAGTCCCACCATCACCTTCATTCAATTCTTCACACTTTTGCTTAAATTTCGTTCTTGGAAGCTGTATCCTAAAACCAGTACAATTTCTCATTCTTGACTAGGCTTCCATCTATTTATTATCGAGTGAACAACAGTTCTGTTTTATCTTCATGAATCATCAACATTTCTTGAGCTTGAGGAGTATCAGTCAAAAAACTATTGTATGCATTTTCGATTAATTTTCGGTGCTTATATATACGGTATTTCCTTTGTAGTTCTTCTTAAAAACGACATAATTAAGTTTCTTCGTCCTTTCGTTTGTCCCTGTCATTTTTAGCAAATAATTTCAACAGTAATTTCTTCTCGAGGCAACACTGCTACACAATAAGCATTAAAAATTATAGAAGATCCCAGATGGGGTATCGTGGGAGTATCGTCTTTCTGAAGTCTAATTTAAAGAATGACCCTAAAATCACCCACATTTATCACAACATTTTTTCATAAATAACCGTCATTTGTAGTGATGTATTCAGTTATACTTAATAAAAGGCGTAAATCGTACAGGTGCTGCCATTTCACAAAAATATGAAGAATTCACAGACAATGAAAACAACATTTACTCGACATCAAAATGAATGAGCACATAAATAGTAATTCATTTTGCAACTCTGCAACGAATGTCATACACATTGACATACACGAGATTCCCGCGCAACGTCAAATAAATAATAAGTTTAAAACTGTAATGATTATTTCATTTTACTACCAATATAACAAAGGGCTTTAATTCAAGCCCAAAGGAAAGTGCAAGCATCTTGCTGATCAACAAGAGTGCGCTTATAGGGTACAAGTTGACCTGTCGTCCCTTTAAGTTACTTTTCGCTTAACACGCATGCATTTAATTGCAAACTGGGAACGGTTTTTCAGGAAAACTAAGTAATTTGTAAGCTATCGATATTTTACGAAAGTATTTAAAAGAACAAAATATTATTTTCCAAATTCAGCAAGGCGCAGTGACCATAGGTTAATTATGAACATGCAAAAAACTGCCATGATAACAGGGGCACCTGGCTAAGGGAAATGGCCGTTGTGTTACCAAACAAGAAAGTGGAAAAGTTAATTACAATAATTAAATGACAAAATCTTAAGCAGGTTAATTGTCTTTAAATATAACGTGCATTAATTTTTGCTACACGTGCTGTGGTGACATAGCAGATAAAGGGAAGGCATAAGGCATAAGGAGTGTGGCCATTTTTGGCAGGATATGTAGACATTTTCACCATCTCTCATTTTATATTCGTCTTCCTATACTATCCTTTCAAAAAATTGTGGAAAACGAGGTGAAAATAGACAACTTTTATTGCAAAAATTCATTAATCAATTAATTAATTAATTCATTCATTCATTTATCATTCATTAATTCATTCATTTATTTATTCAGTAAGATTATGCAGAAAGATCTGCGTGAATATGGATGTTTTATCAACAGTTTCTTGAAAAACAACTTGTGTGCAAAATTTATCAACCTGCCAAAATTAACCGCCTAAAAAGGTTTCCTAAAAGCGTAGATACACGATGAACCGTGATTTGATAAATAGTACATTCAGTCTTTCGTTAGCGTCCATAAATATGAATTGATAATAAATACCGGTAGTGTAATATAACATATTTACAATTCTTGTAATACAAGATTATGATAATTCGAACCTAATTTCCCATTCTAACATCACATAATTCAAACACAACATGAGCAAAAAAGCTCATACCATCAGTCAATACCAAACTTTGCAAATACCTTTATAACTAGAATATAGCATTTCGCCTATATAAAAACTGACATTCCTAACATAAGAAATAATACAATTTCTTCAGAAGCACGTGTGAAAAGCAAGAGATCAAAGTTATCTACATTAAGCCGAAAACCCACTCTGGAAACCGATCCGCGGGTCGGATCAGATCATGTTGTTCTGATCACTTCGTTCGATCCGCGGATCGTTTCAGATTGGAATGCACGTTTACATTTATCCCCACGGGATCCATGCCCCATGATGCAAGTTCTATTGTTTAAAAAGCTATAATTAGTTTTCATTTTGATAAAATGAAAACTACTGTACCAGAACGGTTAAAAAAAGTGGAAATGATTTCAACTTTTTTTCGATCCGTTTCGATGCGTCGCGGATCAGTCATGTGACCATTTTTGGATCCAAAGCGCGTGCGCAACACAAAATCTGATCCGATCCGCGGGTCATTTTCCAGAGTGGGTTTTCGGCTTTATGAGTGATAAATTAACTGCTCTTTCAAATAAATAGGCTGTGAAAAACCTCTTGAATTACATCACTAAAGTCTAATTGCAAACAATAAATATTGAAAATATTACTATTTGCTTTCCACGTTCCGCATTTCTTTGGAAGATAGACAAAACAACATTTAAATACATTCTGCGCTTATTGCCAACGCTGTCGTCTAAACCTCTGATGAGTCTTAAAAAAAGTGGACTTTTAGTGGGCTTGATCCGACGGCCTAAACTTTGGTGGAAAATTTTAAAGACAGGGTATAATATAGCTTTGAGCTACCAAGGAAAGCAATCGTAACAATGAACAGAATTGTGAGCTGTGCATGACAGCAACATTGAAAACATGTGGAAAAGGTTTTAGAGTCTACGGAATCGCATTTTGATAGCAATTGTATCGGTGTCATAAAAAGGGATACAGAAATTCTTGTATGAGCCATGACTGAAAGTATTCAGGGATTCTTGAGCCATAATTAAGACCAGGAGTGGAATATGCGTCGACCTTTTACTATGAACGAATGCGCCAACACCATAAAAATGGTAGAGTCAATTCTGTATTTCTTTTTATTTCGCATTGGAGAAAAATAACAGGAAAATTATGCGTGCATTTAAACACTTCACACCTAACACGAAACAAGCCCTGATGAAATTTGAATTTAAAGATGAACGTAAAAAACATACTTAAAATTCATTAGCAACCAAATTTTGAGGGAAAATCAATGTAAGCATCATTATTGTTAGAAGGAATCCTGGACATGTTTTGCGGAAGGATTTAAATGAAAGCTTTCTTGAGATAAATCTTTAAAGGAAAGTGCTACTTCCTTTACATCAGACTTGAAACAAAGTTTCGAAACATTAAGTAGGTATTTGGTTTTATCAAGCCTCGGGTTGAGTAAAATATCTCATGTTTCGTGAAGGAGTCTTAAAGCATAAAAAACAGGCTCCTGGGGTCCACAATTTTCTGGACTCTGCAGATCTTTATTGTCCGCAATCAAAAACTCTTAAATTCATTATTTTTAGGGTTCATTCTTAGAAATGTCAAAGTTTTAACATAATGCAAGCAAAGAGAAGCAAACTTAACGAAGACTTCTGTTTTAGAAAAGAAACTTAAACGTAAAGAAATTCTTCGTGCGCCTATAAAAACTTGACTCGAATCATGATCTTAAAGTGACTCGGTCATGACTGAGTCTGAGGATGACGAAACCGTGCGTTTTGGTAATGATAACTTAATCTAGGAAAATATCACTGAGCGATTACCACGGATTGTAGGCCCTCGTGGTCTCTTCTTTCCGCTTCAGACAGCAATCTTCTAGGACAAAACTGCTTCCGCTTTCGGCTGGAGGTGTTCTGCGTCTGATCTTCGTAGCTAGGTGGACTAAGATCTTCGTAATGCAACACGCTTCTTTTCTCGTGATCTAGCAGCATAAAAGAAAAGTGATGCAATAAACAAGAAATGCCTTTTAAAATGACGCAATACTTTCCAAGTTTTTCACATTCTGGATGCTGTCTGTTTCAGACTGACATCACACTGAGAGCCTGTTGCAGAATTTTTTAAATTCAGGAACTGATCCTGATGGAGTTTGATGCACTGCAGAATGATTTCTTCCTTAATATTGATGATTATTGATCATTTGATCAATTACCCTTAATATATATAAAAACATCATTCACACGACTTTGAGTAGAAACTGGAAGACTTATGTTGTTCGTAAATCAAGCTACAACGTTTTCGTTTACAAGCATTAAAATAAGCGTTTGTATCCTACTAGATTTATTTGAGATGAGCTTCTAAAAGTCGTTAATGCCTTTAAAGCGTTGCTTACGTCAAACCACGTTGTCATGTTAAATGTAGCTATCATCTTGTGTTTTATGGAACAGAGTATTTTATTAAAATTGTCACTTTATGTCAACGTGTTACAATGCAACAACATACCTTCAGAGTGATGAACAATCTGCTCGAATGGACTGGAACTATCATACGATAACAGGTCACGAGAAGGGCGTGGTTGGAAGGCTTGGTACGACATTGCACCGTTTGTAGGACCAGCCTTATCAGGAACAATATCTCCATTTGCTGTGAAACCCATGGTTGGGACAACCACCTCTCGTTTTGGGGTGACTTTTATTCGACATCCGCGACTTTTCCGTATATCAGGTGGGTTGTTGCCTGGCACTTTAAAATCAACTTCATTTTTACATTTTTCCATTTGAGCTTCCATAAATACCTTTTGTCTCTTCTCTAGCATATTTTTCAATTTGCTTTTTGAAGCATGGAAGGCTTTAATAGCCTCGTTCACCATCATTCGTTTGTTTGGAGTAAATCGTTTATACATCACTTCATCAAAGGATATCTGTTCTTGCTCTTGCACTGACTTCATTTGCATTAATCTCAAGCGCATTCTTCGTCTCCTTTGAGCTTCGCGATTGGACTGCCGTCTCCTTTGCAACTGTGAATCAGTCAGGCCACTTTTCCAACTGCGCCATTTCTGATTACCGTCGTTTCTGGTGACTATCTTTGCTGACTTGTTAGTATCTGACTCGCATGTTTCTACATTGGAATCGATATTCAGCTCCGCGTCTGCGTGGCTGTTTCCATTTTCCCCGTTAGTACACCTCACTTGTTCACATGGCCTACACTGACTTAGCCACGATGAATGATAAATTCTCCGGTTCCCTGGCAACTCATAGAACCGACTATCAAAGTCGGGCTCACTTTTCGTGCAACGATAACCATTCTCTTGCAAAATTTTATAATCAGAAGCGTACAGTGCTTCAGAAAGGGGACTGCGACGGCTAACTGCGTTTGCCACGATGACTGGCCTTTCAGAATACATTCTATCTATTGTCTGATACTGTCTTTTGACTTCATTATCGTTGCTTGATTCTTTAGAGACCACTTTAAACGCTCCAGCAAAGTCATGGGCACTTCCTTTCTCATTGTCAGTAATACCATTAAGGCTCTTTTGATTTACACCTTCGTCGGTAAATGAATTTTTAACTGTATCTGCGACATTCTCGCGTTCCGTTTTAATTATCATATGATCATTTGAATTAGAACAATAATTGTAATCACCTGCACGGGCATTGTGAGGCAACTCAGTGCCTGTGTAGTCGGTTTGTGGCAGGCTTTGGCCATTGGTAAAAAAGTCTGCTTGATGAACCATAGACATTTCGCATTTATAATTTAATGGCGAACGATCAATTGCTCCTCTCCATTCAAGCCCTGCAGGACACTCCCTATCGTCTCTTTGATCTGTAATCTCACTCTCTACAAAGGAGGTTGAGCTATGCTCCAAGAAACGCAAGCTGGGGCGACTTATACCTTTGGACATTCTAGTCTCATACTTTCTATTTGAATCATCTACAAACTTTTCTTCATTGCTGCAACTCGGGATTCTATCAGCTTGTTTCTTTGTGGGTTGGATTTCCCCTGAGGCCTTGAACTAAAACGAAAAAATCAAAGATTTACGATATAAAGTGGAAGAGCAGGAAGTTAGCAGTCGGTGCATTTAGCCCCTAAATGCACAAAAAAGCTGTCAAGCAAATTCATGCAAAAATTTCATGCTCGATAAGGATAAAGATAATATAAACGAAGATGAAACTTAAAGGGGGGTATTCTTTTTGGTTACTTGAATGAGAACTACAATAGAATAAAGTATAACAAATAGAACTATATAACGATATCTGTATTGTCAGCTGGGCTAGTGACGTCTTCTAATTGGGTTCCACCGTGATTAAACAAGGTGCCGATAGGTAAGCGTGCCGATCTACTGAAAACAACGTTAAAGGGGATACATTTAGTTGCCTTAATGACGCTAGTGTTTAGGGCAAACACTAGTTCAGGCGCAAATGATCTCTATCACGACTGTGGGGCCATCCTTTGGAGTAGAATCGATCTTCACACCTCCTTCATATTACAAATATTTCGCTCGGCACACCCGTTTCCTTGTGAATGGTACGCAGATGAACGCCGTTTTTCGACACCTAAAACATTACAAATTTCTTTCATTACGTCACGATCAACATTGGAACCTTGGTCGCTGAGCAGCAAATATAGGGTTCCATGAGTGTATATCCATTGTTACAAAAAGGATACCAAAGGATACCCATCAGAATTTACCCCTTGGATCCTTTTGTTGCCTAAGATGCACTAGTGGGTTGTGGTTAGATCGAAGCTAGAATTCTGTACTAATAAGACAAACATGCCACTGCAAGGACTAAGGCAAAAGTTTCCTTTGTGATAGGCACCCAGTTGCGTTGTGGGTTGGTAAATGCTGTTGAAAAGTATGCAACCGGATGCAAAACGTGGTCATCTCATTCTTGGGACAATACACCACCGGCGGCATAATCACTGGCATCAACCTAAACTACACAGGTATCATTAGGTTTGGGAAATGCAAAGATTGGGTCCCTGTTGTTTTGGTTTTGGAAACTGTTGTTTCAGCAACTGGAAGGCGTTTTCACAAGAATTGTCCCATACGAACTCGACATTATCACTCGTAACTTTATTGAGTGGTTGACTGATAGTAGCAAAATATTTAATGAAAGCTCTATAGCATCCAGCCACTTTTAAAAAGCGCCTTAGTTCTGTCTTCGTTTCTGGTTGCAGAAAATTGTTAATAGGATCTGTTAAAGGTTTTTGAGGCTTTATTCCATCAACAGAAAGCTCGAAACCCAAAAAGTCGACTTTACTGCTAGCGAAACACATTTAGATGCCTTTAGTGTTACCTTGGCGGATCGCAAACAGTCAAATACAGCCTTTAAATCACGCATATGATCTGCAAACGTGCTATTGAAAATCGCTATATCGTCCATATATGAAAGTACCCTGTCGGTTGGGAGACAGGAGAGGCACATGTTCATCACTTTTTGATATGTTGCACCCGAATTTGATAGTCCAAATGGCATAACATTAACAAATGACTAAGCAGAAGCTGAAAATAGTTCGAAGGTGAGGAGACAAAACTCCCAATTGGAAGATAACTAAATTTGTACAATACAGTATAAAAGAACGCTTTTGAGTTTCTGGGGCTTCACCTATACCATTCTGTGTAGTGATTGCAAAGAAGGCTGGGGGTACCTTGCGCCTCACACGGGAAATTATTGTCAATTTAGAAAAAGATTTGCCCAATAGACAGAAAACAGCGGAGAATCGCAATGTGACCAACTAAAACCACAACCCTTTGCAAGCGGGACAACAACCCTGTAAATGGAACCCTGTAAATGACACCCACTAGCATGCAAATATTGTTACTGTCAGACCCTATACCCTCAGAGACCAGAAACGTGCGCATCTTTTCTCCAGACAATATCCTCAAGCTGTGAAAATCTACCCAAAAAACAATAACAAAATCAAGGTGACGCTAAGGTGTGGTTCTTTCGTTTTCGAAGGTTTGCCTCATGCTCGCTGACCACGTGACCGCTATGTTTCTTAGCTCTGTATCCTCAATAATTCAGGCCTAAAAGCATTAGTTGTTAGACTGACAAAAAGCATACCTTTTCTTCCCTCAGACGTGCCCTCCGCCTACGCTGGTACTCTCTCTCTCTTCTTCGCAAGCTTTCAAGTTCCTCTGCTGTGAGCAACGATCGGTCATAAAACCTTCCAAACTTCACCCTTTTCCCGTCACTTGACCTTGGCGAGGTTTCGCTACTGTCGATCCCATCCAAAGGCTGGCAATCCTTTGCACTCTTCTCTGCTTGTGAGCTTGTTTGCTTGAAGTGATCATCATTGGGGACATCTTCGTTCATAACCCCCATTTCTGTGTCTTTCGCGTCGTTATAGCTTTCATTTTGGCTATCAAACAAGCTTTCGTGTTGTGAAACAAAGCAGATAGATGTGTTTGAACCAGTCTCGCCATCTGGTGCGGAAATCTCCAGGTCATCTTTCGAGAAAGCCTTAAAAATAAGGAGAAAGAAACTTGAAAAAAGTAAGACAATTTTGTCAAGTTGTATTTCTAAAATACAAATGAAGTTTTCTAGCAAAGCAACTAGGGGGAAGTTGCCCCTCCAGCACAAGTGACATTGTTTAAAAAAACATATAATTATTTTCCCTTCAATATGAACAATGACTTGCCCTCAAGCTGATTTCCCTTCGAAAGAAAATGACACAAAACACAGGCGAGTCTAAACAACTGTTGATTAAGGAAATGGAAACTGAAAAAGGAAATACTCTAAAGCTTTGATTTAGTGAACAAAAGGTACAAATGAGAAATTATCAATTCTATATAATGATAAAGGAGCGCTTACCCTTTTGCTCTTTGCTCTCTGTTTTCTTTTAGCCATTCTTTCTTTCTCCCTTAGCCTGTCTAGCTCTTCTTTGGAAAGATTGCTCCTCTGCAATCTTCTTGGCTGGCCTGCTGAGAAGTCTTTTTTCTCTGAAGAATCAGAAGACTCTTCAGACCAATTTTGCGCAGAGTTATCATCAACAGGCCTCTTTTTTCCATATGGATTTGAATACACACTCTTTGTGTCGTATTCTGTAGTTCTGAATTCAACAGTTGCCGATGTAGCTGCTGACATTCCCTCGTCTTGCATCAGTGAATAACCCCTGCCAGACAAGCTAGCAACGTAGGAACCCGTTCTCAGAATGCAAGCATCATCGGGAATCCTCATATTGCACTGCAGGCCCAGTGCCGACATGTAGCTAAGTTTCGGATTAGCTGGGCTTTGATTCAGAGGTCTCTTGTCGTTTGGTAATGGAGATGCCTGACAAAAAATTTGCATTTAAAAACTTTGATGAACGAATCTAGCATCAAGCAGTGAAAATTACTCAGTTCTTGAAATAGCAAAACCTTAAGTATTGCAACAACACTACTGCTTCTAAGAACGTTCTAAAGCTTGGAAATTTGTGTCTAACTGACTAACATTCTCCTCCAGAAGAAGCCAACCTTGAGGGAAGGCAGATTTGAACATATATTTTTGTATTAAGTCTACAAAAAGGCTAAAAAAGGAACAGCTAGATGTGTTGCGTTAAAATTAGAATAGGAAGGAAAAGTAGGGAGTCCAGGCAGCGAATGGACACAAGGAAGTCCATTTAGGGCAAATTAGCTGGAATCAGAAAGAAAACCATATGACGTTTTTGATAATGATAACTACATTTTACCGGTCAGTCATAAAGTTTTGATGACATATAAGCAGTGCTTTATACATTTTTAAGTTATAAGCTGCTACTCCGAGCTTCACGCTTGATGTGATCTTCAGGCAATTTGTCTGCTTGGAAAGGCCCAACTGCCTGAAAAGCAGGATATGCCAGCCTATTTGTGAAGTCACCTGTTAGGAACTATATATGAGTACCTTTAAGGATCAGAAAAATTGTTGAAACCCCTTACGGCTGTAGGAAGTCAATTTCGGCAATGCCTTGAGTGAAAGTAATCTGATTTGTTTGACTAAACCAACCAAATTCAAGCACAAAAGCTATGACGTAGATGAACAACTGAAGACACCGTCTTGGAAATAGTGGGGAAGTTTATGCAAAAGGAATAATTGCATTAATCAAAGCGAAGATGAAAATATTCCCTCTGGGTAAAAGCGGTCAGTTAACACACACGGAATGGAACAGTGAGGAGTACTGGATATTATCCCAAAGGTTCTCCAAAGGCTTTCTAGAAGGTTGTAATGCATGAGAAAAAAGCAATATATTGTGTGTGTTTTTGTATCAAATTTGGAAATAGTATAATACAGCTCCATGTAGCCGTTTTTGTGAAACTATAGTTAACAAAAGTACAAACGATAAGGATACGTTTGGCATATAGAAGATAACATTATCAGTACAATTAATGGCTTATCGAGACGAATCTTTCAGTTAGGACCTCTTTGATATGAAAATATGAACAAAGTTTTCGGTCACATCTCATCATTGGTCAGGTACTGAAAAAATTCAGGATTTAAGCAAAAACATACTCGTATGGTCTAAGCAGCGACAAAAACTTTCAGGAAAATATTGATTCTAAAGATATCAAGAATTGTGAAAAACCTGAACATCGACAAATTTCCTTACTCTTAGCTTGCTAAGACTTATATTATATTTGACCAAATAAATCCAAATTTTCATGTTTAGCTGTTGTTTCAACTTGCGAGTGCAACAGGTGATTTCTCCACCATGCTGATTTTAAAATATTCTGGCTTTTGGAGATAATGATTTTTGCAGATGATGGCTTTGACAAAAGATGAGGCGGGCGTTCAGATGCTTCCAAAACACCAGGTCAGTTTACGCAATATAAAAAAGGGAGTCCTCAAGTTTGGAGCGGCGAGTCATCGGAAAAGTTGCGATTTCACTGACTTTCAAGGAACAATTTGGGTAGCTACTCTAAATATTTAATGTCATCAAAGTTGTCCTATTTTCAACGAATGAAGTTTTATCTGACGACATGCCCTAGAAGTAGGCTAGCATCCTGCCAACACGCTCATCACAAGCCGAGATACGCGATAGAAAGAAGAGTAATAGATAAAGACAGTGACAAACTGTACTTCAGAGCACAAATCGTTAAAGAGTGACAAATCATTAGTGGTATAAGATGTTTGTCAGTTGCATAAAGTCCCAATTAAATAAAAAGCTTTACATAAAAATTCAAACCAACGAAAGCTTACCAGGCCAAACAAAAATATCGACAGATCCACGGGAGAATGAAGCGCGTAATTCTATATTCCCTAAGAAAACTAGGGTTGTAAATTTCACATGTCTTAAAAAGAAAAAGGGGCTACCAGGTTTTTTGTTCCAAAAATCCTTGTCGAGAAAATGCGCAGTTTTGTATAGAGTAAGCAAACATAAAGGAACCCATTTCGATTTCCTGCTTAAATCTTTCTTATTTGTTTGATTTCAAGGAGTTACAGCTGTCAATTTGTTGCAAAATGATCCAAGGAATCATTGTGGTGCAATATTCAAAAGGCTACAAATTTAACAATGCAGACATTTCATACATAATCCAAAAGTGAGTAATCTTGGCACTTAACATGATATTTCGAATAGTGTTTTGGCAGAATATAGAACAGCTTAAAAAGCTTAGCACTTGGTTTCATTTTGCAAAACTTTCTGACATCAGTAACTGAGTTTTTCTGATATCTACTGCACACGTTCATTCCATCTGATTTGATGCAGTTACATTAGGCTGCTTGCACTTCCATACGATCGAATACACTCTTTTTTAAACAAAGAACCAGATATTTTCAGCCGAGGTACGATGTTCTTATTTTTGTTGTTAGATAACTTGAGGCTCTATTTTTCTTAATATTCTCCTCATTGGCAAATCGAGCATCAGTGATCTTAAAATGTGTTCTTATAAAAAAAAGAGTGTAAGGCTTTTTCAACCCATCTTCTATCTGAGCGAATACTGTGGAAAAGTCTTTTTATTGTGATTTTCAGGCTGACAAATGCCACTTTTCTTCATTTAAAGCAAACCATATTATTTTCGATTACCTATTCCATTCTCTTTCCCGATCACATACACTCTCAAGGCTACTCATAAATTTATCTGACTTCTTTTAAAAAATTTCAGCATAGCCAAGCGACTAAAATCTAAAATCTTGAGGATATCACATCGTTTTGAGCAATCGAAGTTGAAGAGAGTTACTCTTGCGAGTAAACTTACTGACAAATGAAATACTGTCTTAAATGACGAAACAATTTCGCCGATTATAGCTATATAAATCCTTGCTACAAAAAAAGGGACCTGGAGAATGTGAAAGTCGTTGAAGTATCAGATTCTCCAACTGCTAGTCAACTTAGCTTCTGACCCTGAGTTCATATATTGATGCAAATATATACTTTTTCAGTTTTATCTAATCACAAAAGGAAAACATAAGATTATATTTATTCTCCCTTTTTCTACTTTTTGTTCCATATATTTCTTTAAAAAACCATTGTCCTTCTTTTCCAGGAACCTTGAAGTCAAAGCGTCTGTCCAAAGTGAGCAGATTTCTGATGGAAAAACTTTCGGTATTGGCCACTTTTACCAGATTTCGTTAATTTTTTCGCAATACGAAAGTTGAACAAACTGAACTTTGTCACCTTTACGAACTTGTATTGACATTTCTAGCAATGCCTCCTTTGCATGGAAACACTAAGTGCAAACATTGCAACACAAGAAAGTCAAATTTTCGAGATATAATCGCATAGTTTTTTCAAAAAAATGCACCCTTTCCTGTACCGATACATATATAAATAAATCCTGTTTATCTCGTTCTCCCCAATACGAAGTTTCTCTAGACATCAAATATTAAGAGTAAATGTATGCCTTTCTAAGAAATTTGCAAACGCCTTACAGAATGATTTGATCACGTAAAGGCTAGGTATACTTGAACCTGGACACAATTCGCTAACTGTTTCGTCCAACCAACTCAAATCATATCCACAATCCTTAAGACCATATTATCAGAATAACATATCATTGGTACAATCCTGCGTGTGAATAAGAAGCAGTAGATAATAAGAACAAAATAAAGGAACCTAGAATCTACTTACAGAGGAAAAAGAGCTGTCATAAGCTTCCAAGAAACTTGAGTCACACGTGGACTGCGACTCCCCAAAATCTTTCTCAAAATCTTCCTCCTGCAAATATGATAATAATCAATGCAAATATTTGTCATCAATGCCGCGTTAACGAACCATATAATTTATGGTAGCAAAAGAAATAAGATTGGTTGTCAGTTTTTGTTGCTGGACGGTTGAATTGGAAATTATCGGCAAAGTACCTTTTGTGGTTTACAAAAGTAATAATGCTATAACTAAGTTTTGACGTAAGGAAAGGTGACCATGCCATTGTTAATTCAAATTAGCTGAGAATTCTGACTTGAACAAACAAATTGCCGCGCTTGAAGTCCTGTCTGACCCTTTTGTCATCATCATTTCTATGCAAATTTCTTTTGATTCAAACATTTCATACAGAATCAACAGAAATGATAAGAAAACAACACATGTTAAATTCTCAAGAATATTAACGATGATACTGGTTATCCGACAACTAAGGTTATTGAATATATTAAAAGTCAAATTAGCATTTGCTTGACCGGAAAAAAGGAATGAAACGTTTACCCCAAAGAAAATAAACAGAATGAAACGCTTACCCCAACCATAACATTTTGTTTATAAAAAATTAACATAAAAACAACAAAAGACTATTTATTGATTACACTTGCAAAAATGCAGCAAACCTTATGCTACATATTGTGAAGTCTGAAGCCAAAACTCCCTCTCTGCAAACATCATCTCGATTTTATACTTACTCGTCTACCTAAGACAATGTTCAGCGGCATGTGCGATGCTCCTCACACGTTTAACGGTCATGAAATATGTTACAAGCGTAGGAAAGCAGACCATTTAAAACAAAGATCGGTCATGTAAACATTAATTCGAAGACACGCCTAATCACAGCACTGATGCTTAAAAACCAAACTTATTCAACAACGCTTGTCAAGATTTTCATAAGATACAAGAGATTCACAAATTTGCCTCTAGATATAAAGCAGAAGCCTATGAATTCTATTCACAATAACAAACAACGTAACTCGAATGTGCTAGCTCTGGGTTGAAAGAATTTTTAAGGAAAAACGGCGACCAGATTTTATCAAGCTGTTCCTGGTGAGAGATGGGACGGAATTGCCGCTGCCACTATTACGATGCTCGCTTTTCTGCTGCAAAATTTAAAAACAGCACGCTGACTGATACGAGCATCGTTCGATATTTTTCAACAATGGCTTGTAAATGGTAGGAAATTAGGATTCTTGCATCAGCAGCAAAGATTCAAGATTGTGACGAGGAATGCAATGATCAACCCGATAGAGAACTTAAAGGTGTCTTCCTTATGTGACATTGAAGAAAATAGAGTTCTAGCTTTTAGTCGGTCTTTCCTAGACTTGAAGTGGCATTTCGTGATGTTACCTCTACATGAATGAAAGTGGTATGTATGAAATAAGGTATACAAGAGATTCTGTATACGCTTAAACTTAAGCAGAGAGTTCACATGCAAGTTTCATACACAGGCGAACCTTTTGCCTTGCTTTCTAAAAAATCATAAGAAAATTCTGCATAAAATTCCTTCCAGTCCACTTTATGAATAAGCACAACCGGATTTCGTAAAAAAACTGCAGTAACACCATTCTCGTAGGAATTCTACTACCAAGCAATTTACTTGCTTTCTAGTGGCATTATAAGTATTTTGCTCAGGACCGCACCACCATATGCTTCAATATAAAAACGAGATTTTCAAACTCGATTTCTTTCAGTCCACTTCCGTCTTATATCAGTACAGGGAATTTTCAAATTTCACGCCTTTATTCCCAAATTTTATACAACACTCCTTTTTTTCTTGGAAGATACTAACAAAATATAAAATGTTGCCAATTAAAAACATGTTGTGTAAATATATATATTGCAATTCGAGCGCTATCCGTTGATGGACTTCCGTAGAATCGTCGTTCCAAACAGAGTCGACAATCTAAATTACAAGACCTAAATATTAAAGGAAGGTTTCGAAAGACTCTATGAATTATTTGTTACACCTTTGCAGGTCCCAAACAGCTCTAGTTCTTCAAATGTAGATCATACAAATTCAATGGAAGCTATGGTGAGCAGACACTGAAATTTTAAACAAAACTTTTCGTGCAATCGCATTTCTTGTCAAGTAAAAGAAGATTGTGGACCGAAAATGAAGATAAAGACGAAAACCGCACAGTGGAATCGCACCATTTCGAAGGATTTGTCACGAATAAGGAAAGCCACGCTTGCAAGTTTATCTTTTAGACGTTATCAGATTGAGAATTGTTTTGTCACCATAGTAGGCACAGCAAATTGCAAATAGACAATGTAAAGCATAACACATGCAAAGGGAGGATAAAACGACAAGAAATGATTCATTCATTCGGTTCAAGGCAAAATTACAATTGTTAAGAGATAAATATTTGCAGCTGAATTATAAGGATATTCTACTTCTTTGCGTTCGTTTGTATCGGGGAGAACGTCTTGATTCCATTTAGTACAGTAAATTAGACAGATGAGACGTACATTTCGGGTCTGTATGCTTGGATTGGCAAATAGAGGAAATGTTTTTAATCAGGAAAAATTTTGAAAAAATTGAAGTAACAGGATATTCCTTCACCGGTCACTTTTAAAACCCTCCTCCTATTGCTACTCGCTTCACATCATATATTAGAAATTTTTTCTTAAAACTAGCTATTATCAAAATTCGTTCTTTGTCACGTTTTATTTCTAAAAAATATTTCCATTTTACGATATGAAATCCATTTTTTCTGGCATCCATCCATATGCCACATAATTCGTTTTGCGTATCATACCTGTCGGTTACTTTCTGGAAATTGGTCAAGAAAAGTGCAACGTCTTAGATGTTCATTAAGGTGTCGGTAGCAGGTCGGGATAAAGTTTCGGTTTCAAGAAATTTCGAGATTTTTGCATGGCTGGTGGTGGCATCTTTTAAAACATGGCGCTTCCTAAACCGACGTGGAATGAACACAGCACAATTCTCGGATGGCTGAATGGTCAATCATAAGTTCTGCGTTTCTGGATTGGAAATTAAATCACCAGATCACTTTTAAAAATCATATTTGAGTTCAACCTAATGAACGCTCTCTTGAATACAGTGTGAGAACTGGCTGAAATAAGAATCGTTATAGAGATAGTTCGTGCAGTGTTGTAACAGCACAACACATATGTCCGATTCACACAAACATGTGCAAAAAGAAAACAAGTAGAATCTGGACATTGAATCTGGAATCATGTGTACGCTGTGCTCGTTGGTCTTTATGTTTCTGAATTTAGTTTTAATCTTTATCTTCATATAAATTTCAGGTTGCGCTATTCAGTGGCGCAAAGGAGGCGGATTCTATTAGGAAAAACTAAGATGGGCTGCTATTTACGGACAGCAAAAGGTCCCTTCAAAGGGTGTAGAGCATGACAAACAAAATAGCAATGTGTGAAATGATACTAAGGAGAGCTGAGTAACAAGCAGCAACTAACGAATTGCTAGACCTTTTGAAAACAAAGTGAACTTATGCAAAGTCATGGACTTCTCAGGGGTCTATTTTGATCGGGGATCGGGGATATATCGGAATAAGATGCCCATAAGTGTGTTACATAACTTTTACGCATCCCACCCTACTATTGTACTTTAAATGCTTGAAATTGGCCATAAAAGTTCATATCAATTCCGTAGTGAAGTAACACGAGCCTTTTTTCGTGACTTAGTGGTCAGAAAGTTCTTAATGCAACCGAGGTTTTCCATAAGCCCTTTTTTTACAGTGATATTTCCATCAAGTTGGGTAATTGCGTTACATTTTTTGCGTTACATCTTACATCGTTACATCTAAATTTGCAGTTTCAAGAAGCATGGAATAGATAATTAAGATTACATTTTAAAACTTATATAAAACAGCCTTGAGTATGGCTAAAATATGGTAAACGCCTTGGGACTAAGAAAAATAGAATGCAAGTCTCAAAATCGAGACGTATGTTCTTTTTGGAAAGAGACTAGATTCGTCAAAAAAGGTTTCACTCGTTTTAAAGTGGACCATTCTTATTCAAATAATACATTAATAATTAACAACCAGCTAAAGGCATATGGGAACGGCGAGTTGTCGAATTGTTAAAATTAAAAAAGAAGTCGAAGACCTGAATTCATCAGCAAGAAACAAAACCGTACCTTGACCTCATCCCAAGGATTGCTTTCCACGAGCGACGTCAATACTGGCGTGTTTTTTCCAGCTTTTGACTCTGCAATAGACTCGATTTTGCTATCTTCCTACAGATGAAAATAAAAAATTTATGTCATAAAGCATTAATTTCGAAGATCCTAGACATCATACACAGAAATATTCATGTATGCGCAAAACGAAGGAAATCTTGCAGTGCCACAAATTCTCCGCAACAGAACATCTGCCATTCGATGTCGATTCGATGTATACACTACTTTCCCTGTCTACAAGAAAGTAAGTTAACACAAGGAATCTTGATATCATGCAATGGACAAGCAGGGGCAGACGATCACAATCGATTAAATGTATATCGCGGAAGCTTCTCTCTAATATTTCTTCTTATCTATGCACATCTTCTAAGATAATGAGGTCAGCAGAGGGCCAATGCAAGAACACAAAGATCAAAAAAAGAGAGCTGACATAAACACCATCGTAAATTTCGGGGCCCCTGGAGTAAAACGGAAAGACGAGGTCCCTGTGAGGAGAGTGGGCAGAAAGTTTTTGCGACCATGCTCTTCAAATTAGGTTAAAATACGTTTCAGAATATTTCTTGCAGTCATTTCTTGCAATCGTCTTAAAGTGTTACTTTTTTAGGCACAATATTTTGCGTATGGAATTCGTAACTTTCTAAGGCCCGCTAGACTTCAAGGCCCTGGGGCGATTCACCGCTCTTTGCCGACCTTTCGGCGGCCCTGTAAATGGTTCAAAAAATTGAAGAATGCTTTCAAAGAGAAGGTATGATATTGGATACTGACAAACTGCTAGACGTCATGGAAGGTATATAGGAATTCGCTGCATTTAATAGCGATACTCGGAAGCAAGAATTGCTGATAGTCATTTAAATCTTAAACGAATTCGGGGCAAAATCATAACCTTAAAGAATTCGGGGCTTGCATTTTAATGTATATTATTATGTACATTTTAATGTATAATGTATATTAAAGAATCCGCAGGGCTCTTTTACTGCAGTATTTCATGTATATTTCTACAATTCTACTCTGTTTAAATCACACCTATATATCACTCGCAGTAAAACTTTTCTATGAAAAAAATTCAGTGCTTTATGTTTGATTTAAACTAGATCGCCAATATTTGCAGGCTTTCTGTCTTGAATGAAATGTCATTGGGTCAAAGCGATTGGACCATCCACTCCTGCCTTGAGACAATTTTAAAAATCTGATGCAATTACTAGACATTAACTTCAAAGTCCTAAAACGAACTCTTTATTAGTACCAACGAGAACTCTGCCATCAGTGCTTATGATAAAACAGATCTCGACGATGGGCAGAAGCCTCTCAACTTATTTTTAAATAGATTGGCTAGACTTACAAAAATGGATATGTTATGACGTCGTTAAAAAACTCCAAATTATTAAATTAAGACAATGATATCTCTTTAAAAGAACATTATAAAACGTTTTATGGCGACGCCACTCGAGATCAAGCGGCCACTCCCCTGTCACTACGCCAAGGTGTGATTGCCTGAAAACTTTCGGATTACAAAAGACATCGAGATGGACTTCAGATACGAAAAGACCAATCCGTAACTTGTACTCCTTCAGGTGCTTCTATACTGAAGGAGACAGTCCCCGCCAGGAGCGAGCTCCTTTATCACTCAGATAATGTATGATTTTACGTTAGCTAATTTATACAAGTGTAAAGCAGGCTCGGCTTGTTCCCAACTACGAGCAACGCAGACCTCTAAATTTTCAGGAAATGGAAGTACTACCTTTTGAAGAAAAAAAACTGTTTTTTATTTGGAAAACCAATTAATTTTCTCGCTTTAGGATCCAACCGCACCCGAACTGCGTGAATTCAAAATGTCGGCACGGTTCCACCAAGCATGGTCTTACGTAAACATTCGTATTGGCAATTACTTTATTCTATTAAACCCAAGCTGCTAGGGGCTTGACGACCTTTCCGCTTCGTTTTCTACCGTCGATCAGAGACTTCTGTGGTCATGATGACATTGAACATATGGCCAGTCGGTTTAAAAACTTACAACACTACAATGATGTGATAACCTCGAGATATTGCTTACCCTATGAAGCTTCGTGGCGGATGTCAGGAGTGGGCATATTGTGCGGTGCCAACAGTAACACCTTCAACATCCCTCAACAAGACTGGAGAAAAAAACACTTACACTGGAAGATCTGCTGCTTGACGATGACCTTTCTTTGCCCTGCCTAATGCTGAGTTGAGCTGGTGATTTTGAAGCAGCAGTTTTTTTCGTTCTTCCTTTCAGCATTTCCAAATTATTCTCCTAAAAAAGAAAGTCATTAAGAAATGCGTTTTCTTTGTAGCATTACATTGACATGACACTAGAATCATTGTAATTCTATTGGCCCTAGATTTCCTTCAAAACGTTGCTAAAATAAAAACGACCTAAACTTCTTTTCAATGACCGACTCGAATTAATTGAAACGCTACCCCCATTCTATTGTAAATACTGCATGCTCTATACCGCACCCGAATAAAACTGCAAAGCTAACATTGGCAGCTTAAAATAAAACAAAAAATACTTGTCACAATACATTCTTGAGTGAGATTACGATTTTGATTACAAAAAGTTGGGGACATAATCGCCGTTTGACCTAGGTTCCTCTTGTGGTAAGCATCGACCGGCGTGCTTTACACACAAAGATGTCGGCAATAAGCAGCTCCTTGTTTCTTGACGTAATTGGCAAAACTCAAAAGGAAGACTCCGTGCCTGTTGTATAAAGTAACTTTCACAAGCATGAGTTTTTTTTTAAATTCTAACTCTCGGTGTCCTGAATCTTGAATAAATAACAGGATAGAAATACATTTCTTTCCGCACGACAGGACTTGGCAATGCGCCCTACACACGAATCTGGCTGGTTTCTTAAAAGACACAATATGCATCTCTAATTTCATGACAGCAAAACCTTTGAAAACTGATGTCGAGAAACAAAGACAAAATACCACGCTTTGACCAAGGCGTTAGGACTTATTCAAGGCCATACAATTCTCATAAGCCATCAAAGGTCCAGAGTGCAGCTTTCCTTAATTTGTAAAACCTATGACAAGGTACATTTGAGTCTCTTAAACATGATCTGACCTTTGAATATCCTTGCTTCATATTTTGTCTAATCGAAAGTCTCTTCGACAAGGTAAAATTTTGTCGAATTCGACTGTACAAAAACAGTGTTGGAACAGAGAATCAAGTTGTTTCGGCAGCTATATTTACGGTTCTAGTTTTGAAAACGTTGAAATTTCGAAGTGTCGAAGTAAAGAAAAACGGTTCATCATGACATTAACAATTGATTGGGGCTAATAATGTTCTTTGAAGAATCTGAGCCACAGTGAAGAAGGGGACTGCAATAAGTATTTGGGGATAAGTGGTGAACATTTTGAGGGGGTTCTGTCCAATCTTGAAAATACGCATTCGAATGATTATAGACGCTATTCAATTCCTTCATAGACGACCAACTTCGACATAAGGACGGGGGGCTTCGGTATTCCTTGGAATGAAACAGAAATCTAAACAAAGACAAGAAGATGTCACACAATTTGTTAGTGCATGGGTGCATGGTTTAAGGGCAGCATGGCAACAATATTTCATCCAATCAGGCCTCCACCGCGATGGTGTGGATAGAGGGTGTATTTACGCTGCACCTGCTCTTACCGCATCAGTATCTGTCAAGACATTTTCACAAAAATGGGTTTCTTTGCAAACAAGCTTTCGCTATAACGTAAATGGGGTCTGAAATAATATTTAGCCAAAAAGATGACTTGTTTCATCCTTCAAACCGTGTGGCAAGCACTCACATAGTAAGGAATGAAGCTTATTGCCAATAGAGGAGGCTGACAAACCAAACAAACTTACAATTCCAATCAATGCGAATGCGGATAGAACTCTATAGTATAAATTTACTAAATAAAGCAGAAAAACTTTGATCAATTGGTCATAAAGGTGCAAATGTAAGAAAGCGGACGATAACAGGCCATAAACAAACAGACCGCTAAAAGAGCGGCCATCTTACTCACATGACATGTTTCGGGAAAGCGAAATAATAAGAAATGTCAAATTATATGAAATTGTGTATAACGAGTTACCTTGATTCCTGTTAAAGTAACTGCATCAATAGATAGAGTTTTGACCGGTTCCTTTATACATATAGTGACCCGACAAGATCAACAAACAACAGTCGGGTAGGAAATGTTAAGTACGTTCCCAGTACGTTGTTACAAACGGTATTCCTTGAATTGTAGAGGATTGGAGAGTTGGAAAAAAGGTATAAAAGGGTGACTTTGGTATCTATGTCATAAATTGTAGTAGCAGCTTTGCTTCTTGTCGGTAGTGCAATCATTCTAAGAGCTTTTCATTAACTGTGTCTATTGAAGATAAATTTCTTCGAAAAAAAAGATTGAATCACAACTAGATTGGCAATACAAACAAACATATGAAAAAACTTAAAATGGAATATAAAAACTTATTTATGGAATATGAAAAATCTTATTTGTCAAACTTTTTATTTTTCTATCAAAAGCAATTTGTATCATCAATATCTGATTTTTCATGGAATACAGGTATATAACTTTTAACACAAAATCATGCTCCAAAGGCTTTTATTACTGTTTTAATCGAAAGGAGGGGTGGATGCCTCTAGCTTCAGCCACTGACTCTGACTGAATGTGCACATTTGAAAATCAAATTAATGCCTGCGTTTAAAGAATACAGAAACAACCATGAAGGAAAAACTGACACCAGGTCATGCTAGCACATATCAATTCTGCAAAGGAATTAGCACAAAAATCAAGCAAGGTCTTGGGTCTTTTGTTTGTCATCTGTCTAACTTTGAGGTGAAAATGTTGTAGGTTGCTTTCCTGAGCTCAGCATGGAGGCTCATTTAGCTGAGAAAAGTTAAAAAACCAACTTGATTACCAGCTGTCATTCTACACAGTTAAGGAAAGAAGACAGAGGAGAGAAAAAATCCCACAAAGAGAACAGTTGATATCACTGACAATATGCAAATTTTACTTTGTATTCAAACTAGGCAATGACAGAGCTCTGTGTCATGTGATGAAGAAAAGTGGAATGTTTTTGGCAACTGGAAAATAGTAATGATCAAGCTACCTCCTTTAAACCTGGCTTTACATGGCAATAACAATAGAACTAGCTCAAAAAAGCAGCAAAATTCAACAAAATACAGTTTGGGGCAGCCCTTTTCCATTTGACAAAAGTTGACCTCTTGGCTGTTTGAATTGTTTGAATAAACTTTATAAGGGCATAAACAAACAGGTGGTCTACTTTGAATATCAGATTTCATTTGTTTAATTACAAAGGGCTCTAGAAGATATATATCACTGAAAGGCATCTATTTTCATTTTGAGAGAAATGAAAAATATACAACAGATCAGAAATATGTGTGGGAATAGGTTTTGACACTATATCAAAAAACATATGACAAAACAAGAAAAATAATTGTCAAAATTGAAAATGAAACATGACCTCATTGTAACAAAACATAAAAATTAGATACCTTTTTTAATAAAAAATTAAATGTATACCTGAATAAAAAAACTTTTCACCAACAAAAGCAGTGGAATATAGGAATATAGGATATAGTAAAGAAATTGATAGGGATGAAGGGTTAACTAGTTGGCATTTTTCAGAAATTACTTTGAATTTTCTACATTGAAAGAAAGTTTACTTTACTTTAAACTGACATTGTATAGAAAACCAAGCATATTGCATAAGGAAAAAGGTAGTGCAAACTTATGACACATTGTTTCATTAAACGTGTCATTACGTATGACCTAGGGCAGTTAGGATTCACATGAATGTGCAATTATGAACCGGCATCATGTAAACCAGATATACATAAACATTTTCTGTTAATATAGACAAAGAAATTTATGGAATCAGTCATAGCTGCTCTTGACCAGTGAATGTGAAATTACAACTTAGATGCTCCTATGGCAAATCAAGAAGTGTCACTATATTTCTTTTTCTGTAATTTGGTTCTTTTAATGTAGCTAATTGAATAAGAGTTTTCAGCAATATGCTGGGGGGAGTGAACAGGTTAAACTTCAAATTCAAAGGAAATTTTATGAACCTATTTGACAAAAATCTAACAAACTCATTCATTCCTGAAATAAACTTTCAGGACCTGAAAGTGGATAAACTGACTATGTGTAGTTCAATGGTATAACCCTGGTATCTGACAAATTATTGGAGGTTATTCTGTATAAAAATAAGATGACAACACATTACTGTTGTGGATACATACAAGAAACTTGGACAATTTCAAGCAATCATTACATATTATCATAAAACTTTATACCTCCAATCTTTTTAATCTTTCTCTTCTTAGCTGCTGGGCTATTCTCTCTTTTTCCCTTAGTTTAAGAAGGTCCTCGTGTGACATCTCAGATCTTGGTGGTCTTGTTTTTGAAGGCTTTCGTTTATTTTGATCACCTCTCCATGTTGTTCGTTTCCTTCTTTTTGCCCCTCTGTTTCTTGCTTTGCATTTATTTGAATCTTGTTTATCTGCATCAGGGTCCTCATTTTCTTCTTCTGCCCTATCAAGTTCCTCAATCGCCTTTTGCAAATCCTGATTGGAACTAACTGATGTGACATCGTCTTTATCGTTTGCCCCATTAACTGTACCGTCGTTGCTTTCGCTGTCAATGGCCATTTCGTTTACGGAATTGCTACCAATGTTACTTAATGTCATGACACTGACGGGGTTTTCTTCAAATTTCAATTCTTCTGCTTTTTTGTCATCATCGTATTGGCGGGTGTCAGCCACGTCAAGGTCACGCTTCTTATGATTTGTAGTTGGATCAACTACACACAATAAAACACGATGGTCATTTACACTTGGCAGGTGTACCCCTTTCTTTTTACCATCGTCAAGTCGTTTAGTGTTAACTTCATTGTTTACGGCAATTTCCAACATATCTTCCTTCAAGTAGATCAGAGGTTTTGTTCTGTTTGTGGAAAAGATAAAAATGTCAGGTCGGATTAGAATTTAATCTTCGGCGAATCTATTGTTTTTAACTTAATAATCGGGATTACTTGAGATTCTTGACATTGGGATATTAACGTTCGACCCCTGAAAGTCGGCAAAAGTCAGGCTTAATGGTCTCTCCTCTCTGATCTATAGGGTCAGGTACTTGCCACGAGCAAATATTTAACCAACTTTTAACGTGAAAAGAGAATAAATGACAACATATTCTAAACAGTTTTTTAAGTTACCGGTACTTGGAAACCAAATGGTTTGTTGCGCTTTTCTGTTTCACATCACAGACTGATTTATGCCGTAAGTATCTGTCAAAATTATTTTGAAGGATGTCAGTCAGAAACCAAGCAGCCAGGTTTCTTGGGACCTCTTCAAGCGAATCAAATACAAAAAATACCATTGATGCAACCTGAAGGGGGTACGCACAAACACAACAGGCCTAGGAATTCATCGGGAATCTTAAAACAAAACTTAACGTTAACTAGTAAACATCTTCTCGCTAAAAGCGAAAAGTTCTCGTAGCTAAAAGGCTACGATATGATGCATTTGATTTGTCAAATTTAGACCGGTCGTGATTAACTTGGAGAAAGAAAATAGACCGCGATGCCGACGAGGTAATATTAGCATGACAGTTGTAAACTTGTTCTGTGTATCGAAAGTGGAGAGGCTTGAGTACTGTCAACAAGCCGATAAAATAATAGTACAATGAAATGTTGAACTTACAACGAAGGAACTGTTGCTTTACTGCAGGCCAAAATCAGTGAGATTCCTGCCAGGTGGTGAAGGCACGATTGAGCTCAACGTCCTCCAGCAGTCGCTCATTCAAGAGAGTGGAATCGTTACTTTGATCATGGCCTTTTTCTTGAAAACAACAAGGGTCCTGATTTTACAGTAGGCTGCATACTCGCATGATATTCCGTTGCATAGTTTTACTTGAACGAAGGACAATTGCCTTACAACAATCGAGTGTTTTTGGTTAATCAGAATGACAGTGTCATTGTGTCACCAGTCAGTTGATCGAACGTGACATGCATCCTTCCGGGGGGTAAGCACAGATCATAATAGTTCCCAAGCCTCGCATTGATTTCCACTGGAATTTTCATAGACGGATGGAAATATCTTTTTGACGAAAATGTAAATTTGTCGCTTTTCTTCAGAAAAATTGTTGATGGCGTGTTGGAAGAAAATATTAAACTATTTCACATTTAATAATTGCAACAGAATCTGCGATATTGCTTTTACCGTTGTGTAATGACAAACTACGACTGGATTTTCGACCTGTAACCAACCATTCGCTGTTTAAGGACACAAATTCAACTTCCTACAAAACTTTTGAGCACGCATTCTTGTAATTTAGAAACTTTTCTTTACGGAAAAATAAAACTGCGCATGGCCGCTGGTTAAAAAAGTTAAAATTTAAAATTCATCTCAGTCGTTAAACTTTAACTGTTAACCAAGAGGTGGTGATGTGAGGGTGTCCACAGTAAACATTTTGAAATGTGGAAAAATTAGTATTGTATTGAAAAATACTATTGCAACTAATTTATACAATCCTGGTTGATACTGACGTTAATCGAGTCATATTTAGGCCTTTACATTGTGTTGAAAAGTTGCAAAATTTGCAGAGTGGGTGGAAAACTTTTTCATCTGTGAGGGAGTTATTGGGTAGGAATATTTTTAGAAGTTCCAAAAATAGTGTCATGAAGTTCCTAAAACATTCAATACGTGCCTTTTTGCATAACAAAGGATACTCCAAGGATGCAGACGGTTTATAGATCAGAAAGCTAAATTTGGCTTTTCAATCTCCAGTACCGACAAAGGGACTACAATCTCTTTTTACAAGAACCAGTAAATTTAAGTTCAAGGTGACTGTTCTTAACTTTTTCGAAAGTCTGAGGCTGGATTTTTCTTAATTTGTCCTTAAATTAAAAGGGTGTGAGCAGTGCGATTACTAGTTTTTTTTTGCTCTAGGGTGGTGTTCAGGCCTTATTTGCCAACAAAGTGAGTGAGACAGCCTTCATTTGCCGACAGATTTGAATATACACCGAAAAAGCACCCACACATGGCTAAAAATCATCGTTTTTAAGAAAAGCGTTGTTCAAAATCGCATTTTACAGTAGCTCAGCCTCAGCTAGTTCTTAATCTGTTTTTAATTTCTGACCAATTTTGATGAGGCTCGTGTTCTTATAAAATTGTTCTTATAAAAAAAGAGTGTAAAAGAGCTCATTTCTCCTACAGGTAAAGTAAAAAATTATGTATTATCTCGCGATGTGGAGTTCTTCCTCTTTTTTCATGAATAATTACAATACAAACATGCCAATTCATATCAGCCTGAAACAACGCCACCCCTCCCTAAAAACAAACCCAAACCTTCTGGATCAGCTATACACGTTGATAAGAATGTTTGAGACGACCCCAATACTCACATATTTTCGCGATTCCAGAAATTCAGAATTAAAAAGTTCCAAGAGCTTTCTTATCAAAAACCAACTACATTTTCATCTGAATTTTATAGTACCAGTGTGGTCTTGTGGAGAGTTTGCCACAGAAATTATGTATATATGATGCTCGTATAATAGCCCTAGACCCCCGTTATTGGAGGAAATGCTTACACAATATAATCAGGTTTTAAAGTCCTCGGCTAAATATTTTTATTGAGGTAGCTGCTATAAAATTTTATTTCCTGTTTTGGTTTTTAAGGACGATGTAGAAGATTTGATCTAAACATTTCGCCTTCTTTGAAACCTTTCAATCTCAATGTATTTGAAAGTTTGGAAAAATTTTAACGTCGTTTGCGTACGTGAGGCTGCTCTGTGATCCTTTTGATGTACATTTTAACAGGCAGTAGTGGTAGGTTAAGTTCATGACAGGAAATCGCAAAATAAGCATTCTGCTTTCGATATGATAAGGTATAACGACATCAGATACCAGTGCGAGGTTGAGGGCAAAGGGCTGATCTTTTACATATTCTTAGACTACAAAATAATTTTTGACTGTCTGTAAATTTTTTCCTGAAATTTTTCATTGAGTTCACCTAATTCATACAACAAAATAATTCAAGGTCTCAAGTGTCTAAAAAATCAGCCTGCACTCGTGTGCTGCCAATTGAATTGTTGTTTTAGTATTTTGCTTCATCTAGTTTGTTTGAATGAAGCGAAAAGATGGCATACAACTCATTATTACATCCTGCGGTCAGAAGGAGGTGAAACGTGGCTATTCTCAATGTAATTGCAACGATCATAGCCCTTAATTATAAAGAGGTCATCTTGAATTACGCAAAATTGCTCAAAATTATAACTTTATACTCATACAATCTTAATTAAACACCTTATGGTTACAATAAGACCCAATGCATTTTGCTTGAAACACCCCCACTTCCCTTCATCAATCTTCTTCATGGTCTCAAACTGCTCAAGTTAATTTTTCAAGTTTTATGAATGGTCCCACTACGCCTTGAAGACAAAATTGAGTAAAACAAAGTAAAGGATGCCCTGGAAACAGGGGTGTAGTGCTAGGGGCGCTCAGGGGGGCTGAGCCCACCTTGTTGATGCCGAAAGTTGGCAAATTGCTACTTCTGCTATTTTTTCGGAACATTTTGTGCAAAGCCTCCCTTTTTTATTTTGATAGCACTACATAATTGCCTGGAAACCAAGGGCTCAAAAAGGAGTTTAGTCGAACAGTGAAAGAGTGGAATGGAATAGGAGCAGGCTCTTTCGTTGAGACTCTGGTACCCAGGTTAAGCAAGGGAAAGTGTCCTCGGGCCAATGTTTGTGAAGTATTATACGCTGGGAAGAAATGAAATTACTGGTTCACAATGTGTCTGCTATAAATGGCGATTTTTAACAAGATCATCTTGTTATCACAGTACGATAGCATGAGTTTGTTACTGGGATCGTTTTCATGACACAAAAAGTAGTTTACTGTAGAATGGAATACAGTCAACTCTCCCCTCTGGACCACCCTCTATCTTGAACCTTTCTCTACCTCGAACCCAATTGTCTCCCCCAACATCAAAATCTCCATGTCTGTAACTTCTTTCAAGTTCTAACAAGAGTTTTGGTTCCTCGCTTTTCTCCCTATGACGAACTCTCCTGCGTTTATAGTGAAATGATGCGATTGAGCAAGCTGAAAATTTCTTAATCAATCGAAACCTAAAAAATGATTAGCATAGTACCCTGGGCGCCAGAATCAACATAACTTAGTTTTGAAAATATAGTTAAATCTAGTCACAGAAATATTCATTTCAGCGAGGACTGGAAAAAGGTTCTTCCCTTTCCCGCATCCACTCATTCTTCGCCACCGTATCGGGCAAAAACGCTGCAGCCCCAGATCAATTCCTCAAATTTATTTTTCTAATTCTAAAACAACAAAAAAGAATAGCTGCAACAGGGGAGGAGTACTAAAAATGTAATTCTATCTGCAGTAACATATATCATTAAAATTGATGTTAGAAAAACCGGTTAAGAATTCTGCTTGTATGAAATACAATTTCGAAAGATTGGTCAGAATAATATTTTTTCTCTTTGCGGCGAATCTTTGCGGCAGAATTTGACGAAAAACGTCACACTTCATGATGAGCCGATAGGAGTTCAATTTCACTAATTGTTCTTCATGTTTATTTGAATGAAGAGACGAAGAAGAAAGAGCTCTGCTTTGCGGGAAAAGAAAAAGACAGATGAGAAATATGAATCAACAGGAAAAGTACTACATATTGCTCAACAAACGCAGAGATAAGCCTGGAACACTATGGTGAATCGGTGACGGAGTTACGGGCATAAAATTTTCAAGACAGGGGTTGGAAATAAATGAAAGCAATTCATCAATTATTACCAACTGTCGAGAGAATTTGCCGACCAATTAAAGATTTAACGAAAGACTAAACGATATTATTACTCTTTTAATGAAGCATTTGAGGTGTCACACCCCTACATCTCTGCCCAATTTACCCCTAAAAACAAACCAAATATTCCTATTTTCCTTCCCTTATTTTCAACCTTTTTGTTACAAATAGTCGAATGAAGGAAACTGAAAACTTTGAAACTCATTCTTAAAAGAAGTTGTTTCCCTTAAATATACCCATCAAAAGGGCATTTATTTTCATTTGAAGTAATATCGCTGTAACGAACGACTCGTATCAACTGGCATAGGAAAATGACAGGTGTACGTCTAGGGATCCATTGCCTACGTCATAGATATAAACGGATTATCACACGGAGCCAATTGTCCATTATTGCAAAAGGCAGGTGCTAATGAAGCCAAAATATATCATTGAATTTACATTATCTTACGACTGTCTGAGCACACATCTGATTTAATTTTCCGTCTTTGTCAGATTTCAAATAGCATGAGTCTAGAAGTGATCGACGTAATGATATCCTAAATAAAAAGTGATATAGACAGAATGAAAGAAAAAAGATATTTATAGAGACATTCAGTTGATTTCCTTTCATCTGAAATAACTTCAAGTTACATAAAGAACAGGGAAATCGTCTCATAAAATCATAATAATAATAATAATCGTCACTGCTGCAATCGACATGAGACAGGTGCATGTGTTTGATATTAATTATTATATGCACCATAAAACCTGTGAGAAGTCCCAAGGGTTAAAGTGAAAAATGAGCTTCCAGGATGCTAGAAACTGGTTTTACCTTGATCTAATGGATATGCAAATACCCCTCGATAATTCATAGAGAATGGTTTTTAAATCGTATCAATTAAACTGTCAAATAAACCCATATTCTTTTTTACAGCTTGGATCACCTTTGTGACGTCACAAATAGCACAAATAGACAGTATTTCACGGCTTTCAAAAGACTTTCTTGGTAAATTTCCCAAAAAAATATTTTTGGTTACAATGTAAATAAATAAAATAATATTAGTTTTTCGAGCAACGGAATTTTCCCAATGTACAAACTTTGTGCAACAAAATTTTGAATTGTTGTTTGAATTCCTCTATTTTTCAAAACACGTGAATTAATGTTTTCAAAGTAACATATATTTGTGGGAATTTCAGCGGTTTATGAATCAAATACTCTCAACGGTTCCAAGTCATGTTCCTTAATCACTAACTAATTGCATGGGATAGATAGATGTGTGCATCTAGTTGTATTTTTCAAGCAGAAACATTTCTAGATACAACGCTACCAAAATCGTTATTTTGTAATAAGCATCACATTTACAAAATGGTTGGCTTCGTAGAAAAAAACGAATATGGAAACTCGTAATCCGAAATGTTTACTCTTTTCTCTCTACGTTTGTTTTTAAAATTAAATTGCGTATTCTAGAAAGGCCGATTATCTAAAAAAGTAACAAATCTCTGTACGTACTTGAGGAATGCTATTAAAGAATAAACATAAGATCCTAAACTGCCCTCTACTTTTTTAGCGCTGCAGAGAGCAAGCAATATTAAGACTTGCAATTGAATGTCGCTTGTGATCAGCTTATGGCAGAACCCCCCGACAAAAAAGACTGACAACGGGTGGCTTCGCGCACAGAACGCTGACCAATCGGAGACGAACTCGAGTGCACACCATTCGAAATGCTTTTTCGAAAAAATAGCAGGTGGCACTCTGTTCAAAATCATGGACCAGAACACAACTGAAGCTTGAACACGGCTGCATGGAGGCTATTAAATAGAAATGATATTACAGGGAGGGGTCGGCAACACACCTTTGATTAGAAAAACACCGGAAGAATGAAGATGCAGATTTGACAGCAGCTTCTAATTGTTTCCCTTAAGCCTGTTACAGCTTAAGACATTCTTCCGTAAATTCGAAGAATGACTGATTTTGTCAAGCCCTTTTTGTCATAGTCTAGAGTCAGGAATCGAATAAATACCCTTCCTGTCGAAAGGACCTTTATAATTACTTATAAATAATTAAGCTTTGCTGTATGTTGCATTCAATTTGACTACTGCCAGTGCTCTTTTGCCTCTTTCTTTGATTTGATGTTTTGTTGCTCGCTATGCTCCAGCTGGGGGATTGCCCACTGTGCTTTTGAGATGAAATCAAATTTCTTTAATCTGTAAGGCAGTGAAAAAAATGACACTCCTTCAAATGTAGTATAAGGGGAAAAAGCACAGCAAGCTGGTGACTGGCAGGTTGCAATATTTGTATGTAGCTAGGAAACCACAGGTTTCTTATCCATTTCACGGCAGTACGACTGTGGACGAAGTGGAGTAGATGCTCTTGTGTGATTTACACATCCATTGGAAACAAAAATCACCTATACAATGTTTATCTTATAAAATGATTGTTTTTAAGAATACTCAGCTTCAGCTCGCATTTTTTTGCAGCAGTTGTCTGCTTTGCAATGGTCATAACAGAGAATCGCAGGACTGACATACAGTGTATCTCGCTTTTCCAAAGGCGTGGTATTTATTCGTGAGCAGGCATATTACCCTGAAACTATATCAGATTTGATAGAGAATAATAAGAATACTCTAAGATTATATTCAGGCTAAAACAAAAAGAACGCCAAAGCTGGGAAAAAGTATTCTTGGAAAAAAAGAGTGCATTACCTCCTAAATATAATCAAAACATTCAAGGACAATTTCTCCATTCACAAATTTTTATACGTGCGTGGAAACCACACTTAGTTTAAAACCATACAGACAAGATAAGAAATCTCGGTTTTTTTTCTACTGGAGAATTTCGTAATGATTCCCCAACAGGTTGGCAACATATTGGAGTTGTTAGGGTACATTCCCCGCAGAGCTTTCACGATTTCCTTGGCCGTGAGGTCGAGAACTCTACTTTGGATTGTTGAAACTTCAGCGATAAATTCACCGGTGTTTTTTTAGTACAGTTTATATGGAGATTTTTTGCAACGTAAACAAGTTTTCATTTTTTGCAGCTGATTGCCTGCCGTTGAGGATCGCTGATCAAAAGATAATCCCCGTCTTACTGGTCACCTGTGGTTAAATAGGCTGAAGCTGGTAGCGTGAAAACAAATCAAGGGATGTCATTTCTAAACTTTTTGTTTAGCCTGTCCGAATCAGCAAGTGCAATTTATCTCAATGAGATTAATCCGCACACGATTGTTTTACTTTTATAAGAAAAGAAATGCTGCTAAAGAAAAAACAGCATTGTATGGTTCATTAGAAGGATGCAATTCATTACCAAAGGAATGTCAAAATACATGTTGAGTCGTAATGTACGCTTTAGCAATTGAGACCGGGGCAACATTCTCAGAGCTTTCAGTTTATCTAGGTACAGAACTCCAGAATTTCAGGGTTTTATCCCTGGCTAATTTGAGGAATGTGTCGCGGGTTGCCTTATTAGTTTTTTTGGCCCAATTGCATTTGCATCAATTATCACAATTGCTTCTCCGCGAGGCTCATTTCCTTGACCACTTCTTTCTATATGTTGTGTAGTGTAAGACTAATTTTTAAAGTAAGACTGTTGGAAAATTGTTTTGTGCGCGATTAAGAAATATTAGAGTAAATATTCAAAATGTGTTTGAATGAAATATTGCCTTTTCAACAACGATTAACAAAGTATGAACCTAAAGCATGACTTTTATACTTTTTGAAAATGACTTATACTGAAGCTACTTGATAGGTAAAAATCAGCCTGGGGGCTTTGAATCTTTAGTTTCTTTTATGCTTGAATTTATTGCATTCTCCACATGATAACCCCTGTAATAAACGAGATTATTGGAATCGAGGCAAATAACACAATGTCGTCGGACCGAATCGGGGGCTGCCTACTCAGTTATCTCATATTCAGTGATTTGTTTTAAAAGTAATACAATACAGTTTGGCAGCTTTAAGAAGTGCTACAGCCCTCTCCTGCCCCTGATAATTGTGGAAATATTAGGGGCGGAAATTTGGAGCTGTGTTAGGGCGACTGTCCTCCAGCTTTGGCCAAATTGTCGGTCTAAACACAGATTTTAGCGCAGAACTCGTTTAAATATTCAAATTATTTGAAAAAATTTTAAAATGTTATTTGAAAAAATTTTAAAATGTTATAAAGGATAAATGACCTTTTATATAAAGTGATTACAAAAAGTAAGACAAAACGTAAACAGGAATGGATGGAAATTTATTATCTGCTGAGCATTTGCTGAAATAAAAATTGCGAGCATTTGCTGAAAAAACATGGAAGAATTTAAAGAAAGAAAGGATGGAGCGTTGTGGAACATCAATATGCGAGGAAAGAAATAAAGGACAGTATGAAGTAAGAAAGAACTAGACAGATGAAAAGAATGGAGATCTGTGGAAAACCAAGTTGTCACATACGGCTTAAAACGAGTAAGCAAAAAAGGCTTCCTTCGATCGACACCAAACAAGTTTACTGAAAAATTTAATTTGGCTCATGTAGAAGATATGACCAGTTTAGCACTGCTCGCTACCACATGACAGCAATTTTCGACGATCTCGAACTTTTTACCCTAACGCATCGTCTGTGTCCCCCTACCAGCATGTGTTCATACATTTTAAAAACAACGTTCTCTTAATGAATTCACAACAAAATTATTCCAAACTTTTGCAAAACTCGAGTATGTATTTTCAAACTGATGCCAAACTGAGAGGTGTAAGAAAAGAAAAAATAACCTATAAGTTTAAAATGCCTTTTATGTTTACCTTCATATTCCCTAGCAACTCTCCAAGGAGAGAAATGTGAGGTATATTGTTTTGTTATGATAAAATATGATGTTGCTTTACTTTTATTTTCTAATTACGTATTTAAGTATCGATAAACGAAATTAAATTGAGAAAAAGATTTCGTAACACAGCTTGACAAGGAGTAGAAAATCAGCATCTATTTTCTAGAGAACAAATATGTAGAGTAGTTAAGAATATATGCCCAGCCTAATTGGTGAAGAAATATTTTTAAAATATCGTGGTCTTGACTTTAGAAAGGCTATCTTTGGATTAGCCTAAAGTCACAACAAACAGTGACTTTGTGTTAAAGCAGAAAATTTTTGACACTCCACTGATTGAAAGGATTCAGTCTCAAGAGCTTTTATAGTAATAAAGCCATTCTAAAGCTGCTCAGTGGCGAGGGGGGGTGTCAAGTTTAGGGGGGCAAAGGCTAGCCCGATAGCAGGGGATCCAGGTCTTGCAGTCCAGGCCATAAATAATGTGTGAAAATGCCCCTTTTGTAAATATATTTGAACTAAGCATTGTCATTTGTCCGTGCCAGTGGTTGGCTAATCAAGCAAAATAACAGACACCTTTGGATTTTGTGGCTGACCTCTTTAATTCTACAACTGCTGTTTTCTTCACAACTCCTCTTATGTTTGATATTCTTATTCCTGTTGAGCGAGGAAGCTCTATGTGTAAAAACTGGTTGTTGTTCAAATAATAATGAATCTTATTCAAAATTTTCTACCAAGTCAATTCTCCTAGGAGCAAAATCTGTGACGTTCTTGAGACAAAATTTCGGCAACTACAGTTATTGATATGATTGTCTCTGTCATGACATGCTCTGGAGTCTCTCTTGTCATAGTTAATCCATTCTATCATGGTTAATCTTAGGAATCGAAACATACTTACACGTTACAAGCTTGATGTGTGTAGCTCAAACCTTTAGCATGAAAGTCAAGTAAATTACACTTTTCTGCTCATAATACTCAGATAAATAAAAAAAATCAAATTGTCAATGAATTTTGAGCCTGGCAATTATTCCTATTTTCTCAATTCCACCATTTCGAGCCTCATTATTGGTAAAGAAAGAGTTTACTGTATTGGAAATGCCTCAAGATAGCCAGTGACTTTTCTATATAAACCCTGGTATCAAAACAACAGGAGATGGAAATACATTTGAGATTCTCAAATTCCAAAGATAGCAGGTAGTCAAGATAGGAGATATTAACTATAAGTTTAGGGACATTTCTTGATTTTGTTATTTTCCCTTGTTGAATCCCATTCCCATTCTAATTTATTTTGGAATATCCCCTGCCCCCTGAGATTCTGATTTTGTTGCAAATTTGCACTTTTCTCAGCAGCTACCGCCCACTTGCCCCCTTGCTACACTGCTGAATCTGCTCAACAGCAAACAACATTCTAATAACTGCATGATTATTTTTTTGATACAAAGGTGAGCAATGGTAGCAAAACAAAGGTAAGATCAGGGGGCTAGTTGAAAGGGTGTCATTGGTTGTAACAAACGCCATTTCATAATTTGATTTGTAAAATCTTCAGTTGGTTGGCAAAATTGTAAGTTGTTTAGAAAAATCCTCTGGCATAATTCAAAACAAGTTGAGCAAGACAATGTTCACCTTTGTCTTATTTTACTTATCATGATTCTCTAACTCTTAGTGTAAGGTCACTCACTACAAGGTAGCTTACTGTGAAAAGGATATTTACAGTTATAAATAAAAACACTGAATAATTAAACAACTGATTAAAAATGTTGTTTACACTAAACTACAAAAACCCATCTGTTATAAAAAGGAAGGGATGCATACTCCCACGGGGTTCATACAAATTTCTCAAACTGTACAGACCACCAGATTGCCATGAATCTAACTGATGTAAACAGGCTAGTAAGAAACTGTTATTTCAAAGTTCATCGTGACCAAAAAAGGCTGAGTTCTCTTCGTTTCCATATACAACCTCAGGCTCCATCAAACTATCAATATTATCTTCTACTCTGTCATCATCACCCTCCTCATCCCTTCCATCATCATTTTCTCCATCACCATCTTCTAACCCTTGAACTTCATCATCATCTTCAAGATATCTACGAGTCCTCTCCCTTGAATCTTCCTTTGCAATTTGATCAACATCTCCTTCATCATAGTCCTTTGGCTTCTCTGCACTTTTATAAATATCTGGACTAGCAGCTTCTTCTCCTTCAATTCGATGGAAATAATATTTCTCCAAGGCTTTTGGCAAATTATTTTTAGCATTTTCTTGACTCACTTCATCAGAATCCTTTCCTCCTAATAGATCAAAAAACCTATTTCCAAAGACTGTTGACCCTTCAATGCCATTTACATATATGTCAAGAAACTCTTTTCTTGTTAGCTTGCCTTTATTTTTCTTCAAGTACTTTAGAATGGTGCGCTTAATTCCATCTGGATTGATTTGGTGATATTCATTCCAAGGAGCATTAGAAGGATGCACACGTTCAAAGCATAATGCTGCTACTCTTAATTGTTCCTTTGTGAATTGCTTTATCATCGCCTTAGTTAACTTTTTCTTTCCCTGTGTCAAGGCCTTGTAAGCCTTTTTAGCATAATCTTTGACAAATTCTAGGTCTTTTTCTTGATAAATTTCTCTAACCTCAGATGCTAGCAATTTCAAAGTATAAATATCGTCCTTATTTAATGATTCAAGCATATGGGCTCTAACATCTTCAAGGTCAGCATTTCCCATAGAGAGATCTCCTTTACCTGGGTACATCCAATCAACAATAAAATCACTTAATGGCTTTGATTCTTGGGTCACATTGTCACAGTCACCAAAATCCAGATCTCTTTTCTTGTACCTGTCAAACCTGGAAAACAACAGGGCAACAGCAACATTGTTTGATCCATATGACAACACATTATGGTACATCCCTTTGGGGAGAAACAAACAGTCTCCCTTCTCAATCTTTGTAAATTGCCATGGCACTTGTGAAACCTTTGGGTACTTATGTAAGTCCACAGAATGCACATTTATTTTAGAATATCCTCCAAAGGAAGGGGCAGCTTCCCATGCCTTGTAGATGTTCTTCTCCTGCTCTAAAGCAATCAGTTTCCACTCCTTGGTCCCATTTAAAAGACAGTTCATTGTATTAAAAGCATCTTTGTGTAAGACACTGCTTGCATTCCCACCATTCATCCAGAAATCGACCTCCACCATTCGATGCCTAAATGTTCCACAAGTCATAAATGGTAACACGCCAGCTTCATGGTACATTGGCTCTGGTAACTCTGTTACAATATATCCCTTGTGGTCTGGATTATGATAATTCTTTACAAAATGCTCCATTGTGTCCCTTCCAACACCCAAAACTCCATATGGTGTTCTGCCAAATTTCTCTTTCCGTCCCTCGAGTCGCAGCTCAAAATCCCCATAGTTTTTAATCAAATATTCGTCGGTCCATTTAGTATAACCTCCCCAACTCTTGGTAGCACCCCTAAAAACTGCAGGCTTTGATGGTTTGACAAATTTCTTCCAAAACTCTTCCGGCGTTGGATAACTGCCTGGGTTAAATTCAGGAACGGTATCTGGATCAGCATGACCTCCTAAAGGCTGCAAATGGCCTCTGGGTAGATTCTGCTCCATTTCAGAAGAATAACATAGTTTCAACTCAACAACAGCAAATAAATAAAGATAATGCTGCCAACCCATCATGATTGCAGTTGCACGAAAACTGCCCTCTTTTCGATCACTAGCCGGATGAGGAAGAAGTTTCTTTGTTGTTGTTGCTGAAATGTTCCTGGTCTGACCATCTCTATGG